AATCAGGTTCAACCAAGGCTCTAAGCCTCGCACTGCGCAAACGACGAAGCCCAAGAATAGACCTGACAACCGAGCGAATGGATGACGTTCGGCTCCTGCCGCTGAGCCACGGGTCTTGCTCAGCGCTTCAACTTGCCTCTCAGTCGCAGTTGCTCGCTGGAACTCATCGTTATATTGTTGCTCTCTGTTTTGAGATTGGTATCGCAATATCACTCTAGCTCCCCCAAAGCTTCATGGCTTGTGAACACAGCTCCGCCATGGATTGTGTGGGAATCCATTTCACCAAATATTCTTCAATGCCTGTGGCTGGTGACCAAGGCGCATGCGAGCCGTGGTAGAGATCCAATGACTAATCTGGCGGTAGCAGCCACCAACACTAAGCTCTATTCGCTGGCTTTCAGGGCCGTTGCTTTAGCCTGTGAGGTAGCAGCAAGCTTGGTCATCACGAAATACCGGTCAAACAATGACCCTTCGGAGAGCGCCGGCAGAGTCACGACCCTATACTGAGGCCAGTGGCGTGCTTTGAAGTCCGGTTTGACTGCTTGGAGTTTTGTGGGCAAGAAGTGCAAGGCTATGTCGAGATGCCTGATCAAGCTATGAGGAAACCGAGAGTCAGACTTGCCAGCCTTGAAGGAGCAAGCATGCGGCGCGCGATACTTGTTGATGTTCTGAGTCGGGGAACTGACGACTTGTTGGATGCTATCGGCCCGCAGTCAAAGGGCGGTGCGGGGTATGGAGTGTGTGAAGTATTGGATCGACACTCGAATTCTGTTGCTTTTACGCTCTTGACGACAAGACTGCTACAACTGGACGGGCCTTACGGAAAGAGGTCCTAGGTGCGGTAAGCACATCCATCTAAATGGTTATTCCGCTGTTCGTGCTGCAAGCCAGATCTGTGGAGCTATCGCACCGTGCCATTGTTGGCGACAGACTTATCTCGAAAGTGCATGGATAAGGGCATGGCTAGCCTAGACGTGAATGTTGCAGCAGGGCGAAAGGGGTTCGTCACCTGTAAATCGCGATCACCAAGGCTCCTCACTCGAACTATCTACACGTCCGCGGACGAAAAAGGTCTCAAACGTCGATCGCGACATGGTGATTGGGTCGAAACTTCCTCAATGCGTGATCGTCAGGGCAATTGTTCAGCAAGCTTACCAACACTGTTTCGGATTTCAGATCCTGAGTCCGAAAGGGCGTGGATAGTCCGACTTACCACTTCGCTGAGAAAACAACGCAGTTGACGATCATGTCTGGCGGCTGCATCGAAGCATTGCACTGCAGCAGTCGAACCGCTTTGTCACTCCCCCAAATGCGCTGCCAGCCTTGCTCCCCCTGGGTTCTTCGAGGTTAGTGCAATTGCTTGCATGCATGGCTGCCAAGCATCGTATGAGAGCAGTTCATGATCGGTGAACACCCTCGATGCCAACGTCTCGAGTTGTGCGTCGACGCGAGAAGTGGGGCTCTGCCGAGACTAGAACGGCCTCTCCGGCTGGACACGTGTTGCATTCTTCGAGCTTAAAATGATTGTTGAGCATCGTTATACGGCAACCTGCAAGCTGTACATAATGAGTATACGTACGGTAAGAGCCGCTAGTGGAGAGACATGATTCGATGTTGTGTAGCAGAGCATATCCGTGAGTCAATGCATTGCGAGCGGACGAAAAATGAAGGGTAGAGTGGTACCCACCCCTGCTACAACGCGAAGACCTGGGTATCTAGGGTAGGCGATGCCGCAACGTGCCGAATCTCGTTGTCGGCGGGGCAATCTGTAGTCTGTGATCAATGATCAGTAATCAGACCTACATATTCCTGCTGCACTGAGATGCAGCCTTATGTCTGATGCACATTCGCGAAGATAAGGCGAATGTCAAACGCGTCGCCGACATGTCCAACGGTAAAGGGCATCTGGCCGCCGGAACGTTTTGAATTTGCTTCCTAACACTGCGGCGTCAGCATAAGCGACCCCAGAAGACGGTCATTCCCCTTCTATGCATAATGACGGGAGGACAAATCCATCCGCAACTGCCACGCGGACATGCGTCCGGGATCAACATTGTTTGCAAGGCGGACAGTTGCCCATGTCACCGCCCCGCGAACGGTGAGATTGAAGCACGGGGTTTTAGCGATGGAGCATTGACACTTGAGCGACGTCAACTCGTACATGAACTAGCACTCGGATCGCAAACATGCCGAGCGACAGGTCCATCCGCGTCGCTCCGTCCGTGTGATGTTCTGTCACGAATTATCATTGCCTGACTTTGGTGGTACACGGGGGCGCCCAGGGGATACAGGAGGGCGGACACGCCGTACGAACTCGTGTCTACGCAAGTGTCCGATGTGCGACTGCGGACTCACTCGTTGTTGAGGTGCATTGTAGGGCTATAGGGCTGCAAACATGAGTTGTTGTTGGAAGGAAACTGCTGCCGTCACGCTCGTGGGCATCTTGGCAGGCGGCCGCTATAAATAGTGCCTTCTATGGCGCATGCACAGAACGACCCGTGGACAGCGCAACGCGGCTGGACGATCAAGTTCATAGGTATATCTTAAAGCAGATGTTGCGTTTGCTGGTGCCTATACGTTGGGTTTAATTCTAGAGACTGTCGCATTTGTCAAGACGGCGAAGAGTGAATCGAGGTCGTGTAAAGTATGCAGCCCACACAGTGTGGATCGGCTTGGTCACATGACGGGCTCGCTGAACGCGACCTCTCGGCGCGGATTGCGTGCAGCGGTGTGCAAAGTATGGAGATACCGACCAGATGGTCGCTTGTACGCCTCGAAAGTGCGAAATGTTCCTGTGTTCGTTTCTGAATGGTTCAAATGAATCCGCTGGCAAGGGTTGGTAGCACATCTAGCCCGTTGTGGGTGGCGGGTGGATTTAACTCTATCCAACTCACCGCGACTGAACTTTGACTCCCATGTCGGCGACGACCATCTACATTTGTCATGTTCAAGTTCTGAGCGGTAGCAGCGATGTGAATCAAATTGCTGGTGACATGTTGCGCAGAATGCGCAGTTTTCCCAGTGGATACTATGGATGCTACAGCAGGGCGGTGCTGCTGCGCGTGGAATGCCTGAACAAGCTCGGTACTAGGTTATTATCTGTGACTCCAGTTGTTACCTACAGAAAGAAGTTAACAGGAGACGATTGCTAAAAGCATCCGAAAGTGGACACGACCTTGTCACAGAACTTGATGTTGCTCAGTGCAACTTACAGGCTGTCTGGTAGTGGTGTGGAGTGGTTCACTGCTAACTTCTGATCCCCCGTTCCGCCAAGATCTTGTAGACACTTTTGTCTGCCACGTGTGATCAGTGTCTTGATGATCTCGAAGGGTTACATCAAGGCGGCCATCCAGTATGCTCCGCCATGATCGAGAGACATCAGCCCTGTTACGCAAGCCAAGGGTCCGCCGAGATAACTTAAAATCGATGCTTAACAATCTCCTCATCCTTCTTAGAACAGCAATAGCACCGAAGAGTCGCTGTGTCGAGTGGCAAGCCGAAACACTGCGAGGTATACGACGTGAAGAACGACATGCCCAACCAGACATTGTGGAAAGGTAGTCTTCGAGGCGACCCATGGCGTCTGGAGTCTCTTTGACGTGGTCGTAGTCCGCAGCTGTGATCCAATGATCTCCTGCTCGGTATTACGGACGCTTACGCGGAGACGGTGCAATAGCGCCCGTTTGACTACACGTCGCCCATACAGCCCGAGATCAGTCCGTAGAATGAAGACCAAACGAACTCAATGGGAGGCGCGCAAGGGCATCGCCACTATCTCATGAGACTTGCTGTGCGTTATAGCGGCTTGTTGAGCTAAAAATGGATCCTCGCTATGGACACGGCCACGATCTTCCGGGCTCTCTCTACAACTGATATAATGAAGATGTATATTTGCCTTATCTAAGGAAATCCCTGTATGAGATGTTGTGGAGAGCTGAGGACCCACTATCCGTAGACTGAGGCTGATCAGCCTTGAGGTCATCTGAAGGCTTTGTGAGGCATCACCTCCGTGGACTCGGTGATTGCATACGTTTCGAGATACGTTTCGAGAAGGCTACTCGCCAGCACAGCTCAGTGATACCTAGAACCGCACTTCGGATGAACTCGTCGTAAGAAATCTTGGACTTGCCGAGAGTCTGGCCAAGGGCTCCAAGACCGTAGCATGCGTGACAATCACGGTACACATGTGTGTTGTGAAAGTCGACAGGAGCATCCAAGCTGAACAGACTCGAGCCGTAGCACACTAGGGATCAGCGGGATGGCATGCCTAGTGCTATTTCTAGAGGCAAAGCAGATGAAAAAAGACCTTGAGGCTTTACAGAGTATCCTCTCAGGACAGACAGTCAGTACGGCTATTATCATAATGGTAGTTGAAGTTTGGGACCAAATGTGACTTGACGTCTTTAGATCAACCAGGCATGACCGACTAAGCTTCCACAAAAGTACAACGGGTCAAGAATACATTTCCATCATTTGCAAAGGTACCCACAGTTTTCCTCATCTGGCAGTCCTGCAACAATGGCTCAGTACTCGTAGTGCAGGCGCAGCTTTGGGAAGTCTCGATCTATAAAGGGCCCAGCGCCAAAATATGAGGCGTGCCATCAGCTGGTTGCAAAACGTTGGCATGAGATGGTCAATCACCGCCAGCAAGCCCTGAGGATTTTTCGCAGACTGATTCGAAAGAGTCCAACTGGTGCTGATTGGCCTACCTTCATATGTATGGCAGGATAGACCAGAAGCGTTACATAAGCCGAAAGACAAGCTTTGGGCTGACTGGTACCCGCAAGTAAGAATCGCTCTCACCGACTCTGTAGTGCCTCAAAGCAACGAAGTGATGATGAGGCTGCGGGACAGCGTGGGGACAGTGCATAGGGCTGCTGGCCGTGAGACGCTCGTTTGATGGGGTTGAGCGACTGCGGCTGGGCTTGTGGAATTGAAGCCACAGCAAAGTTAGCTGGCCTTACAAAGCAAGCTAAAAGCATCTGCGGCTAGGATGGAAAATGAGGACTAGTCCGGATGTGGGATATGGTCTCCTAAGCAGCGATCTCCTCTTGCGGAGGGGTTCTGGAGCGAGTGTGCCGTGCCCGCCAGGCAAACGGTCCAACGGTGCGGCGCTAGGGATTTCGAATCCACCGCGTCATCCAGCGAGTGCCCGACGAGTCGCGGTGTGCAGCATTTCTGCGAGGTTGTGCACGCGCGAGGATGCGGCGAGGACAGCCAATGGGTGTGCAGGGTGTGCAAGGTGTGCGATGGCGATGATCTGGTGCAAGCCCTCATGCCCCAGCACACTCGTGGACGTTCGCTCACCAACACCGCCCTGGAACAATATGCAGGGCGTTTGGTGCACGCCCATTCCGGAACTCCGCCCAGCAACGGCGCATGCAATTTACCCAGCAGAGAGCAGCACTCGCCGAATGGTGATGCTGCTGCCTCTGGCCCCCAAGCAGCTGCTGCGCTTGGGGGGGCTTGAGACGGCTGGCAGTTGCAGTTGTGCCTCTCGCTCTCGTTCTCGCTGCGGGACGGCCGTAAAGCTCGCGGCGCTATCAGAGCTGCTTCCACCGTCACGCCGGGCAGCCGCTCTGTCGCACAGCATATCCATACTCACGGAGATGATGACGGATCCAACGAGTATGCTGGCCAAGAGTCATAGGGCTGGTGGTAATGGAGCACGGCGTGGGTGCGGCACAGGGATGTCGAGTGAACTGACCGCTGTATCAAAACACAGACCGATGGCAGAACCGCTCTAATGCCCGCCCATGATACGGCCCCCGACTTACCCGTGCGCTGAGCCTTGACGGTCCTCAGCGTTACTGGTCCGCTACAAGTTCTGTGTCTAGCGCTATCCTAAATTTACGAAGCTGCCTGTCGGTGAAGGACAGGGTTGTATCCGCCGCAAGTAGTCCTGGGTGCATGTGAGGGCCTGAAGCTGGGGGACCACCACTAGGCAGTCTGTGCTCCACTTGAACGACTGCGGACGCATTTGACAGCTAGATAAATATACCGTGATTTCCGAGTGCCTTCAGCCTCCCACCATTTATCCCACTGATACTCAGCCTGCCCACGCTATAACCTTTAGCCCTCCCCCACGGTGACTTGATCACAGTTCCTCATACAGCTCCGCATCTTCCTCCACTATGCATAGACATCAATCTTACCAACAGTACGCTGTTGTGACTCCTGCTACCACAAGATACTCCGGCACATCCTCAGCCTTCTCAGCTTCGGCAAACCCCAACGAAGACTGGACCAAGATCTCAGACCTTGCCGAGCGCAGGAGGATACAAAACCGCATTGCCCAGCGCAACTACCGCAAGAAGCTTAAGAAGAGGCTCGAAGACCTTGTGAGTTCCACCTAAGCCCTGTGTTGCACTATCGGCAAAACATACTAATTGATATCAGGAGCGCCGCGCTGCCTCCAGCTCAGCTTCGCCGGAGCAAAAGCCCGCGGAGCTGCAGCCACCTCAGACCTCGCCGCGCCAGGAATTCCCCTCTCCGGCTTCTTCGGATTCCTCGTACGCCACTCCACCCGAGGATCATATGTTCTCGCACCAGTACACTCGCCAGCTCTCGACAAGTCCACCACCATTCTCGGTAGCACAATACTCTTCGACCTACCCAGCCCCAGATGCGGTAGCATACTCGATGCCATACACCACAAACTCGCCATACCACACAATACCTACCACATTGACACCGGAGATACCGTCGTACGCCTACCTGCCGCCACCGCTCTCTTCAGCCTACCCCACCACTCTGCCTAGCCTGGTGCCTAGCATGAAGAGTGAGTACTACGCCGAGGAGGATCTTAGCCCATTTGGCGTCGGCTATGCGGCCATTGGCGGAATTGAGATCCCACCCCCTCACGCATACGCAGACCACAATGCTCATGTAAGGCTCCCAACCCGCCAGTCCTACTACGCCTGAAGATCCATCTCTTGAAGGCAGTGCCGTTCTCTCCACGAGCCTTCGCTGACAGCTCATGGTAGACGCCACCACTTGAGCACGATGAGTTTGGATACCCCACTACGCCCAACTCGATGCCACGAACACCCCCTCCTCTTCCTCTTCACGCCATGTGAAGGATCTTCTTGCAGCTTTCCGATTTCGCTTCGTCGCCGAGGCGCATGGCCTCGGCACCTTTTTGTTTCCAGCATCTTTTGTATAGCATTTCAGCGATCTGTCATTTGGGACAAGGTCACTCGCTTGGCCCTCGATACTTCGAGACTCGGTGTTTTTGGTGTTTAAATGCTAGGGAAATTTCCTAGCAGAAGGTTTGGAAGCCTACATGAAGGCGAGACCCAGTGCTGCAGTGCGCCCGCTGGGTATCAGTCATGACAACGAACGACGATGATCAACAATTCAAAAATTGCAAAGAGATATCTTGTGCATCTGCATGTGTGACGTACCGTAAAACAAGTAACGAAAGAAGAAAGAAGACTGTTCTGCTATGGTTGAAGCCAAGTGAAGATCGCCAGCGGCGAGATCATCGAGGCACTTTGCGCGTCGACCCTGCCAAGACGCGCGACGCGTGCGTGCCGTTCGGGGATCCAACGTAAGCATAAACAACCACAACCGCCGCCATTTCATGGCTCCCAAACGCTCTCGAGCTGAACAAGCACGGCAAATCCTCTCGAGCGGCGCTGTGTTGCGCGAAGACTCTGATGACGAGCTCGGTTACGAAGATCATCCATGGGAATGGGTATACGACGATGCCAGCGCTGAAGAGGCGCCTGGAGACGAGGATGCGACGCCCAGGAAACGAAAGGCTCCCCCCACATCGTCAGCTAAATGTATAGTGGGTGCGCGCATGGGCAGCTTCGCATGCAAGATCGGAGATGCTCTTATGCTCAAGGCAGATGGGAACCAGGCATGGGTCGGCATTGTCTGCGACTTCTACAACAACGACGGCGAAGATGAAGAGAAGATGGCGAAGTTCTTGTGGTTCTCTTCTGAACAAGAGATCCGCAACAAAAACAAAAAACGCACCGACTTCCTACCGGTAGGACATATGGACCATTTCCCCCAAAAGCTGGTACTAACAGATGCCAGAACGAGCTGTATATGTCCACCGCTTTCGACGATAATCCGCTTGCATCGATCAACGGCACCGCGAAGATTGTGTCTCTCGAGACATTTCAGAAGTTGCACCCGACTGGCACAGTCAAGAAGTCATCGAAAGACTACGGCAAAATCTTTGTGTGCCGGAGAGGTTGCAATACCCGCACAACGACATATACACCCGAGTTTAAGTGGGAAGATGTGTACACCGGCGCCAATGATATCCCCTCTCTTGTTGAGCTAGTCAAGAGCCAGACCAAAGCAACGAGAAAAGGCCCTTCTCGGCCGAAAAGACAGCAGGAGGATCTGGACGACTTCGTTATACCAGATTCTGGGGACGACACTGCACCGAGGACTCCACGGAAGCGCCGGAAACCCAACGAAGCTACTACCCCAACATCGACAAGGAAGAGCCCAGCCGCTCGAAAGTTTCTGACACCATCACACAAGCGTATAGTGTTGAAGAAGCAACTGGAGTTCACTCCGCTTGGTACCCGAGTACTATCACCTTCGGCACTCGCGTCGCCGTTTCAGATTGCACGAAACCAGCTTCACGTTTCCTCTGTACCGGCGGCCCTTCCTTGTCGCGAAGAGGAATTCTCGACCGTATACAGCCATCTAGAGGTGGCCATCACGGATGGCTCTGGTTCATGCATATACATCTCAGGTACCCCTGGTACAGGCAAGACTGCCACGGTGCGAGAGGTCGTGGCCCAGCTGCATGCATCAGTGCAAGCTGAGGAGCTCGACGACTTCATCTTTGTTGAAATCAACGGCATGAAAGTCACAGACCCTCACCAGTCGTACTCGTTGCTGTGGCAGGCGCTGCGCGGCGACAGAGTCAGTCCGTCACATGCACTGGAACTTCTGGAACGCGAGTTCTCTGCGCCTAGTCCTCGCCGTGTACCATGCGTTGTCTTGATGGACGAACTTGATCAGCTTGTTACAAAGAACCAGTCTGTCATGTATAATTTCTTCAACTGGCCGCAGTTGCGGCACAGCAGGCTAATTGTCTTGGCTGTTGCTAATACCATGGATCTCCCAGAACGCACCCTGAGCAACAAGATCAGTAGTCGACTAGGTACGTACCGACACAGTCCTTCACATGCGGCCCAGCAATGTTACCGTGCAGATTGTAATTTCAATCTACTCCCGCACTGTACCGATTGCAGACGCCGCGTGGACAATGCCCAATACGTCCGTTTTTGCGATGGTCTCGCGAACCCCTGTTCACCGGTATTCAGCGGGAGCCTTATTGGGCAAGGCTAATACATGTGTACCCAGGGCTAACGCGAATTACTTTCCCCGGCTACACTCACGACCAATTGATGCAGATCATTCAATCGCGCCTGGAGGGAGTTCCAGGTAACATTGTACTCTCGGACGCTGTTCAATTTGCGGCGCGTAAAGTCGCAGCTGTGAGTGGCGACGCCCGACGTGCACTAGACATTTGCAGACGCGCCGTGGAAATCGCGGAAACAGAAGTCACGCAGGACGACGAGGTGCAGCCTTCAACTCCGAGTCGGTCCGGTCGCGGTAACAAAGCGAAACCCATCCCATCTTCCCGAACTCAGAACAGTACCGTACAGTCGGATACCAACTCAATGAAACGCGGAGGGTCGTCGGCTGGACGTAAGGGTGTCGTTACCCTCGCGACGATCAGACAGGCTATCAACGAGGCCACGAGCAGTCCCCTGCAACAGGCGCTTCGGGCGCTGCCGCTGACTTCCAAGGTTCTCCTCGCTGCGCTCTTGGCGCGAATACGAAGAACAGGTATTGGTGAGGCTACGCTTGGAGATGTCGTGGACGAGGTCAAGAAACTTGGTTTTATGAGCCAATTGCAAGCAGTGCAGGACTACCTACTTGCACCCGGAAGCCATGACCGATCGAATGGTATTTCCGGTCTACATCCCGGTCTACATCCCGGTCTACAACCCCACACCACGCCGTCAAAGAACGCCGAGCCTGAGGAGGCTGCACTCAAACATGCAAAGATCAAGGCTGCAAGAGCCTTGGGCCTTGCTTCTGCTGCTACAGAACTTGCAGAAGCAGGTATCATCGGTGTTGAAGCCAGACACGGCGAGCGTGTCGGTCGTGTAAGGCTTGGTGTTGGTGAAGACGAGATCCGTCTGGCGCTTGGCGAGGACGAATCTGTCAAGGGTATGGGCTTCGGCTCCTAAGGAAAGCCAGCGACAATACTAAGTGAATGGTTCGCAACAGCATTCCTCTTCTTCGCTGCCTTGTCTCAGAACAGGCTTTCGACTTACCGCCTGCTGCACAGTTGAATACCGCAGTACAGCATATCGTATGATACCCCTCTCAGTATACCGATCAAGTCGAGTTTCCCTCTAGCTTTCCTAGCCTGGTCTTGAAGGACGAGCAAATACGCCTAGTACGCTTTGCGAAAGAGCCCCACCGGTTTCAGGTAAGCCACAACAAGGGTAAGCGACCCGTTTGCGCCTTCCGCTTGTGGTGTGTGCTTGCGTGCATGGTGGCTGAGCGCCTTGATGATGGTGCAGTGCAGGACGATTCTGCACGTGCGCTCCTACGGGCGTAAAGCCCAGCGAGCTCGGTAGGACAAAGCAGATTGCGCTCAGCGCTTTCGCCCAACCTCAAGTATCGGTTCATTCTCTCCGTGCGCACGTTTGAAAGAAGCAGAAATTCCAATTGGGTACATCGGTTGTTAACTATCTAAATCGTATCTAGATGTCCATTCACATCCTCGAAATTTGGTCAACCAGCTGTATTTTCTCCAGACCCAGCCCTCCCAACGCCATGGAAACGCCCAACAAAAGCAAAAGTCTAGAATAATACGGGAATTGCAATATGCGTGTGCTTCATCGGTCGCCCTTGCTCGCAACACCGCGCTCCGCGGAATCGTCGCTCGGCTGCTCCATCCTTTGCCCCTTAAGCAAGATCGCGATGTCTCCTGGATGGCTGACGTTTAAGATGACCGTGACGGCGAACATGAGCACCGCCTCAAAGACATAAAGGAACACTTCATGTCTGAGAAGGTACCCAGCGTTGCCCTGGATGTACTCAATAACCCTGAATCCTGATCGCACCAAGATCAATATCGACGTGGCGTAAAGTGCAAATAGGTGTCTCTTCCATGGCACACTGCTGCCGAGCGACAGAAGATATTCCCTGCCGCGCATCTGGAACATGATCGCCGTAACAAAGAACAGTCCAAAGAACAAGATCTGCACGAACAGACCGCCGATGATAATCTTCTCGCCCGTCTTCATTCCCGACGCACCAGACGACATGATACCACCACCCGCACCCTGCATCATGAATGAGATCACATCGCCGCCAACGAAGATCTTCGTCAGCCATGTGCGGCGCACGAGCGAGTAAGGTTCACCGCCCGTCAACAGGATCAAGCGGCCGAGAATCATGTAGATGGATGCCGCGTAGAGTGCAGGGCCGAGGAGTAGAAGCAGAGTTTGCATGATGTAGGGCGACAGAGCGTAGCGGTCGTTGCTCGACACGAGGCGTCCGACATAGCCGATGAATTCGAACAGACCGCCGATGATGAAGGACGTCATGAACCAGGAGCGCTTGCGGATTGTTTGGAGGATGTGCAGGCCGGTTGTGAGGGCGAAGAGGACGACGAATACAGCGGCTGCGGCTAGGGAGGGGTTGTAGCGGTAGAGCACAAAGCTGTCCCCATCGTTGTGGTCGGCCATTGCGTCGGTGAGTGCTGGTTTTGTGACGGTAGTGCTTTGATGTTAGAAAGCTGGCAGGGTGTTGGCTCTTGTAAGAGTTCTCGAGGATTTAGGTGGATATCGAGCTTGTATGGAAGACAAGCTCTGGCGTACAAGAAGGAAAGCGCTACGAAGATGTGAATTAGTAGTCAATTGATGTTGAAAGGCTGAATTAGGAAGCAATGCTTGAGGCTTTGGTTCTTCCTATATACACATTGTGTTCGGGTCGCGACCATGGAAATAGAGGCGCAGCAGCGACTATCAAAAAGGCTCTCCTTTGCTGGCGCCCATTGCAAAATCATTGAGCGTGCTATGTATACGCTGTACGGCGGCTGAACGCCTGGACGCACAGAACCTTCCCTCATTCGCCAATCTGGCAGCGGCGACTCACGGTAGACCCGCAGCCCATTTTGGCGTCGCGTCCTAAATTTGATTCAAAGTACGAAATACGCTCTCAATTGTCAATGCGTCATTCGGATATCCTAGGCAGATAAATCTTCTACGGCGTGCAGGCGGGAGGCAGGAATGGAATCTGGAGCCGGCGGAGGACCGAGGATTGAACGTCCTCCAGGCGAAAGAGAGCGTGATGACTAAGCACTGCCGCAGTGGGCAGCCAGAGAGATGGGCAGTTCCGAAGGTTTGCCTGGATCAGGCATCCCACATAGACATTATATCCAACAGACGATCTTGGCTACTTGTATCAGCCTTTTGACGATGACGATCAAGCCTTCCACTTCGCTGCTTCGTCTTAACTCACTTCGAATTTGACCAATCACAGAGCTCTCTGTACGCGTGCCGGCAATGCCGATCCATCACAGCCCTCGTGGAAACGTCAGTCGCAGCTGCCGCCTTACACCCGACACGAAAATCGAATCTTCAACGCCTCTCACGTACAGATCTTCCTACGATTTGATCAATTCGCAAGGCCTCATAAGCAGACAAGCCGGTTGCTTGTTACGCAGCTCCATGCGCCGCATGCCGCCCGAAGCGGATCCTCACACCGTAAACCGTATCAACTAGCGGCATCAGATTTCAATAGAGCAATGCCGACGAGAAGGACGCACAACAAGACGAGATTGGGGTGTCGCCAGTGCAAAAGAAGACGAATCAAGGTAGGTGACTCCCAATAGCACCGTGTGTCAGTTCATATGGACCCATGACGTGCTGGAATTCGCGCTCAATGCACGTCTTCAAGTGACTTGTGCCTATTGTGCATATTCGTAGTGAAGGAGATGTCATTCATGGATGTGAAGAGGCTGTAACGAGCAACACCATGAGTACAGATTTGCTTGCGGGGACTAGAATATTCAATACCCTTCATGACAATGCTCACGAGCTCAAACGCCCGCTCTTGATCGTCTCGCTGAGCAGTTGAGTTAAGATCGTTACAGTACTGACATATCTGCAGTGTGATGGAAAGCATCCGACATGCGCAAACTGCGATAAGAAGGGCGAATCATGCAGCTTTCTTCAGCTCGTGCCAACATCATGGCTTACAGGACCAGTGTCGTCAAAAGGAACGGCGATCTCAGCATCATCGTCTCCCGAAGTCTCTTACATACAAGGACTATCACCAGATCCAAAAGGCACTGAAATCGAAGCTACAGAGACAAAAAGCTCACCGCAGACATTGTCGCCTACTGGTAGTCTGTCAGTGCTTCACTCAGTGCCTGTACAGCGCGACATCCCTCCCTCAGCTCCGTCAGAAAACGGACTCATGACTCGAAGATCATTGAGCCCCTTATCTCCAGTACCTATTTACTATCCAGAGTTGCAAATTTGGGAGAGCTCGGCCCCACTATACCTTCGACTTAACGATGTTTGGAAAGACATTCGAGACCCATTGCCTCCGTCACTACAGGATGTTTTGTATCACTACGAGTATACAACGAGTCTGACGTTGGCTACCGACGACCCTGCTAAGGCAGCATGGCAGACATGTGTTCCTGAGATGGCTCATGCACACGATTTCCTCGTCAACTGCGTGCTCTCAGTTGCCTCGCTACACCTTGGCAGAATCCATGGGGATAGGACACAGAGGGCCAATATGAATGCTGTGGCAGCATCGAGGATGAACAAAGCGTTGACAACATATCGACCTCAACTCGAAAACATCAATGCAGCGAATGCGGCAGCACTTTTTGCCAGCTCGACGCTCACAGCGGTCTACTTGTTCCGTACATCAGCTCTAGACATTGAAGCGTTACGCGAGACGATCCAATATGGCACTGTTTTACCTCCCGCTGGTGTTGTCGACAAGATGATGGACTGCATATTACGCACCGTCTGGGGCCTTCGAGGTCCACTCACAGTTCTGATGAGTGGTTGGAATCATGTCGTGAATGGGGCGATGTACCCCGTTGCAGCACGTAATTGGTGGCCAAGACGCCGCACCCCTGCCACGCCCCGTGCTGAGGAAGAGGATCGACGGCTACAAGACATCGATAAGCTCTGGAGAGACACAGACAAAACTTGCGAACCACAAACACCTCATCTCGACCAAGCCCTTGGCTATCTACGGGAGGCATACGCACTTGTATCACAGCTTACACTGCCTGGTGTCTTCCCTCCAATGACGGCTGTGCCTTACGCAGTCGACGATGAGACGACTGGTGTACTCACAGATCGCGGCGCTATCTTCGTTTGGTCTACACGCATCTCGCGTGAATTTATCCAGCTCCTCGAGAACAAAGACCGTGATGCTCTCGTTATCCTTGCTCACTACGCTGTGCTGCCAGGCCGAGTGCGTAACGTTTGGTGGCTAGAGGGTCTCGGGGCCGACTTCGTCACTGCTATTGCCATGGCAATTGGTATTGAGAATTGGCACCTGATTGATTGGCCAGCGCATGTTGTTGGCGTCGATCTGTGGAACGCCTTCGGCATCAGGCAGGACCGACTTCAGGGCAAGCCTGACGAGATGCACATGGACGTGATTTGAGTGATTCGGCATGGTCATCGGCAGTTCTAGTAAGAGCCCTCATCTGATACGACGAGAAGTCGAGGAGAACCGAAAGCCATGTTAATATCACCATGCGGTATCGCTCCCCGACGGAGCATGCCTTACGATCGTCACACATGTGTGATGCTTCGCATCGACTCTTGCGCTGATGAACCTCGCCGAGGTTGCGGGGATGTTTTGGGTCCGAATTTACTCGAGTTGCCAGTATGACAAGTTATTGTAGTACCAAGTCTGTCGCAGCCTCAGCCGCACTTACGGGGGCCAGAAAGCCATCCAATGGTTGTGCGCACCTACCTGTCTGTCGATGATCCTCACATTGAACCCCTTGCATAAGACAGCCTAGTTTGTCAAATTCTATATGAAAGCTCACCTCCTATGTTACACATTTGGTACATACTTATATGAGTTCGCATTCTTCGCATTCTATGTATAGTAGGTATTGGAGATTGATCGCACAGACCGGTGAACGGAGTTGGCCAAAAAAAAGCTGTCGACAGACCATTGGACTTGACGTACTTGTATCATCAGATAGCGTATAAAAGCTCACCCAGTCGTTCTTCATCGTCATAACATCTTCAAACAACAGTCACCATCAAAAACAAATCCTCTTCGAACCCAATTTACTCACTATAAATCATCACCATGCACTTCTCCGTTGTCACTGTACTTCTCCCTCTCCTCGCCGCCACACCTCTCGCCTCAGCCTGGAAGCTCCAAGTCTTCATGAACGATGGCCGCTCTGTCACTACCCACGGCCGCCTCGACTCTGGCTGTAAGACCTACGATTTCGACATGAGTTCTCCAGTCAAAAGAGTCAAATTCGAGAACAGCTTGGTCACTAAAAGTTTTGAGCTTTATACCAAGAGGGGTTGTCAAGGAGCGGTGAGCTACAGGAACAATGAGGGTACATATGACTTGACTCCTCCGAGAAAGATTTTGAGTTACAAGGCCTACTGAGAAGCATACATATTTTGGGTTGATGGATGATGACCAGCTGTTGTATAAGAACTTGGGGGATGGATTGTCAGAGCAGTCTTTGCAATGTCGAAACGTTATGGGTACCGATATGCAGAACTGCGAAATCTCAGTACTGTGCCATAAGAACTCATCTAGACGAGCGCTAGTCAATTACCAAACGTGAAGATGTATGATTACAGCAGATTCGCTGACTACGTAGCACAAAGATTGTCGCACAAACAAGTGCATCAACTGTAAAGACGGAACAATGAGTGGACGCGCACATTTCGGGCGCAGTGCAGAATTAAAAGCTCAACTTGGGGCCCGTACCTGAAATCATATGCATTAGTCGTGTCTCCAAATTCTATCACACTGTGTTGACGGGCGCCCCGAAGCCATCTCGTCCCAAATGTCGTAATGTTCAAGGCCATCACTTACGTTACACCACCAAGTGCGACATGATTTCAGTGGGTCGAGAATGCTGTCAGTAAGCGTACGGCTGAGCAGCCTGCAGATGTAGCCCAGCCCATCGATGACGATTGTACGAGATGAATTGGTAAGGTAATACCATAACAGCGAGAGTGAAAAACGTGATGCAACATCCTCTGACGAATCTGAAGATCGATTGTGAACATGGCGAAACATGCACGAACCAGAGGGCAGATGTGCTGCGGATGGATAACACCTTGAAAGCTGTTAACGACTTGAACACACCGGAAGATGCTTGCTGTAAGGACGCTGTTGTTCTTTTGGAAGGAAGAAAAGTAGGAGGTTGGTTGCTCGGATCCACGTGTTGGCGCGTCGACAAATCGTCATCGTCGCGCTTGCCGTGATTCACCGCAGCGCTACTCTTCCGTTCACCACTCGAGCTTTCATCGACGTTCGACGCCACATCTCACAATTCACTTATTCAGTCTCTCGCCATCAAAGAAGTAGTGATGCTGTAGAGGCAATTTGAGATGTTCAATCTACCGCGCTTGCACCATGTTGCAGGGTCTATTGCGACGCGTTTCCCGAGGCTTAAGTCAGAAGCTTTGAAAACGTGCACGTTTGCGACACAAAATGTATCACCAACACAGCAGCACTCTGTGTTGACGGATTCATCTCCGTCACGGTGGTCGGTCCGAAGGACGACGCGCGATATTACTGGTCGGCTCTTGAAGAACAACACAAAATGCATCAGCGTGGCAGCGCCGCGCGAACCAACAGCAGGAAGTGAGCCTGGGATCGACATCACAGATGAAGATGCGTGGCCCCAATGGCGCCAGCGGGTGCAATCTCAAATAACTGCAGTGGACTTCTCGATCGATAGAATTGAAAAGTATGAGTTGAACAACGAGACGCTCAGGGACTTCTTGGATAAGCCTCGTGATGACTGGGTGACTTGCCGGTGGATCAACGGTAAGGAATGATAGTTTGAGCATGCGTAAGATACACGCTGACCTGAGTTGACTCGCAGTTAATGGACTTAACTGGGACGTAGTTCGGCTTCTGGGCGAAAAGCAAAACTTGCATAGTCTGGCTGTTGAAGACCTATTGCACACGAGAAATCGTACAAAAGCGGATTGGTACCCAGAACACGTCTTCGGTATGTACTTCAACTTTCTAGAAGCATTGTGAAAGTATATTGATGAGAGAACAGTTCTTCTAACTCTGCAGCGGTTGATTCGCAAGAACGGAGGAATCACAAATGGATCACCACCGCAGACACCGTATCCGAGACACCTTAGCACAAACAGCCCAGCGTATCGGGAAAAGCATGTACCTGCTGAATACCGACAAGCTGTCAAGACATTACAAGCTTATCGCACTGATGCAGACCCTGAACGAACACGCTACATGGAGGAGCACTCGACGCTTAACCCTAAAGGTCTTATGGTCTCCGTGGAACAGGTGTCGATGTTCCTTCAGAGCAATAACACGTTGGTATCGTTCTTTGAGCACTCTGCAGACGTGATCGAGGAGCCGATTTTGAAGCGTTTGTCATCAGCTGAGACAGTGTTGAGGCAAAGTGGCGATGCCAGTATGGTCATGCACGCGATCATCGACGGTATCGTTGACCTTGCCATTCCCATCGCTACGGCATACGAAGATAGTATAGCTGAACTTGAGCTGGATGTATTGACGGATCCAAGTATCGCACACTCAAAGGCCCTGTAAGTTTACCGGGCGTTGTGCCTTGCTTGCCGCTGGAGGTACACCATTGATCATAGCTAGGTACATCCTGACATCAGAGCTCTCCCTCCTCCGCTCCCAGATCGCTCCGATTACCAGCCTTGTCAACGCCCTTCGCCAACACAACTCGAATGCTCTGGTGCAGACGACCAACTCCTCCCACGAACCCTCATCGTCTCACATCGCCAACTCTCCACCTCCATACACACCAAAGGACCCGTCAACAGCCTCTATCACCATCACAACACTTGCGCACACCTACTTCGGCGACGTGGAGGACCACTGCATCACTGTCACAGAATCTCTCGAACGCATGCGGCGCTCCGCAGACCGAATGATCAATCTGATATTCAACACAATGGGCGCATATCAGAACGAGAGCATGAAGCAGCTGACCTTCGTTACGATCCTGTTCCTGCCAATGACGTTCTTGGTCGGGTACTTCGGAATGAACTTTGAGGATATGCCATGCCTCAAGAACAGCGATGCGTACTTTTGGTGGCTATGTATACCGGTGACGGGCACCATGGTTCTGGTTTTGATGTGAGTCTGCTCATCTTCCATTCTGATGCTAAATAAAGCTGACGTTGTGCAGGCGCCAACATGTCTGGCGTGGATTTACACGGTTCTGGCGGCGGAGAGATGCTGCGAAGTCGCGTAGAGCGAGGTGTCTGAAGGAGCAGAAGTGGTAGCGTCCTAGTTGGGCATGTGAACACAGTCGGTGAAAATTTTAGTCAACGGCCAACGCCACGAAGAGCCTCAACTGACAACTATTGGCAAATTCGAGGCTTGCGGGACAGACATTTTGTTACCGAATCTGTAAGATATTGCTGTCTACTTCCTTCTGTAGACGATAATGCGCCTTGCATACCAGTAAGGCAACAGAAACAGACTCCATGACCGGAAGGCCGGCACCTGGGATAGACTAGAACTAGCGACGATGACCGAGATACTAATGAGGAAGTCAAGCGGCAGTTTTGAAGTCAGATTCTGAGTCGGGGGGATCGGGCGCGTGACAGGCTGCCGTACTCGGATCCGCGTGCCGATGTGCACATGCAGCATCGTGGGTTGTGATGATTCGTTGAACCAATCCGGGCCATCTTGGAGCTCCCTACCAGTTTCACGATCATATCATTTGATTGAGACAGTGTTCGGTCTTCGTATGTAACTACCCGACACGAAGAGGACGGTGCCCATTGACCGCCTCAAGTCCGCGGGAAGATCATCTTAGCACCATGGGCGCACCAAGACTCCACACCAACGATTGGCCCTTTCACGAAAATGCATTGTGACGGAACTGTGATCCTGCGCTGAGCTGCGTCGTGCCTCCGCATAGACGGGTACTCCACTGAAGCTCGCCAATTTGCGTCACAGGGTCGTCGAACGACGAATCGGATGAAGGAGCTAGTGCAGAACAGGTATTGCACGTGGTACCTGCAAGACGACCCTTTGACGTTGCGGAGACATTGGCTGTGCTTCGGCTGAGGTTTTGAGGAGAAGTACTTGAGGGAAAGTACATAAGCTCTGGAGGTAAGCAGGGTATAATGTGGCATCATGCTGTTCTGAAGCCTGGGGAAGCTACTCTTCAATGCTGTCTATGTTCCTAAATTGGAACTTTTGAGATAATTGAATCTGCTGTAATTCTTGTGTCATTATCCGCGGACCTCGATTCCACTGCTTTGGCTCAGAGCTAAAACTGTAACGCAAGGAGCCCATTCCAAGCCAACAGCAGCTTTGAAAACCCTACGGCTACCCTATTCTCATCCCACCACAACTGCCAACCAATTCAGCAGCACTACCATGGAGCTCGACTTCACGAGCTTACCGCCCACAGCAGAGGGCTGCTTCTATGTCCTCGCTACCATTTTGGTCCTCACTCTTCCCGTCTTGACAGCCTTCTGCACCTACCATGACTACAAGGCCTTCCTCTCGCTCGGCCCTGGAGGCACACCATCAACACCACTCGGCTACCTGAAAGTCAAAACACTCGGCCTCATCTCCCTGCGAGATCCCCTCCGACCACTACCAATCCCCCCGCATTTCCGACCGCAGAAAGGGTACCTAGACTCGCTCCCAGCCCGGTCCGGGGAACGGCCACTCGTAGCAGGCATAGCACCGCAACGTCAACAAACCCAGCAAAGCGACGAGGATATGTACGCCGGCCTCGTCGCACGAATGCAGTCCTACACCCAAGAGCCTGCAAACTTGCTGCTCGAACGTACAAGCTGCTTCGAGAAGAACAGCTCTGGCCTCTTCGCCTCGTCCCCAATCACACGCACCTGCGGCGGCGAAATATGCCACGCGCACCCCTCAGATGGCTCCTTGCACCTCACACTGCACCCCGCAGACTCGAAGATCATGCTTGAGAGCGGGTGGGGTGAACGACACCCGCTGGCGAAGGGGGGCTGGTTTCGGAGGTTCGTGCCGAGGGAATTTGTGCTGATCTATGCACCGAGGACGGAGGGGGATCTTCAGGTTGTGATGCAGATCGTGGCGGCAAGTATCTGGTGGGTGAGTGGGGTGGATGTTAACGCGGATGCTGAAGCGGGAGGGAGGCGTAGGAGTGCGGATGTTGCGGCGATTGGACAGGCGATGGAGGGTAGTGAGTGCTGGGCTTGTGAGGCGCATGCGTGTGGGACTGGGTTGGAGAATATGACAGGAGATGCGTAGGAATGTGACCGATGGAAGACGCATACTTGGTGCATTCAAGGAGTATTGCTTTGCGTTCAAGCGGGTATCCGGCGTTCCTGGTTATTTATCAAGGGCATACCTCGAGCTTCTGGCTTCAAGGCTGGTATCCAAATCGCAACACTGCATACCTAGCTGATGCTCTCCAACCTACTGCGCTGTCTCTGTTCATTGCAGACGCTCCCTTGTCGCCCCGACCCTGACTTAGCTCCGCGAGTTGTCCCAGCTTCTACTGCTTTCCCCTTACCCACTCGTTGTACTCCTTCCTCTTCCCCTTAACATCCCAAAACCCCCTTCGTCCCTCTCCTTTGCCGCCAATCCCACCATCGAGGCCCAAGAAAGCATACGGGTCGCCCTCGCTCAAGATCTCCTCTCCTTCTCTTGTATATTTGCCCTCGGGTTTCCTGCCCTCCCGAGACATCTGACCTGCCCAGTTGGCGTATTGAATTGGCTTCAATTTGTCTGCCGAGGCTACGATGCCGGTTGAGAGAATGAGGACGCCGACGAGGAGCTCGAGGGTGATGTCGAGGGGGAGCGGGGTGTTGGCGAAGGCGGTGGTGTGTTCGTGTGCGGAGTAGACACTAGGATAGTTGTCAGCGGCTGCTGTGATATGCCAGAACGTAGCTTCGGTGCAGCGGCCGAGATTGCACGTACGCATGTGTCAGGAACAATGCGCCAACAGTGTTGAGCACCGCGCTGAAGACAGCCATTGTGGGGTGTTGAGCCTGGTGTGCTGTGCTCAGAAGTCGAAAATTTGACAGCAGGAGTCCGGCTTTTCAGATGCACTTGTGGTGCGGGGCAACGAAGGGCGTGGAAGTTATGGCGTTGGTAGTGAAAGCTTGAGTTGTGGTTCGGCAGGTTGATGGACGGATGAGTGAGCTTTGGTGACGATGTCTTGGCAAGACATTCGAGAGACATTCACGGAGTACTTCACAACCTGAATTTGATCAACTCGATGGCCTGTGTTCATATCATGATCACTAGTTCAATAGTGTATTTCATGGTTGTCTTGTGTAATAAGATCGTGGCTATGTGCGCAACATCGAGCAGATGTGATCTTTCAACGACCAAATGCTGCGCGGCGATTCAAACATCCCAGGGGCTCCTACCAAGATACACGGCCTGATTACGCCATGGGTTGCAGACTGATGTCAGATTATCGCACAGATGAAGCCATGCATGCCATGCGGACCGCTGAGGTATTCAGCTAAGCTTTGACCGGCTGCGCCTTCCGCAAACGCCGCACAGCCACCGCAGGTGCGGCCCTCTATAGCTCCACCAACACGCGCGCCGCGAATGATCTCACACCCCGCCAGTGAGATGGGCACGCGCAAATGAAGCAATCAGTTGCCTGCAGACCGCCATGACGTATTGGCCCATCTCCTCTCCCTCTGTCTTCGCGGCCACCAAGAATGCGAATCTCGAGCGCACGCCGGTATCCCACGACGGCACTGATGAGGCATCGCAGAGTGAACGAGATGGCGCGTCTGAGGCCAAGACTGAATCCACGAATGAGACCGACGATACCGAGTCATTTGGGGGAAAGGCAGGGGTGCAAGAGTTGGGAAGAGAGCAGATCACGCGTCAAATAAGCAGTCTTGACCAGGTCGCGGAAGACGATGTCCATGGCGATATCGTTGCGATTCGAGTTTCAAGGAGTGGACAGCTTTTCGCAACCCTCACCCGGACAACTTTGACAATCTGGCAAACGAAGGTACGTCAATTGCTCCCTTGCAGTCAAACGTCACTAATTCAAATTCAAGCCTACAGTCATACTAGCCTCAGTGCTGCGGTCTCAACAGTCGTTGAAGACCTACGGCCCAAACACAGACGTTCTGCTCCGCCCTGACTCTCAGATCTTCGTAGTCCAGACTACGCTCGGATTCCTCATCACATACTCTCTGGCTACAGATCACTCCTCCCGCGTATATAAGACCCAATTCACGGATACACATGGAACACATTCGAGGAGGGCCAGTACAGTTGGTTTCAAGATACAGCGCCAGCATGACACCAATGCTGGCCCCGGGGAGGGCAGTGGATTCAAAGAGCTCAGTCTCCGCTTTCGCATGGTCATACGCGTTGATGCTGGGATTGTGAAAGCCTTAGCCCTGGATGACGAGCTGGTAGTGGCAACCGCGAAGCCTGCGGCGATGCAATGCATACGGTGGGCACCAGACCACCAAGGGAGCCAGACAAGCACTGAAGTTCTCAGTAAGATGAGCTGGCTTGGAAAGAAACCGGCACTTGTTGATATGACTCACGATCGGCCTATGAATCTGTCCTGCTGGATAACGGAAGAAGGCCAAGCGTTCGCTGTCCAAAGAACGAGACCAGATCCCAAAAAAGAAGCGAGCGCTCCGCAGAACCTTTTTCGCGGCTATGGCTTTCATATACCTGAAACAGACGAGGAATACGGCGTGAAAGCTGCAATCAACGCTCGATTCTCGCTTCTGGCTGTGGGCTGCAAGAACAGCGACATTTACATTTACACTGTTCGAGACTACACTGGTAACATCCCGATCTCCCACAAACTTCAACCTAACACCTCTGCTCCCGGCAAGCTGAACGTCTTGACGTACTCACCGGATGGTTATTGTTTGTTCGCTGGCTATGAGAACGGCTGGGCTATGTGGAGTGTGTACGGTAAACCAGGCGCGACCAGCTTCACGACCGACAGAGCCGTTTCAGAGACTAATGGTGAAGGGTGGCTCCTGGGTGTGAAGGATGCCTTCTGGATCGGTGGAGGCGCTGAACTGTTGATACTTGGGAACAGCGACAATCGGCTGTTCGTGGTTGAAATGGCTAGAAGCGCTGTCACTGGATGTTTCTCGTCAGCGAACGTGTCGAGATCTCTGATGCAAACCAGTACAGGTTTCATGATCTATCGAGGCTACGATCTACCCGATTTGACAACTATCTCGGCGGAGCTATCTCTGTGGCACAATGTGCAGGTGCCATCACACTATCTGGTGGACCAATGGCCTATCAAAAGCGCGGTGATCTCAAATGACGGGAGATACGTCGCGATTGCTGGAAGAAGAGGACTTGCTCACTACAGCGTCAACAGCGGCAGGTGGAAGACATTTGATGACCCGTTCGTAGAGAACGAGTTCACGGTCCGTGGCGGCATGTGCTGGTTCCAGCATGTGCTGATCGCTGCAGTCGAGTCGCATAACTCTCATGAGGTAGGAACTTCGCCCCACGCTCGAGACGGTGTGCTCTAACAATGGCTTGTCAGGTTCGTATTTACTCACGCGAGTCGGCACTCGACAACAGCCACATTATGCATGTGCAAAGGCTGCCTGCTCCCATCGTTCTGATCGCACCATCTGGAGAGGACTCATTGCTAGTCTACACCTACGAGAATATCCTCTACCACTACGTCATGAGTGTGTCTGATGCTACGGTGCATCTGATTCAGGTGGGTCAGATCGCTCTACATGGTATCATTCGCGCGCCCACGAGGGTCAGAGCACTAAGTTGGATTCTACCGGAAGACCAGATTCGTCAGTACCCCGACCATTCTGTTCATCAGACCTCTAATATTGCCCAGATCATGGCGATCCTTCGCAAGACGTGTCTGTTGCCACGATCTTGTTCCTGGTCGACGGAAAGCTTGTGCTGCTTCAACCTACAACGACGGGGGGCGGTGGACTCAAGTATGAGATGCGGGTCATCGCACACAATGTGGAAACGTACGCGTTGATGCGTGACCATCCCGCCTTTGCTTTAGAGGCTCACGAAGACTCTCTACCGCCCAGTCCATCGGTAGGGTTGACAATGAATGGTGTGCACGGCCATGGTCATGACCTGCGGGACTCTCTCTGGTACTTCGATGGCCAAGACATGAAGGTTTGGATCGACATGCAAGATGTGCTTGCTTCTGCGTCCCCGGAGCTTGGCAGAGACCTGCCTACGCCCGTCCAGATTCCTGTCGACTTCTACCCGTTGTCTGCCTTACTCAACAAGGCAATCATCTTTGGTGTAGAATCCGAGATAGTCCAGCGCAGGGATACCAGCTTTGCATACCTGCGCTTTGGGACAAGGGTACGTTGGCCTGCTATAGCTACGAACCAATGACGTTGCCGATGAACTATATGCTGACATGCATCGCAGACACACCTCTTCCTTCCCGCAACACTACGGTATCACTTAGCACAGTACAACCACCCTGCAGCCCTGCACCTCAGCCACCATTACCAGCATCTTATGTACTTCCCACACGCCCTCGAGATCTTACTGCACGAGGTCCTCGACGAAGAGGTCGATACTCAGCCACCGCCAGAACAAGCGCTACTACCCAGTGTATTGTCGTTTCTGAGTTCATTCCCGCAGTACCTCGACATCGTTGTACAATGCACGCGAAAGACTGAAGTACGGTCTTGGCGGACACTGTTCGCCAATCTACCACCACCGGAAGAACTCTTTGAGGAGTCGTTACAAAAGGGCAATCTGAAGACCGCTGGAGGATACCTGCTTGTGCTCCACACATTCGAAGAGTTACGATCGACAGGCGACCAGGTGGTCCGCTTACTGCAAGCTGCAAAGCTAGAGCAAGACTGGGAGCTCTGCAAGGAACTTGCACGCTTCCTCATGGCCCTGGATGAGACGGGTGCGACTTTACAACGGACGCTTGAACTTGTGGAGCTCAAGACGCCGTCAGCAGAACCAGAACCAGGATATGGGCAGGCACATTTCACTTTCGAGACGACTCGTCTGAACATCCCTTCAAGAGGTCGGGCCGGGACAAATGGCTATCGCAAAGATAGCAACGGATCAAGCGGAAGTAGAAGCTCTGCAGCATCTGCTGGCAGCAGCATTAGTCCTGGTGGGCGGCCAGGTCGCAGGAACACCACTGCACAGGAACCAACCGACTACTTCGGCGTCGGTTTAGGGAGCCCAATCGGGCGAAAATGAATCCTCAGTACCATGGATGCAACCTCCTGACTGTAACAGTCGACTGATCTTCGGTTAATCTTCCTATCCTATCCGTCGTAAGATCGGCAGAACTCTTCCTTCACCAAGGATATGCGGGGTGCTCGCACGGGGAAAGGAAATGTCGCAGTGAAGTGATCCAGACCTTCACAGTTCAGTGCCAGTTAATATCGCTCAACAAACTTCAAAAACATGCAGTACAAAAGTCATTGCGAACTTGGGACACATGAATTATGATAAGCGTGTAGCTTAATGCGGCCAAATCAATGATATTGTGAGCCACAATGCGCCTTGTTCGGCATCTCTACAACCACGACGATTAGATGGTCCAGGAGGCTAGTCGGCGGTGTGGTGTGTAGCAAAAATGGACCTAGCTGGAGGTGCAGCAATCCTCCCCGTCTCTCTGCCACCGCCTCAGCATGCGCGAACAAGAACCATCAAACCTGACTGATTGGTCACTAAGAAGAATCGCACAACCTGACAGGGCTAAGCTGGCGATGTGGGGAGTTTGGCCGGCGGTCTGTCTTTGGTCGAGTAAGGCGTCAGCATCGCACGTGTTACTCCCAGTATCTGGTACGCGAGACTCTCGCATACACAGCTGCGAACGAGACCGTAAAAATGCCTTTCGTTGCCCTTGATCACGTCTTCACGAAGGTATATGTGGTAACATTGCCAGCGCGCTCTGCAGTCCCTCATTGCCTCTTTCAATGGCGGTATTGCCACAGCATTTTCACCCCATTATGGATAGGCCATCCGTTCGCACAACATCCCTTTCAGAGCATCGCTAAGGACGCTTGGCCGCGCAGCTGGCTTCTGCACGACGGCCGGGTGGTCCGCAAGTCGAAGTTAGCCTACATAGCCCTGGTTGCTCCTGCACCGCATCTAACCACTCACACCCTCGATCGTGCCAACACTGCCACAAACTTCAACCCGCCTTTCTGTCTCCAACAACCCTTCACCGTACTTATGGGAGCTGCGCATAGTCGCTAACGCTGCACGACGCACCCTCGCCTCCGCTCAGGATCCGCAGAGTGAGATAAGTTTTCTAGAAGCCCCACGGTGCATTCGCAAATACGAAGACATATAAACTCGCGACCCACTAGTTCAGCCCTATATTGCCAGTTTGCCGATCGCTACTACATTTACGCTTGCGTGACAAGACAAGCCTTGCATAGGAGCCTGGTGTCATCGTTACTATCACATTGCTTCTCCCCCAGGTCTTGAGATGGCCGCTACCGGGATGCCCCTCTTTTACACCGATCGTCGAGCAAGCAACGCTTCATCCTTCAACACACCTACCGTAATCCCTACGTCTAATTCGACGCATCTTTGGAACATGGTGCCGCATTCAGAGCAGAACTCGAATGGTGAGCATGCCATTTTATTGACTCCGTGGTAGTCTAGTCGCGATGTTGGCGCAGGTCAATCGCAGCCGCCCTTTAGGCTCTCCTCTTTAGCTCGGCCCTGCTGTACGAACCTCGCGACCATCATGTCTCATTGCCAACATATCGCTCGACTCTCTACTAACATCAAATTCCCCCAGCACCTCGACAGCCACGTCTGTCGATCAGCCCTCATACAACAGCAGCCAATAATGCCTCGGCTGATGGAGGGTTTCAGTTCATCGTGGGCAGCTCGCTCAAAGAGCTCAAGTCAAAGAAGAACATGACTGTTGTACGCAAGAAGGCAATGCGACACTACCTTGCGAATGACAAGGAGGATAGCAGGAAAAAGAGCTCGGTCAGCGAGCAAGCACGACATGTGAGCATCGACTCCGCTGGGTCACGATCAAGCATCAGGAGCCAAGAAGCAATCAAAACCACTGTCGGACTCACCACCTCGAATGAACTGGCACGTGAGACCAGGAGGACACAGAGCTCAACGACTCGGCCGCCAGCATTACAACATTCTCAGCACACTTCGCTTCCGGAAGCTCATGTGCCAGCGGTAGAGACAATTGAGCAGGGACTCATGAAACTGGAATTGGAACTCATCGAACCTCCAAGGAAAGGAGTGCGGCCATACGACGTCCAAAACCCACCATTGTTTAACTCTTTCGGCGAAGGTGTGGACCCTTTCAGAACGATGTTTCAGTCAAGCTACCCACGGGTGTCTGTCGAGAGAATGAAGTTTCTCTGTGCAAGGTTCTTCGGAACTAAAGCCATGGGCATGCATTGGATACCCACCGTACTCAGTGCGCCACATACTTTTCTGAGCACGCTGAGTTGTGCATCCGCCCACCTGGATGCCGTACTCGAACGCGATATTGAAAGTGTTGAGACGTCACTACTCCGCCAGGAAGTAATGCATCTCATCAGTCGAGGAATGGCGCATCCAGGACAGCAGGTCAATGACCTCAACATCACCGCTTTGATCCAACTCATCGTTTCCGAAGTCATTGGTCGAGAAAGGATTTCGTTGGACATACACGAAGGCGGTCTTGAAAGGATGATCACAGTACGTGAAGGCCTCGATAAGCTTGGGTTGAACGGCTACCTTGCGTCAACCTGCTCGTGGGTATTGCTAGAGTCTGCCATACTTCGTGAACAGAGTCCACGACGGATTTTTGTCGATTATTGCACGTCGAGATCGACCAAACGGTATCCTCCATCCGCAATACTCCCAGAGTCGCCTCTCTATCGCCCGAGGCAACAATTTAATACTCTTCGGAACTCTCGGTACTACCAGAAGATGACACTGAATTTGCTGGAAAATGTCAACTCAATGACCGATCTCTTCCTTTCCCCAACGCAGTTTTCGCGCTGTGGCTCAACAACCCTGCAGAGCTATTACAAAGACATCACGACCAGGTACCCACCCATCTCAAAAGACCAAAAGCCAACACAGAGCGACTACAAATATGAGGCTATCCGAATCGCAGCCGTATTCCAAGCCATCGCGATGATCAACTGCATACCCCTATCGCATGCCCTTCCCCTTGCTGCGAACGTAGTGCTGAGCTCAAATAATCTGTTTGCGCCAAGCTCGCGTTCGACGGACTCTCCAACCTCACCCTTACCTCCCATGAACTTACGACACGACTCTTTGACCAGCTCGGTCAAGTCTTCATCGTATGCAAGGACTATCACACTTTCACCTTCCGATTCATATTTCGACGACTCGCAAACATCAATCAACTTCGTGACGAACTCGCACCCAACGACAGCAGCAAGTATAAGTCACCCTTCTTTCTCATCGGTATCGACTTCACGTTCATCAATGTCTTCGAATGCATTGCGACCGTCCTTCTCCTCAATGGCGACTTCAGAATCAATTCCAGGAACATATCCACCTGTCAAGACCTCGAGGTCTCGTCCACTGCTATCTACCACCACCCCTCCAAGTGACCACCTCTTCGCTAACTACATCGCCAGCCCAGAACACACCGCATCGACCAACCTTCTCGCTCATCTAAAGGCAACTCTCGACGCCTCCAATTTGTCTGAAGCTTGGCAAGACATGGCGGGCGTACTCCTCTGGATCGGACTCACTTTCGGTGCAGCAAGCCACAACGTCGGAAACCGAGTCCTTGAGAAGTGGTATTCTGCTCTGTCCGTGCGAACGAGTACGCTGTTGAGCTTCCAGCACCCAGAACCCATTCATTCTACCATGTTGAAGATGACTCGGATTGTAGAGGCACTGCGCGAGCCGCCTTCCCCTAGCAGGACGAATCCCACAATGGCGGGGACGGGAAAGAAACGGAAGACGCAGATTTGAACACTGAGGGGTTCTCTCGACTAAACGACGGTCGAGAGGGAGACGTTCAGATAAGCTTCTATAGGGTGGGGAAGTAGTCGGCGTCTCCGACGTGGGCCTTGCGGTAGGGCTGACGTGAAGGCTGCGTGAGGCTCGCTGCACATCTCACTTCTGCTGTATATATTCAACTTGAGTGCAACTTGCATTGGAGTTCATGGCATGGCGCTATCACATTCAGGGCCGAGCGTACGATACATAGTATATCGCACACATTGCACACATTTCACAACCACCATGCCCACTTCACATCCACACCATATAAGAGCATCACACGAACACACATAACCGCACATGTATCCATCGGCATTCCTTAAGGCCGCTTGGTAATCCAATTGCTTCACACGTCGTTACATGTATATGTATGAAATGCTCTCGCAGCCTGGCGCGGCAGCCGTCTAGCCGTAGCGCACGTTCTGCACCGTGCCGTCCTCGCCGACGTGGATGTTTAGCCTGTCGGGCTTGTGGTCCATGGTCGACATGCTATCGGGCTGCAGCACGCGGTGCTCCTTGGGCAGATCCTGCTTTGCGAATGTCTGGGTGCTGTCAGCTTCAGATCTAAATATACATATAAATCTTCAAATCGCCGCTGTGGGCTGAACTTGCGTCCTGACGTCGCTGTGCGCGTCGGAAGAGCTCGCAAAGGGGACAGTGTGCAGGCTTCCGACGAGTGAGTGTGGTGGGTGGTGAATGGTAGCCGACGTACAGTCTCGTTATGTGCATCGCCGATGGACTTGCCCATGAGCTTCGTGGCCCAGTCGTCCTTACCGTCCTTGGACTGGATTCCGGGGACTACGAGAGGCATGGTGGTGTATCGTGTCGGCGTGAAGCGGCGTGTAAAGGTTCGGGGGAGTATATTGGGTTCGAAGCAGTAGTGTTGATGTCAGTCTCTCTCTCTCTCTCTCTGTGTGTGTGTGTGTGTGTGTGTGTGTGTGTGAGTCCTGTACGGGGAGATGGGCTATATGTAGATTGCGCACCCTGGTAGGAGGCTAGAGATTACTTGGTCGAAGGCGTTGCTGGCCGAGAGCTGCTGCCTGTCATGGGATACGCTTGGGGGTGACGTCAACCCGCAGCGACCTACCAGATGAGGGGTGGTGGGGCACAAGGTGGTGAACCGACCGAGCTTCCTCTTGTGTCTGGACTTTGACTTATCATTTGCAAGGATCTTAGAGTAGTTTGTAATTACAAGTTGGACCAGTTGAACGTCAGTGCGATTTGGTTTCGCTTCGATGAGACGACTTGTGAGCTTGTTTGACTGTGTGCAATTGGGGTATATTTCCTACTCTAATAGCACCCCCTCGCTCTAGATGCAAACGCCTACAACTTCCTACTTCTGACCATCCCCTTCTTGATACCTGTGAGTTCACCACCGTAGTTCGCATGCCCAGCACTCGCCTTCGCCTTGTCGAAGACCGGCCGCATACTCTTCTCCTTCTTAAGCTTCTCGGCGTACTTCTCCTTCTTCTTGACACGCGGGTTGCGCACGCTCTTCTTGCGGTGTGGTGTGAGACCCTTGTTTTTCGCGATCTGGTAGCTAATCTGCCTCCTCCCATCGTCACCAATAATTTCCTCCTCAACAACTGTAGCGCCCTGTTTCGCAGCCTCCGCGTACGCAGCAGCGCGATCCGCTTTGGCCGCTTTCTTGGTGTTGCTGCGTGCGGCCACCATGTCGTAGTACCCGTCTTCATCTTCGAAATCGTTGTCCTCGGGTCTGAAGGGCTCGGCTTCGTCGCCGGAGCTGTCTGGCCCTTCGCCCAGGGCGACACCAGGACCGTTGTTTTTGTGCTGTCCGCGCTTTTCGGCTTCGAGTTGAAGACGCGCTTGACGGTCCTTGAGGCGCTCGCGGTGAGGGACGTCTGCGTCGCCACCGTAGTCTTTACCGGCGGCGTCGCGCTTGTTGGCTTTTTGCGCGATTTGAGAGGTGTAGAAGCGCAGAGATTTCTTCTTGCGGGCTTTCTCCGCCAGCTCGTGGGCTGTGAGGTCGGTCTCTTCGCCGAAGTCGGAGTCGTCGGGGTTGAGGAGGTTAATCTTGCCTTCGGGGGCTTTCTTCTTCTTGGAGGCCTTCTTGAGCGCGGCTTTATCTGTGAGCGCTGACAGTGAGCCGAGATCTTGCTCAGTTTGCAGCAGCCTCTCAGCACGACGGGCCTTTGCCTCTGCGCGAGCGACCTCTGCTGCGCGTTCTGCCTTGGTTTTCTTCTGCTTCTGTGCCTTCTTCTTGAGTCCCTGATCCAGCTCGACGCCTGAAAGCGCACTGGCTTCGTCGATGACTGAAAGCTCCTCCGCGTCCGTCTCCACCATAGGGTCACCAACGGGTAGGCTTTCAACCTTCGTCCATAGTCTTTGTGTCTTCAGCAGGCTCTCCATGACTGGATGTTCGTGCAGCTCCCTGGGGTCCATCGCAATCGCCGACGAGTCATCGTCCTTTGCGGTCGATCCCAGGATAGCAAAGTACATAGCCATAGCCGCGAGATATGCGGCGCATGCGCGGTATTTTGTGACGGCGATAGGTGTGGCTTGCGAGCCTTTGCTCATTTTGTTCGCTCTTGACTTGAGGAGGCGTTCGGCAGCGTTCGCGGCAGCAGCCAATTCGTCGTGCAGTGGCTGCAGGCGCAGGTACTCTCTCGAAATGTGCTCAAACTCCGGGTATCTTGTCTTCATGATCTTGAGTCGTTCCTCCTCAGACATGCTATCTGTGATCTGCAGTTGAGGAAGCACCTCTGTGACCCTCGCGCCACCTTCTGCCTCCTCTTCCTCGCCCTGACCAAGCCACTCGTCTTCGTCGAAGCCGAAAGCTGCCTCTGACATGGCTTGGAGCTGCTTCTTCTGCAATCTGCGAGCCTCCTTCTCTTCGTCAAGGGCATCCTGTTCTGTCTCAATGGCATCGGCGTTGTAGTAGTCCTTCTTCGTAGCACCCCAAGTCTCGTCCATCTCCTCGTCTTCGTCGTCTGGCGCTTGATCATCCGATTCTGCGGCCTCGCTTGCATCATCTTCCTCGTCGTCCTCGTCGTCGCTATCGTTGAGGTTGTCGCCGAGGATTTCTTCTTCTGAGTTGTCGAGGAACTTGTCTTGCAATGGTCAGTATTCGCGGCTTGAGATACAGGAAAAGTGTTTCATACCCTCTTCTTGGTACTTCCTCAGCCTCTTTGCCGCCGGCCCTTCGTCGAGCATAACCTTCTCGCGGTTTAAGAGGAACTCATCCTCCGAGTCGGCGACATCTTCCCATGAGTTGATGGCGAGTTTCGAGTCGTCATTTTTCGGCGCCTTAGAGTCACCGTATGCGCGACCACCAGCCTTCCTTTTCTTGGCCATGCTTGCTGTCGCCTATTGTGCTGTCGGACTGACGATGCTTGAGTTGATCGCCAAAAAGTTTCGAAATCTTGGCCGCCGCGGGAATGGACCCACTACCTGCGCTAAGGGCCGCTTTAGGCTCAGATAGGGAAAGCGCCCTGGTGCAGTTCCGAGCACCATCTGCAGCAGTTCCCAGTGACACTGTTGATTTGTTGACATGCTGTAGTGCTTACAGTATCCTTGTCTCTGTTCTCAGACCCTCATATCCTGCTGGAGTAAGCTTTGAGGCCACACGATCCAGATGTCTCAGTTGCTGCTCGGCGCGACAGGAATCGTTCTTCTGATTGTCGGAATTCTAAGTCTGGACATTATGGGCTTCGCATTCTGGAGGGACAACCAGTTCCCTGTGGAGGGGAAGGTAAGTGCACAATGCTCACACTGAGGCGATTACTAAGAGTTATTTAAGACCGTTCTCCTCACCGGTGCCTCCCAGGGCTTGGGCAGGGAAATCGCTAAGCTGCTGTCAGCGCGCGGTGCGAATCTCATCCTCGTCGCTCGAACCGTCAAGAACCTCGAGTCCGCCGTCGAGTACACACGATCCCACGCGAGGGATTCCTCGAGCCAACGCTTCCACTACATCTCCGCTGATGTGTCTTCCGAGGCAGAGAACGAACGTGTTCTTGCTGAAGCTACTGCGTGGAACAACGGTACCATGCCCGAGATTGTATGGGCGAATGCTGGCGCCTCGATACCTGGGCTCTTCATTGAGACTAGCACCGAGACTATGCGCAAGCAGATGGATCTTAACTACTTCTCAGCGGCATACCTCGCACACAAGACACTGAAAGCATGGTGGTACCCTGGCACGCCGTACTCAGCAGGAAAGAGTGATGTCTCCAAAGGCACACGGCACTTCATCCTCACATCCTCAGGTGTTGCGTTTGTTGGTCTGGCTGGCTACACCCCGTACTCGCCCGCGAAGGCAGCCTTGCGCTCGCTGGCAGACGGACTGCGCTCAGAAGTCCTGCTGTACAACGGGGCGCGTCGGTCGAAAGTTATCTCAGGGCAAACACCCGCACCTTTCGATGTCAATATCCACGCTATCTTTCCGGGCACAATCCTCTCCCCGGGCTTCGAGAACGAGGAGAAGACCAAGCACCCCATCACACGCCTGCTCGAGTCATCCGACCCCAAGCAGACCGAGAGCGAAGCTGCGATTGCCGCAGTCAGCGGGCTGGAGAATGGCAATTACATGACTACGACAAACTGGATGATTGGACTGCTGCGCTGGGGCTCGCTCGGCAGCAGTCAAAGGAATAACATCATCGTGGATACCATGATGAGTTGGATCGTGTCTATCGTCTGGCTCGTTATGGTGCCAGATCTCAACAGCAAGGTCTGGGGATGGGGCAAGAAGGAGGGCATGCCGAAGCTCAGGCAGAACGCGCAGTAGTGGCTTCATGGAGCCTTTCATCGTATGCGGATACCCATTTGCATTCACAGTGAACACAATAAGAAAACTGTTTATAGCTCAAAAAACATCAAGCCCCGTGCGCTAGAAAACACTAAGGGGCTGCCCTAACACAGTTTCGGCTTCGATCAAAGCCGCGTTTAACATCACATATCAGAACTTTAGGCTTGGGAGTCATGCTGGCCTCCAAGAGGGCTTCGATTGCAATCGCTTTGAGCACAGGTATCTGTCTTAATACTATATCGTCGTTGAACAATTCGTCTTATTCAGCACTTCCACTCCCACTTGTCATGTGCCCTTTTCACAACCCATCATAAGGTCCACACCGAAGTCAGTCTCAAGCTCGTCGCATGAATGAAGTAGTCTGCTCACTTTGGAATGATCTGCCAGGCTTCGGGCGAGAAGCGTTGAGCTGTGATATAAATTCCCGGCTGCATCTCTGGAATCGAAGTCAGCAGCGCCGTGGACCGAACACTCAGATATACACACCCTTCATCACGTCAGGAACAGTCTGTCGAAGCTTGGTGTAGAGATCTTCCAGCGCATCAATAACACCTGCTTCGCTCGTGCCCTGCGAGAGGTATTGCCATTCATAGTACCTATTCATGGAAAATGCCTTTACGATGGCGTTTGCCATAGCAAATGAGTTGAGCCTCGAACTGTGCACCATCTTTGCACTGGAGGATATCAAACTTGTCGACTTGATGGGGCTGGGCAAGCCGAGGGCCGTAGATGGCTTGCGCCTGAGCTATGGGTGGCGTCAGTGTCGCACATGACCGCCGCGACCACGACGTAGACTCACAAATGCAAAGCTGTGTAAGATTGAAACCCATATTGATCTTCTCACGCGGGAGGCCATCGACTACGTTGTCGTGCCTCTTCGGTGTGCGGTCGCGGTGTGAAATGAATTCCAGCGCGGCAGGTGGAGGGAGAAGAAAAGGACTGGAAAAGAAAGGCTACTTGTACCGCTGAGCGATGCAAGACTTTCGATCTGCGTTCATGAAAGCGTGATTGAGTCACACGTAGCCCACCGCTTGCCTCCAGAGGTGAAGGTGAACGCAAAGTCTCGTTGACTCTTCCTCGCTACCGTGGATCGCGAACTTGGAAAGGGCAGTTGCAAGTGACATCGGGTATCTGGAAGTATCAGCTGCAGAAGCTGATCACATGTCGCTATTCGCTCGGATGTTGTCTACGATGGAATCTAGAAAGCATAGGGATCCAATTCCACGCACAAGCGTAGTTATCAAGCAACGTCAAGAAGTTACATCTCTCGATTGGGATTACACACATGTAGGAACTTGGAAAGCTCGTAGAGAAGACCAAATTCCCAGACAAGGCGAACATCTCGTCTTCTGTCACAGGAATAGGTAAGACTGTCTCCAGATTGGCGGTTGTGAATTGCCAATGTCCGACCTCAGCGACACTATCTCCGAAGCTTTCGTGATTGGCGCTCAGGTGAACGTTATCGTCGCAGCGCGCTACTCAGGCAATTTGTTGAATAAAACCAAAGATGAGGACAAAATAACGCGTACCGTACAGGTCTCTGCCAAAGCTTGTGAGAAGTTATGGTCTTTCGCGAGGTCGAGCAACAGCGGTTCATATCGAGGCTCAACTTTCGCCCCGGTTTACCTCAATAGCCTGATGATAGGCTTTGAGGCGGCGCAGGCTCAGGATCCTTCCAGAACTTCGCAAGAGCATCTTGACCACGTTAACTCCGCGGGCGTATGCGCACCAGAGGCAGTCCTTGGACATCCGCAAATCAACCATGACGGCGTTCAGGACCTTCTTGATGCGGTTCTCAACGTCAATCACAGTTGTTGGACCAAACCTCCAGTTACATACCTTAGAGCCACACTCTTAGCCAGATTAAAGGCCAAACTTGGTACCCCAGCTCCTACCATCTGAGCAACTTGAAAGTCTCACTACTTCTTGCCAGACAGCTGAAAGCTTCTGGCTCGAGACTGCTCCCGCGGCTGGGTTGTGCTTTGCAGCTTGCTTTACAATGACCGGCTCCATAATTCCCCACTCTTCCTTTTAAGCGTCCAAGAAGCTCTTTTTATTGATGATGTGATGAAGGCCCTGTGGACCAGCACCCTCGTCGACGGTAATGTGCAAGTGATACCCGACCGCGGGCTTAGATTTTTTCCAATGGTTGGGCTCAAGTGTGGTCTCGTTCGAAGGCACTGCCTTGAGGGAAGCGTAGTAGACAGGAAGGTGAGCTATGAATTGTTAGTGGTTTAGAAGACATTTGAGGGAAGTGAATTCGAGTAGGTGCTAACTCTCGATGAAATTTCTCGTAGTATTGAGGCCTTCATTATGGTTGGGGGTAGTGATGGATATAGGGATAGATCGGTGCTGGTTGATATTTCCTTGGTGGTTATGCTGCTGTGGGAAACTGAGATCCTGCCCCTATCTAAGTAGGTGAGCATGTTTGCCCTTGCACTTCTAAAATTCATTGTATTGTTATATATGCCTCCATTGCTTGCTACCGGCTACGGGGGACGCTTTTGACGTCTTTCTGCGATGGCGAACCATGACTATGTTGTTGTCGAGCTTGGAAGTCGTTGACTTACATCTCGACGCAGTCTGACCTCTCTTGACAATGCACCATATTGTCCAAACTGCATGTTTCCTTACTGTGACTGCAATTACCTCCCAAGTGTACCTTGCCATTTACGGGCACACTCGATAATGTTTGCTGCAGGACGAATCCAATGTTTGTGGCTGGCTTCATGCATACCTGTTCTGATATCTAATGAAAGTTTCAAGGTTCCGGTAACGTTGCTTTCGTTTTATAGTTTCCTTTGTATATTGTACGTCAGTTATGATGTACATCGTAAGTTGGAGTAGGGTCTACGCCTGCCGGCCTATGTTATATGTCCACCGAGATTCAATCTGTAACCAGCCGAACCATCTCCGCGATGCAGTGTATACCAACAAATAGCAAGCAGGGAGTCGTTTTCTGTGCGTGGAACGAAAACGATAGCCCAAGCAGTCGTAAAGACGACAAGAAGGTAGCAACAGTATCCATTGTGCTCATTTGCGATTGCATAGTCGTTACTTTTGTTGTTCATAGCTGGCCGGATCTGTAGTTGTAGCTAGCCGAGTCTTTGTTCATAGCCAGCCGGGATGTAGTCATATACATATACAGAAGGGCATAAGGCAAGTCTAGCCGGGTACATCAGCAGACCGATCGAGTGAGGCATGGTGTTTTGTTTTTTGTCTTTTTGTTTGTACTTCCTCCTGCACATCAGACTGCGTATCTGCTGCCACCATGTGCGTATGTGCCTTCCTTACTGGGGTCTTAGCTCCGTACGGGTGGGACTGCGCACTAGGTCCATTATCAGGAAGCCCTATGTAAACATTATAGACAACCGTTTCGGCAGGCTCAGCGTACCCGTTCGTTCTGTTTCGGTAGAGTTCTCTCCGCTTTTTCAAGGAAGCATGTCCGGCACTTACCTTAGGCCTGGAAAACCGGAGATGACAGCCGATGCTCTAACCGCGCCACTGATCAGAAAGGCTGGTTTGTATCACTAGACGGTCGGCCCAGTGGACTGACTGCAAGATCAGCCTTCGCTGCTTCGAGGTCTTTGACGCCGTGTCAACGAAGGAGAAATATCCGGCATCTTTTGCTTTCTTCCTGAGTCGACCGCAGTCGGTGTGTTATCAGAAGACGTGATTTGAAATATCTTGTACAACGCAAGGCCGAGCCGCAAATCTGGATCGCCTTGATGTCTGCCCGCAGCAGGTGGAGCCTTCTATACTCATTCTACTAAATTCATTTTATTAAACTCCCAGGGTCATGGGTCCACCTCACCTGCCTGTCACTCTGATACTTGACAGATCCGGAGCGTGGTGTTCGGAGATCGCAGACGCGGGACAGATCCCTGACAATGCAATTGCGTAAATTACAGGAGCAACGGATGCGAAAGCGATATCTGCATCTGGTTCGTCGAGGACGCACTGGTAGAGTTTGCTGGAGTAGGTGCCTCATGACTAAGACCCACCTTCCGGCAGTTCACATAACGGTACCACATGCAGGCAATCACCCCTTCCGTACGCGGCAGCTGTTATTATCGCGCCCGGAATTGCGTTGACATGAGTCGGACAGACGCCGTGCGAAAACCCGGAGTCCAATGTCGTAGTCCATATCTCCATGTCATTGTGTAGACGTCGCAGGCCCGGCCCGAACTCCGAGGCTCACAAGTCGCTGCGTGCGAAATCTCGATCGTGGTCTGGCGGGGCGTGACGCTAGTGCACCTCCAAGCGCGACTCTTTCTGCGGAGATTTACGAAGCTGTGGACTGGAAAGCCATAGTGTGTCTTGGCGATAGGAATTTGGTACGCTTTGTGTTGGCAGGGGGGGGGGGGGGGTTGAGCAGGGATGAGCGCAGAGGGATAGGAACAGCGGGGTTGCGGCACGGAAAGACTCAGTTGAGAAATTAATCGAAGCAAAAGCAGAGGACGTGTGGTACGATATGTGCTTTGTGTGAAATCAAAATTGCTGTATGCAAGGCTGAGATTGATCACGAAAAGCAAGTTTGCCAAGCGATATTTGATGGTGGAATGAGAACCACATGTGACGGGAGTCTGACGTGATCACCGACACGCGAGACGCATGTGCTGTGAGATGTGGTATGGTTGACAGACAGAAAGAGACAAACGGAAGCGCCGACTCACAGGCCGCCCAGGTCTTGCTTCAACACATCGAGTATCCTCTTGCTATCCACCTCTTCATCAACCTTACTATTCGTTCCGTCGTCTTTGAGTCTCCTCAGTATTTCAGGGTCGACGTCCTTCATTAGCTCCTCAAACTCTCTTTGCTGTTCACCCTCTTCCTTGCGGTACTCTTCATCTAGCATGAACTCCGAAGGCAGTTCTGGTGTTTCTGCAGGGAAGTAGTATACTGTTGGAAATTCTTCCACTATCTGCCCCCGTAAAGCATCACCAAGTGTGTCAGAGGATGTCAGAGGAATGAGAACGCGTCGACTCGAACTCGTCCTTGGCCGCAGAAGATAGAAGATATGTCTTCTGTCTATTAATGCTTCAGGCTGTGCAGAATCTGGCTGGGGTATTTTTGCGTCTGCTCCCCCTGCGTCTTGCTCCGGTGCTGCTAGAGGGACCGAAGTCGAAGTTGCTGGACCCGGCACTTCCACATTCGATTCAATCGCGGACGATCCGACTCGTGTTACCGTTGGCTCTGAACTACCCTGAAGATGTTCAGGCCTTGAGATTGATTCAGCCTCGGCCTCTCTCTTCCGTTTCTTCTTCGATGTTGGGCTCTCGAACAGCGGGTGTGTCCTGTAGATTGGCTCTACAGCAGAGCTTTGCGTGAGCGTGCGCCTCTTATCCACTCCGATCCACTCGACCGTCCAGATGATGTTCCTGTTGCTTCGATAGCGTTAGTCGTGCTCAAACAAAGTACTCTTGACGTGCTCTTACCCCGACTTCGACCGATGTGTTTTGTTCTCTTTCGCTCTGCTCATGCCCTTGGGCGCCCGAATTACCTTAACACCAGCATTGGAAAACTGATAATCCATCTTTTGGCTTTGGTCACCCCTGAGCCTGGAGCTGAGGCCAACATCGAGGCCTCTCTCTGACACCGTCTTATCCGACTTCTCAAGATCACGTTCGATACCAGACAGGAAATTGTAATCATGATCGATACCTGCAGGTGTAGCCAGTTCGGACTTCTTCATGAATTTCGTAGGATCTCGTCTGCCTGAGCATTGCGCCCACTGCTTGTGTCGCTTGACACATGGTAGCGAGCATGTGCGCGCAGAACAACCTGGACACTTGTATTTCGATTCATGAATGTTGCTGGCTATGTCAGTACAAAAGCGACGAAATGACGGGGTTTTGCATCAAGAGGGACAATGGAGATTTATATCTGAGCGCATGTGGACGTACCATACACTGCAGAGACTACTCAAAAGGGTTTGGTCTGACATGTTAGTCAAGATGCAAACGCCAGTCCCGTGATGTTGAGATCAAAACTTCCGTTTCCCAAATCTCAGATCTGGGTCAACGGTCTCTGCGATCGGTTCGGAGACGCGGGTCGTTAGTCGCCCAGACGGAAGTGTAGGGAACTCGGACTAGATACGCAACTCGATTTTGCCGCAGCAGTAACGTTGCGGTGCGGAGAGTTAGTTGGTGGTATTCGAAAAGAAAATGCCGAGCCATCGCAACCGGTAAAATTAGCGTCCGCTAGCCGCTCTCCCAGCCAACCAAGCCTCGGGACCCAATCCTTCGTATTGCTGCGAGATGCAAGGTCCAGGGATTTCAGCGAAGCTTTCTCGAAGGTTTTGACAGCGTCGTGATATGCGCAAGAATCAGCAGATGCTGCAGGCTAAAAGCTTGTCAAAGTTCGAGTGGTTGATCGTTAGCTCGCCAACATGCTTTGGACGCAACTGCCTGTCTGCACACGTGCAGATCGCTACCTCGGGTCCAACTTCTTCTTTTTCAGCATTGCGCGTCGAGGCCAGGGAGGTCGATATTGGCGAGCTTAAGGCTAGCACTGTTGCAGTTCTCCTCCGCGATAAGACGTATCGATCACGGGTGCGGAACCGGGCACATCCTCCATCGTTCGCCCGCCTGCTAGGTTCATCCAGGAGTTGATCAAACCTATAATGCCGACACATAACTGGAGGGGTATATATGTGCGAGGCACTTACGTGTGTATGGCTACAAGCCCAGAGTGGAGCAAGTCGTCCAAATCGTTGAATCTCCTGCAGGCCATGACCTGCGCACAACGTGGGCGAATCTCCCCGATTTGACAATTCAGCAACGTCGGCCAATGTTTCAGCTTCAAGGTGCTGCACGCCCACGACTACTGCAGAACAACCATGGGACCAATCAGCACTACGTGGTCAGGAGCAACCAATGAGACCGAGATTCGCACGTCCCGACACTCGAGCGACGTCGATATGCACGTCTTCCTTAGCAAGATCGGACTACCTGTTGGCTGGATGCAGAAGTCTAACACGCTTTCGCGACTTTGACGATCAATCATCGCGTCACAGACCGTGCAGGCTCCGCTGACAGTCAGGGGAAAGCTCGAAGGTTTGAGGATTCTTATTCGCCGAGCGCGGAGCCTGCTCCTGCGGGAAGCCGCCGTGGGACCAGTGGTAGTTTGCTCATGCATGTTTCTGCGAGGATGCACGCTGCAAAAGGCCCTCGCGTTTGTGCACAAATCTGCAGCGATTCAATCCCAGCCCAAAACGGTCCGCAGCATGAGACCGCGCCTCGCGCTATTGCCACTTGAGGCGGGGATTCTGGCCTTTCGATATCGCCCATCTACAAGGTTTGGCTACACAACCTGCAAGACAGCGTCCGCAGGAGCTGTGAACTGTTGGGCTACTCGCGAAAGTTGCAGCTCGTGATGAGCTCGCATGGTACCGCGCACTCTGATCTCGCTCGCATGCCGCCGTCAACCGCTGTGGGTTTCGGAGGCGCCGTTCTGCCCACAGAGAGAAGACGCCCATGGCTGGGCGGCGCGCACGCCCCTGATCAGACCATGCTCGGAGGTGGAGACCTTCAAATGCAGATTGGTAGGGAACATGTCCTCATTTCCTCAACCGAGACTTGTGAAGCCCACCCATGCTAGCGTTCGGGTGGTTCTTCCCCAAGCTCCAGCCCGAGCTTCGAGGGCGCCGCAGGTCCCCAAAAGAAGCCAGCCGCCTCATCGAGTTCCCCTTGCTGCAGCACTCCTCACTGCAATCCCGCAGCAAGGTGACTCGGAGCTTTCGGCCACCAGACAGTTCGTCGAGTTGCTGTCATTGTGTTTGAATCCCATCACATGCCCTCTTGAAGCTTCACGATATCTTCGGATGTTCTCTCTGTCATTATAGTACCACCTAGTCTTGGACCCTCTGGACGTCACCAAGAGACTTTTCGCGCGATCGATTCGGTACCAACGGAACACATTCTAACAATGGCACCTTCTTTGACCCTGCGTCCTCGCACCCGCGACGATCGTCCTCCTACAAGGGACAATACCGACCACAGTCTCATTATTCCCAGCCGGACGTCTTCTCTCCACTCGCGAATCACCCAGCCGCTTCCGTCAACTTTGAATGTCAAACAGGGTGCCCGCACCCCCAAGACATTAACCCATGCGTACATGGTATGTGGTGTTGGCCGGGAGCCGTCGCAATGGGTGAAGGCACCAGCACCAGCGCAGGGCAAGATTGGGCACATGAAAGGCGCAGTGGGCACTTTCTGGCTGCCAGAGATCTTGGGTAGCAGTCCGAGATTGGAGCAGGATAACGAGATTGCGAGGTCTCTCCATGCTGCGATGCGAGTATGTTTACATCACGAATGCTGTGCTGAGCATGTTCTGATCACATTATAGGCCTGTTTCCCCCACGATGTCGAGATTTGCACCGGACGAAGCCAGCCCCATTGCGTGCATCACTCCTTTGTTCTCCAGCAAGATTCGTCGCACACTCTTTACGGCATTGCCCTTCGTGTTTGGTCTCGTGCCGATGAGAAGAGAGCCGAGACGATTCGTGATCTGCGCAAGCGCACCGAGCCGGATTTCTTCGACAGCCCTGACGAGACCTACTGGATTCCGTACTGCCTGAGTTTCCTCTCGAGGTATCCCTTGTACAACCTGCTCGGCGACTACCTTCGAGGGATGTGGATCCACTGGAACAAGGCTACCAATCTGTTTCACGCTGAGGAGGTATCTCGCATACTGAGCTTCCCCGCGCCACGACTGAACGACCTAGTCCGCATTGACATGAAGGATTACGCGCTGTGCTACCAATTCCCCTCTTCACCGACCGGTTTTCAAAATTTTGCCATGTGGCCGCTGTTCACCTGTCTCTCAATTCCCAACATCGTAGGCGTAATTGAGGCCGCAGTATCGCCAACACGACGAATCATCTTCACCAGCCACTACCCCGCAGTGCTCACCATCGCAGCTGAAACGGTGCGATATTGCGTTCGGGTGTATGAGTGGAGCGGTCTGTACGTACCTGTCGTGCATGCGCGTCACGTCAAGGACCTCGTACAAGAACCGGGACCATACATCCTCGGTGTAACGTCGGAATGTCGATCGTTATTCACCGCACCAAACGATGCCCTTGTAGTGGACCTGGACCGAAACTTCGTGCTGACTTCGAGCCCGCCGACCGCCCTGACAGCTGGACAGAGGACCAAGATGATTCAGCGTCTCACGCAGGCTCTCAACGGCGAAGTGTCGCCGACCGGTGTCCCACAGCATCTGCGATCTGCTTACGGTGGCGGCAAGCTGATCCCTGCCGGTCAGATCATCGTCATGCGCGGTGAGGTTGAGAGCATTCAGGACCCAGAGTGGTGGAACCAGGATGCGGTAATGTCCATCATGGACCACGTGTGTGAGAAGCTCGTGAGTACTCAACGAATCGCAATCACAACATAATCGATAGCTAATGATGTATTACAGGGCCGCAACAGTGGGATGAAGGCGATCTTTGGTGGATCTGTCAAGAAACCACTGATGACCAAGGTCTCCATGCGCCACCTCAATGAGATTGTTCGCGAGCGCAATCAGTACTCTCGTGACGCTCAGGAGGCTTGGCAGGACTTCATCAATCTTAAGGGTCGCATGGACACGGAGCTTTCCAAGGTCTCCAAGCGCAACAACTTCCTGGTCGAGGAGCTTGAGAGCTGGAAGCAGCAATTCCTCAAGTTTCAGACGTTTGCCGAGCAGCTTACAAAGGAGACCCAGGAGCTCAAGATCAAAATCGAGAACCACAAACGCGAAAATCGTCGCCTCACAAGTCTCATTGACCAGCAGAAGGATGATGCCGCACGTCTCACAGTTCGCCTCTCTGGAACTGAAAAGCAGCGTGACGATGCTCTGGAAGCTCTTGTCCTTCAGCAGGAGATCGCTGAAGAGCTCGAGCGCGAGAGGCAGAGGAACAAGAAGGATCTTTCTGCACTTCAGCACACCAACTCTGCACTCGTTCGACAGCGTGATGAGACTCAGCGCGTTGTCCTCCACCTTCGTGCTCTTATCGAGGGTCAGACCCACCACATGGAACACATTGTCAAGTCTCTGAACCAGGATGACATGAACAACTACATGGCGGAGGGTTTCCCCGAGGACGTTGAGGAGGAGGATGAAGAGGACGAGTTCCATGATTCTGAGGCACCTCAGACGCCCAGGAAGGACAGGTCAGAGGTTGGCACCATTCGCGGCGTTTCTGGTATCGACAGCCAGGCTGGCTCAAGATCAAGCACCGCAAACGGTACGCATCTCGAGGGCGAGGACGTCACACCCGACATGGAACACCGCTTACACAACTCTCCAGCGCGCAACTCGAAGCGTTTCTCCAACCAATCCATGGTCGACGTTGCCGACCGCGTGCTCCGCGACAAGACCGACGCAATTGCATACATCATCCGCAACATCTCCGAGCAGTGCGCCGCCGCTGTCGAGGGCCTTCAGCTCGCCCAGCGCGCCGACACTGAGGACGGCGACAACAACAGTGAGCGCCGCGCCAGCCTTGGCCAGCAGTCGACAGTTGACGGCCGCACGCAGTCGACGATCGGCAGCGAGTACGGTGATGAGGACATGCTGCGCCCTGGTCGTGGCTCCAGCATCCCTCCCACTCCTGATCTGAGCCACCGATCAAGCACATCGATGTCTATGACGAGCGCCTCGACAACGCCAGATCGGTCGAGCCTGCAGCACCGAACGCACGATGTCCTTGATGTCCCCACTCGCATCGTCGAGGATGAGGCCTTCGAGGACAACAACTCGTACTCCGACCTGCCCGTGTCCAAGTACGCCACCCCTCTCCCCCGCTCGCGCCAGAGTTCGCGGCAGCATGTGCGGTAGACCCGCACGGCTTATGTGCGACGATCTCTCAGCTGGCTCAACTAGCCTCATACCTGATCCCTGACCTCATAATGCCTAAGCTTCCGCTTAGGTTGGTGGCGGGACAGTCTTAACCTCACCACTGCCTCATGGCAACGCCATCTGGCACTTCGGCTTCTCGCCACCCCACATTTGCATTGCCTTTCCTTTGGCGCAGGCGTCGGCGTCAAAAGGGGCGAACTCACGTTCTTACTGTCCTTGATCACACGTTCGATCTACACGTTTCCCACCCCACGAATTCTTCTTGTGTACGGCCATTCTTAGGTAGCGCGGGCTGCGCAGAGGAGGAAAAGGATCTGGATCTGTGAGATCTGGACCTCATGTGATGCGAGAGTAGGAGATGTCTTCTTATGTATCTTATCTTAGCGAGCTTTTTGTAGCGTATAATACCATATCTCATCGTCTCTACACACACCACACACCACACACTGCACGGGCCGATATGGAAACGAGACATTGCGAACACTGTCATGTCGTCAAGCCAAGAAAATTGATTCGCTGCCTCATCTAGCCTCGTCACTTCCCTTGCACCCCTCCAGCAACCTATCCTATCATTGAACCGACTATCAGCCACAAGCTAAGCACCGTGCCATAGTCAGCGCTATGCGCGCCGCAAAGCGTGCATGACCTTGATCCCAGATCTGGTGGCTTAGATCGCCACCTCAGAGAACGTAGCGCGACGTTGTTGGCGTCGGCAGGCGGGGATAATCGATGGAACACACATGTCTGCTATATCAAGGACGTTATTGCAGGACGCTAATGTAGCCGTTGGACGACATGCGGTGCAATATTTGCGCAGGAATGTAGTTATGTTGTATAATTTGCGTATGATGGTGCGGATGCGGATCATCTGTTTGTGATGATTCCGAGCAACAAAACTCGGGATATGGATATGCTTACTATGATCGACGGGAGTGTTCAGCTCAGATGAAGTATGCTTATGGCTTGTAGACTGTGTTGCCGAGTACTCGCTTCTCGTGATGTGCTGGCACGTATCTTTGCTCAAGCGGCTGCTGCAATGAAGTGAACTGAGAAGTGGCTTATCAAGCCGAGTTGAGCTCGCTCGGCAGTCCATGCATATTCATTCGCACTCTAATTTAAGCGAACAGAACTCCATTCGCTGGTATGTAAGATATGTGGAACGAAGCCGATTGGGACATGGGTGGGACAATGGCTGACCTTGCTGACCCGCTCTGGCTGCAGTGTTCATGATCGACGAAGTGACAGCTTGACGTCTCGTAACGGTGTTGGGGATAAGTTGCGTTATCACCGCGAAGGTATTGAGAAAGGCACGTGGGGAATCAGCCGTGCTCGCTCATGATCAAGTGCAGATGTTGTGTACCGCTGCGCGAAGTTTGTAGACGAGCAGACTTGTATGCAACTAATGTGACTGCCCAGAGCTCATCGCAATCGCATGAGAATCGTTCTTGGCTTGATATATCCTTGATCATTCGCACATCATCATGCAATACATATTGTGAATAGTTGCAGAACGTAGGGTGAAGCAGTATCGATGTATTGGTGCCAGCGTTGCCAAATAGACGTAGTACTGGAATCTACGGCTACGGTGAGCAGCGGTAATTATAATGAGCCGTAGCCGTACAGGGAAGGGAGTAGGTGTAGATTGAGGCGCAGTACGGCAGTACTGTGCTAAAATTTAGTGTTTGTTCTAAAGTATAATCATTAGGTTTGTAAAGCTAGAAATAGAGTCTGTTATCTCTTTTGTGCTAATGCCTACCTTTATAGCAGTAACAATAGTATTACTTCGTACTTTTACAAGTTCAAAATACACCCTGAGCACTTTTTTAATTCTTTTTGCTTTTTAGCTTTGTCACGTGCACAGCAATACTGCAGTACTACGCCAGTTACGGCTATCTACGCCTACTGTTCGTATGCCACCCATGCTACGTAGGTATCGGGACGCTACGGTTGCCTATAATTGCCGTAGGTTACGGAATTGACCCTTACCGTAGCCGTATACGTCCAGTTGGCAACGCTGATTGGTGCATTGGGAAAGCGGGTGATCATGGAAGGCTTCTCAGAAGGTTTTTCTAGCTGCAGATGTAGTATCGATGGTGGAGCTTGAGGTAGATCGGGAAACGCTGCATGACTTAGCCCACCCCAAAATTCGCCTGACTGACCGTTGCTGAGCTATGGTCCTGCCTGACGGATGTGCTTAGTCTCAATGTCGTTCTTCTTGGTGCAGGAAGATATGGTCACCTTGCAAGGCACCTCGGTTTACTGCTTGATGGTGTCGATGCTATCAGTTGACGTGAACAGCTTGGCAGTTGCTCTGGCTGTCTCGAACACTCAATCGAACACGGGTGCCGCAACGTTCGCCCGAGATCCCGGCGATAGCTTGTTCGGTGGGGTAGTTGTCTGGCGAAGATGTAGTCGATATTAGCCCACCTTAGAGAAGAGGCTACTGCGACGTCACAGGGTATTTGGCACGCGGAAGTCAGCGGAATAGGGCCGGACATGCAGAGTCATTACCTGGTGTCGTCCACTTTCCCAATCCCCCGTAAACGGCGTCAATGATAGGGTTTGATGCAAGACATTCACCCCGCTTGTTAGGTACCAGTTGCAGCGAGGCTTCAAAGCAAGGAATTCTCAATAGAGTTTACTGATCTAATGTCGACGACATTTTTTTTGTTCTGCTGTCCTCGCCGAGTCCTGGTCCAGAGGTAGGCACACAAGTGGGCATGATGAGCGTCGAAAGCGTAGCATATACACGAGGGCAGCTCACCACGTTGCCGGCACGTTGTCGATGGCGGTGCTCGATGGAAGGAACGTCCGTGATCTCGTACAGGTCTTCTTTGGTCTGTAGCGCAGGAGGTGCAGACGGCCTTACCTGAAGTTGTCGTAGATGCGAGCTAGGCTTGATGCCACTGGATCGGCCGGTCTATTGCACCATCTTCTCACAAGCTTGGTGCAGCTCCTAGCGAGCGCGCTTTCCACATCCTCCTTTTTTTTTCCAGAAGAATTGGCATATTGTCGGCAGGACGAGCCGAGGCAGGCTGAAGAAGCGCTCCTTACTTTGATCTCGAGGTCGTGTATCTTGGCAGTCACAGTAGGCTTATGTTCATCCTTTTTGCGACTGCTGGAGACGTGTTGGTATCAGGAATTTGTCCTGCTTGGTGACTGCATACTTTAGAGCTAGAGTCGCTTACAAACTGCCGTCTTTAATTGTCGATGGAAAGGCATATGAACCACGGGTTTTCAGAGGCGCCGTTCACATGGAGGTTGGGTAGCAGCCAATCAGGCATGGTGGGGTGCAGCTCTGTGCATGGCGACACGTGTGATTCGTCCGAAACAAGATGAGAGACTACTTTTGAAATGCCCGGCTTCAATTCGAGATTAGGACGAAGCGAGCTGTACGAAGCTAAGACAACAGGTACCTTCTACGTTGTGTCACCTCCAAGCGCTCCAAAAGGGACCGAATTGTGCTCTGTCCATGACTCCGTTCGGCCGGAAAAGGAGACCTCGCCTCGCCGTTGGAGACAAACGTTATCATGAAACACGATCTCCCTCTGGGAGGCCTACGGCACATACAGCCTAGTGCGTGGAACGGCGTTGGGATCGTCAGGCAGTAGCAGGCACCGTGCTCTGGTGAGAACGGATTACAGGCGAAAGGTCCTCCAGGCTCCAGCAGACGCCAGATGACGAGAGAGTCAAAGTTATGCCCGGCCACTATGCGTTCCACAATTTGGCTCCGCCCGCGCAGGTGACGTTGAACAATTGCGGACACGTCAAGGCACAGCCGCTCAGCACAACTTCCAGGTGAAGGAGAAGTGGTGTTGCTCCGGGAGACACGCAAAGATGCGCGTGCATAGGGCAAGGGCGCGCGTTGCATAACGGCTGCGACAGCCGTAAATGTGATGGCAACGCCGGAGTGGAGTCGTGGACAGCATCGAAGAAGCGTGGGTGTGGCTTGTTCGAAGTCCAACAAGCGCGCCAGGCCCTGCATGAGACAGGGAAGGTGCGCCCGAATGGTGCCTTCCCCTGGAGAGCTACATCCCGCCACGGCCAGGGGTGCAGTTGGGTCTCGCGGCGCTGTTCAGAGAATAATTCTAGTGTCCAGTGTGTCCAGCCTCGACTGTCCGCTTCACTAAGTGATTTCTTGCGCTGAAGCTCGTGCGTCACTCTTACAGTTTGCGCGTTGCTGCAACGGAGGGATCAGTTACGCGCACCTTCACCTGTCCCATGCCAATCCGCGCTGCCTCCACTCGCCATTATCACCGCCTCTTGGCTCTGCTGCCCTTGAACTCCACTTTCGACACGTAATTGCCCTGCGACCATCCGGTTACACAGCGACGCCGCACCTTGCCTCGACGAACGGCGCTGCCGTGGCCGCAACACCATGGAGTCTCCGCCGACCTCGCCGCCAGCGCGCGGTAAGCGGCCTATGAGCGCGATGATTCGTCCGAATCGCAGCTCCAGCCGCCTAAGCATGAGCAGCAAAGTGGGAGGGAGCCGTGCTTCAGACGACGAGAGCAAGACGGCGGTCAAAGTCGGTATGTGGGCAGCGCTTTCCCTAACTTTCCCCGCAAACAAACATGCCTAACAATCCCCATTACAGCTGTGCGCGTGCGCCCTCCACTCAAGCAGGACGACCCAGGATTTGATTTGATACCCCAACGATTCCGCTCTCCGCGTTGCCATGTCACCTCGCCCTCGAGTCTCGCTGTCGATCCAGCTGCGGGCGGCCGGAAGGTCTTCGTGTTTGACCGCGTTTTCGGCGAAGAGGTCGACCAAGAGGGCGTGTTCGAGTATGTCACGGACAGCGTCAACTCATTTGTAGAGGGATACAATGTTTCGATTCTGGCCTATGGTCAATCCGGTGCCGGGAAATCCTACACCATGGGAACGACAGGTCCCGGCGACCAGGGCGATGTACAGGTCATGGGCATCATCCCCCGCGCAGCTGCACTCCTCTACGAGAAACTCGAAGGTCCTAGCATCCGCGCACCCGGCTCTGGCATCCGCCGTCCCAATTCTCGTGTCTCCAGCATGAGTTCTCACAACTTCTCCAGCAAGCCTCCCAGCAAGAAAAATTGGCAGCTCACGGCGACCTACGTTGAGGTGAGAATCTGATGTTCACCGTGAGACTGACGATGCTGACAGAAATAGATATACAACGAGCAGCTCCGTGACCTCTTGCTCTCCGACACAGTACCGTCCGCCCAGCGTCCTGAGGTGGCTATTCGTGAGGAGCCTGGAGGCCGAATCATCCTTGCCGGTCTCACACAAGTCACGATCAACTCGGTAGACGACCTGCTGAATGCCCTGAACTTTGGTTCTTCCATTCGCCAGACCGATGCAACCGCCCAAAACGCAAAATCCTCGCGCTCGCACGCTGTCTTCAGTCTAAATCTCGTGCAGAAGAAGAGTTCATCTGCGCCTACCGCAACGAAAGATAAGCGTCGATCAGTGCCTCTCGAGGCAATGTCTGGCTCGGGCGAGAACTTGGTGACAATCGACAGCAAACTGCATTTCGTAGATCTGGCAGGAAGTGAACGGCTGAAAAACACACAAGCATCGGGCGAGCGAGCAAGAGAGGGTATCTCCATCAATGCTGGCTTGGCAAGCTTAGGCAAGGTCATTTCTCAGCTGTCCTCGCGTCACCACAGCGCCCACATCTCCTACAGAGACTCACGTCTTACACGCCTGCTTCAAGACTCGTTGGGTGGAAACGCCATCACGTACATGATTGCGTGCATCAACCCGGCAGAGTTCCACCTTAGCGAATCGCTGAACACAGTCCAGTACGCACAACGTGCGCGTGCGATCCAGATTAAGCCACAGATTCAACAGATCCACGACGACAGCGACAAGCAGGCAACGATCGCACGTCTCCGCAATGAGGTCCAGTTCTTGAGAGACCAGATGAGGATCTCCCAGAACACAGAACGGCTCAACACTGATCCGAACGAGCGCGCCAATCAGCAGTATGAGCGCGAAATGGAGCTTCAAAACCAGCTTCTCGACTTCCAAGAGAACTACACCGCTCTTAGTCTCCGTCACTCTAAACTCATTGCAGAGATCTCCAGAGTACGAGATGATCATGACGCGGAAACTCCCATCCTTCGAGACACGGTAGGCGAGTCTGCGCTTGAGCGCCTGAAGCGATCCAACTCGTTCGCAGATGCCGTTGAGGATGTTGTTTTGGAGTACGAGAAAACAATCCAGGCCTTAGAAGCATCTCTTTCAAACACTCGAACATCGATGGCGGGTCAGGAAAGCGAACTCCTGGAGAGGGAGGCTCGCATCTCTTTGCTTGAGAGCCAAACCCACCAGCTGCAGGCCCGCATCCAGAAGGGCATCGAACGCGAGGCCAGTAACGAGGACTACGTCAAGTCCCTGGAGCGCCAAATTGACAACTCCGTCTCTGGCGTTGAGAGGACCGACACTACTATCTCTGAATTGCGCGAGAAGCTGCAGAAAGCTAGAGAGAATGAGTCTAGTTGCGAGGAGTATATTTCTACCCTGGAAGAGCGCCTCGCTGAGAACGAGCAAGAAGTTGAGGTCATGACACGAGAGATTGAGCGCCTTAAGCATGTGGTTGAGAGGCAGCGCAGTATTGGAAAGCTGGACAACCTTCTCTATGAGCTCGATACCGTGCGTCAGGTAGACGTGAAACCGGAGGAGGTCTTAACAAATGGGCACAGCAGGGCTCCCAGCGACCCATTCATCGAGAAGCGAGTTTTTGTCGGGGGCCAGCCTCTCGAAGGCACTCGCCACTTCAGCACCGCCGTTGACGCTATTGCTGAAGAGGACGATGTCGAGCGCCCCGCTACCGCGGGAGCTGCGAGTGGCAAAGGCGAGCTGGCAGTACAGGACGACAGCCGTTCAATCAGGACGACCTCTGTCTCAGGCCTAACTGCAGAGCCCGGCATGGAAGAACCATCGAGCCCTGCGCAGTCCAGGTTTGTCCACGACAAGCTCGACTCCGTCACACAAGAGCTCTTCGATCTGCGAGTAGAGCATGAGGGAACTCTGCAAGATTACGAGAAGCTTGCGAGCAAGTACCAGGAGGCATTGCGCACTCTGGCCTCGCTCCAAGATACCGTTGACGAAGCTCGTCATGGCTCCTCTCGTTCATCAGCTTTTTTAGGCAGCGCCCCCACCAACGGTCTCGACAAGGAACTTGGACAACCTGCATTATCGCGTGCATTGTCGTCGGAATTACTCTCGGCAGAATCTGGCAACATTTCTACCTCTGAGGATGTTGACGATGGCGAGGCACAGGCTGCTCTCCGACGGTCGTCGACATCTTCCACCGAGAGTGGGTACTCGATTCCAAAGGCGACACTGATACAGGAGCTGCAATCTCTGAAGACGTTGCATGCTAGCAAGGAGCAGCGTGTGGCAGAGCTGAAGCGAGACTACTCAGATCTCCAAGAGCAATACCAGGAGGCATTGGACTACGTGGAGGAGCTCAAGTCTGAGGTCACCAAAGCCCAGCTCACTGCACGCCCAAGCTCTCCTTCGGTCCACATGATCCGTCGGAAGTCGAGCCAGGCATTACTTTCGAACGACCGTTCTAACCGTGCAGTCAATTCGCTTCGTGGCTTGGCTATTGACAAGCTCGATGAGGAGCCTGCCCTGGCATTTGAGAACAACCTGAACACGATCTTGACCGAACTCACTACTCGATCCGAAAGGGTTCAGGAGCTTGAGCATGAGGTTGCATCCGTACGAAAGGAGATGGAAGGCAAGATGACCCTGATCAGTGGCTTGACGAAGGAGCGATCCAGTCTGAAAGCTTCTACGCCCCTCGACATCTCTATCGTCGCTACCATGCAGGATCAGATCAGGCAGAGCGAGGAGCAGATGCACGAGCTTAAGAATTCCCATGCTAAGAGGGAGGCCGAGCTACGAGAGCAAGTTGCCCTGCTCACAGCTTCAGCAAGATCACCAGAGTCCTCGGATGAGGCACTCGCTGCGCCTGATACTGCCGAGGGTGACATAACGGACGACGCGACACGTCACCGACAGCTGATTAGTCTTACAAACGAGGCAGCACAATGGCAGTCGAAGCACGTTGAGGCAATTGAAGCCACCAAGGCTTCTGAGAAGCAGCACCTCAGTACAGTCCGAGAGCTTGAGTCAGCCATGGAACAGCTCCAGGCAAACCACACTGCCCGTATGACTGAGCTGGAAGATACTAAGGGTGCTGAGGCATCAGCTGCCCTGGATCAGGAACGAATCAAGCACGCTGAGCTCGTCACTGCTCTCCAAGCTCAGGTTGACGAGCACAAAGCGACCGCGGGTAATAATGCTGCCCGCCTCGCTGAGCTTGAACAGTCCCATGCCAATATCATCAAGCAGATAGAGGAAGATGCAGAAGCCAGGGCCTTGACTGAGAAGGAACTAGACACTCACAAGTCTCTCGTGGCCAACCTGGAGCATCAGATCGAGGAGCACAAGGCTGCCATCGACTACCATCAGCAGGGCATGGATTCTCTGCAGAAGTCTCACGCGGCCGAGCTAGAGAAATTGGCCTCCGAGCTTACAACGCACAAGGAGTCCAACGCTGTGCTTCAGACCGATCTGTCCAAGGCCAAGGACGAGTTGGAGACCCTCCTGCACGGAGTCTCTACCGCACTAAACCACGAGATTGATGTCACTCAAGTGCAGTCTCAAGTTGAGTCGCTGGTCGAGGCTCGCAAGTCTCTCACCACACGCATGGACCAAGCTCTTGATGATCTTCAGGCAGCCCGATTGGAGTTGTCCGACGCTTCCAAGACCATCGCAACCCTCAAGGAGAACATGACGGAGTTCGAGGCCATCAACACTGAAACCATCAAAGAACTCGAGCGTGTTAGCGACAAGGAGCGGAAGAGCTCACGACTCGTCCAGGAGCTGGAAGACCAGCTCAACCAAAACTGGGACCAGCATGAGGCTACCAACAACCGCCTGTCTGCTCTTCAGACGGAGCGCACCCGTGAACTCCAGGGCGTCATCGTACATCGCGAGCAGCTTGAGAAGGATTATGATGAGTCTCGAGCCAAGATCGCCAGTCTTGAGCAACAACTTGCGGAAGTCAAGCGCAATTCTGGCCGGGTCTCTGTGGATCCTCGCGAGGATCTCCAGAGGTCCAACTCGAATAACTCCAATGCTCGTAAGAGCTTGAACATGTCGTTGCCTTCCCCACCACCGGCAATTCCGCTACCTCCTCTGCCTCCAAATAGCCCACCGCCAAATCAGGTCAATGCTCCTTCACCGCCGGCTTCGCGCCACCAGAGCAAAGACATTGCACATGCTCAGCTGGTCGAGGACCAGGAGGCTCGCATCCGTACCATCGAGAAACACTTGTTCGCAGAGAAGCAGCTTACAGCTACACTTGAAGATGCTCTGACCGATCTCGAATCGTCAAGCCAGAAGACCAAGGGCGATCTGGACCAGTATAGGAAGAAGTGTGCTAGCCTCGAGGAGGAACTCAGCGCCATGCGCAAGGAGCGACATGCTGCGCGTCACTCTCTCCAGGCTGTCGAGGAAGAGCGCAATGCTCGTCTCCGTGTCGAGGCCGAACGCGCGCATCTTGAAGCCCGTATGGCCGCTCTCAATGACGCCAACAAGAAGAGCAAGAAGAAGGGCACTTTGAACTGCTTCTAGGCTCTTCACGACACAAAATTGTTCACACCGTACACTGTTCGCTTTGCGGCGCATTGGGATATGGCGTTACATACCCCGATACACTCTGTCATTTTGCCACCATTCTCGACCTACTTCCGTGATGGTTGTAATTATTCGACGTTTCTTCGACGCCTGGATTTTCCGGTGATCTTTTCTTCTTCGATCATCTGACAGGTATGTCGCCAAAGCATGCTTGCCACATGGTACCCTTTTCCACGACTCCGTTGTCTATTCCTTTGGCGCGCGCGTGCATACCCATACCCCTTTCTTCACTTTACTTAATGTATACACGTTTGGCGGAAGAAGTTCTGGTTACAAATAATTGCGGAGGAAAATCAGGCTTGCCGGAGGCTTTAGGCTCGAAGGCATTGATGAGATTTATGATAGCATGGTAGCATTTTGCGAGCGACGTTGGAGAACCAAGGCATTTGAGCAATTCAATTCTGTTTCACACACAATTTGACAATGCGTGCTTGATTGCGAAACTAGATGCAGGATTTCAAGCATTGTAGTTGTCTAGCCTTCGATGCTGCCAGAGACATGCTTTTGCTTGTCAGTTGTAGACCAGGCCATTAACAAATGCTCGCCGTCGTGCAGTCTCTGCGTTTGTCCGGCAAACATGCTCCACGTTGTTTCGGGCGATAGGTTGCTGTGAGGTACGGGCTGTCGCGTCCCCAGTCAATGGCGGGTCGGCACGGGCACGTCATCTGCACTAGAGTCGAGAATTTGGGTACGCACGCAATCACCATGAACAGAATCGGCATTCGTCGGACGCCAGACTGACTAAAAGCACGCAACTGCCCTCATCCTTGGTCGCTTGTTCATTCTGCTCTCTTCCCTCAATTTGTTGAATTCAAGTCCTCTCAAACCACATCAAAATGGCGACGTGAGTGCCCCGCGAAACCCCACCATCCCACCATTTTTGGGGCCTTCAACCAAGACGACGATTACTGACAGCCGCCAGCAACATCACATGGCACCCTTCCCTTTCTCGTGAGGAGCGCAACACATTCCGCAAGCAGCCCGGCTTCACCATCTGGTTTACCGGTCTCTCTGCGTCTGGAAAGTCGACTATCGCAACTGCGCTCGAGCAGCACCTGTTGCACTTGGGCTTTGCTGCCTACCGTCTCGATGGCGACAACGTGCGCTTTGGATTGAACAAAGACCTTGGGTTTAGCGAGAAGGACAGGAATGAGAACATCAGGCGTATTGCTGAGGTACGGTCTCCCGGGCCCTGCTGCTTCTCGCCGAATGCAAGAGCGCGTGCTCAGGAATAACAACTAACTCACCCCCAGGTCGCAAAGCTCTTTGCCGACTCCTCCACAATCGCCATCACATCCTTCATCTCGCCCTTCGCCGCGGACCGCGCCACCGCGCGTGCCCTGCACGCCGAAGTCAAGGGCAACGACGCTCCGCTCGAGTTCATCGAGGTCTTCGTCGACCTGCCACTCGAGGTCGCCGAGGCCCGCGACCCCAAGGGTCTCTACAAGCTTGCCCGCGCGGGCAAGATTCCTGAGTTCACTGGCATCAGCAGCCCGTATGAGGCGCCCGAGAACCCGGAGATCTACATTAGGAGCGATCAGAAGAGCGTCGAGGAAGCTGTAGCTGAGATTGTGGCGTATCTTGAGAAGAAGGGGTTGTTGAAGCTTAAGCAGTAGAGGCTCGTCTTGAGATCGTGGTTGGCAGTATATGGTCTTCTGGCTACAAAACGTCTGTTGGATGAAGCAAATGTCGATTGATGAAGTGCTGGGCGAACAAACCCCCTGAGCACAAAGGAGGTTTGATGTATCTATTGACGCCGGTGATTCCTGTGCTTCGAGAGCAAGTTGCCTCTGGGATTAGGATTTTGCTTGCTGTGAGTTTCTCGTGTTGTCACAAAACTGATCACAGCCGCGCAGGTGAGTGTCTACCCAGAACATGCATCCAATTTCGTAGGTCATGGGAGACAGTATTAAGCTCTTCTCGTACATGAGGATTCCGAGGTTGCTTCCAAACTGTCTAGCGTGATGATTGGCAGTGACTTTTTTGATCAGCTCGACTGTGAAGATCAACAGCGCCAGAATCACAAAGGAGACATGATTCACAAAATGCTCGAAGACGTACAAGTAAAGAACGATTTACTCACGGTGCTGCTGGTGGAGGACGCGTTAGTCAGCACGGCAAAACAAATATCCGGCCCGCTTTTGCTCAAGACTAAATTTTCAGCAGCTGCTGCAAAGAACACTCACCACAACCACAAACTCGGATATATCGCGCTTTGCATGCGCGCGTTCTCGTTTGTTGATGTTTGCTAACACAGCGATGCGCTTCCGCCTGTAGTATTTGGTAAGCTCCTCCCCCTAGTCGCGCCCGCGCAGATGATTATCAAAACACGAACAATCCAATTCCTATCAGTTCATGAAGGACTACTATATCTAGAATTACCATGATGCCCGCACCTCGGCAGCGCTTTTGCTCCCATGCTTGGCTCTGAAAAGTTTGCTAACCGAGTCTTAGTTCCTCTTGTTCCTTTCACGCTCAGCGCAAGCTTGAGCAGCATCGTCTGCACATCATTTTTCAAAAGGTACGGCTACCCACATATCCTGCACCATCCCCACCCCCAGCATAGTGATGATACTGTGACACGGAAAGGCATTCCTCGACCTGAATATACAATGTCGATCTTATCACGCAATTAAGTTTCAGCCTTGTCTGATTATGCTCAACACCGTCAACTGTTCAACATTTGATTCGAGGCTCGAAGCTGACTAGTTGTCTTCAGGTACACACTCCCTCTCAGACGCGATCTCCCAAGTCGGACCCACCCTCCCTTCCTGATGAGACCCCTCGATGCGTCGGGCGGACAGATCGTACTCTTTGACCGACATCCGTTAAAAACAGGCGTACAAACCTGTGGGTGTCGGAAGGGGAAGTACTTGTTGATATAGCATCACTGATTGCACACTCCCCGTGCTCATGTTGTGAGACGATAAGTATTAGACTCCTGCTAACAATCGTTGCGCAGGTACGGCATTCTCTTGTCTTCTTTCCCGGTCCATCTTTTCTATGATGATTATTTGATATTCACACTGTGTGACGCGGCGTCTTCGTAACGGTTGGCGTCGCTCTGATCACTTTAAAAAATCTGATTTAATGAGGTATGCTCCACTCACTGAAGACTGAGAGTACCAGCAGCTGACATCGCGTAGACTGAAACATTTGGTGGACTGCGATCTTTCATTCAGCAGAATGAGAAGTTGTATCAAGAGAGTATCTGCTGACGATACAATACCAGTGACTCTCTTTCATCATTTGCTCCGTACGTTGCATTGCATTGTCCGTAAGTCCACGCCTACCCACTGCGCTGCACATCTACATGAGGAAGACAATGTACTGCTGTAATCTTCTGCATACCCCTTGAAGAACATCACATCACTTTGGAGACCTGACATTCGATTCCACCAATAAACTGTTGACACACGATGTTCACGACAAGTTTGCTGACCAGTCTCAGGTATCTTCTACTTTGATGAGCTTCCAAGCGGAAGCTGCGGATTTAAGTAGCAATATTTATGTTCAATGAAACTATCTTTTGTCCAAATCTAGACATTCCACTGTGCACATGTACGCGATCGTGTCAATCATCACCGCTTCCATCTCTGCTGCCACTCCCCTGCCCCATCCACCAACCCCTCACACCGCAAACTCGATTCCGTTCGCCAGCTGTCGTTTGTTATTCTCCACTGCGGCTCTCAACGCTCCTGCTGCGGGGCTCTACGGGTCCGATCCTAGCGCGGTACTCCAGAAAGGCGGTCGTAAAATCACGCAGTCACTAACGACCGAGCATGGCGGTCAAGCACTTCTCCATCGGTCGGCGACGCAGGAACGGGCGTTTGCCCACTTTCCCAACCTCTTTTGTGGCGGTCAACTGGGAGGAGGCGTGGCTAAGTATCCACCTTCATCATGGGTTTGCTCTGCGCATAAACGTGCACTGGATGCCGTGTGCTAGGCCCTGGTCAAAGTCTGGAACTTGATGCGATGTAGACTTGCTAGCAGGCATGCTGGGCGTCCGGTTCATGTCGTCGCATTTTTATTGAGGATATGAGCGCCGAACCGAGCCATGTCCTGTCACCGCATCGCGCTCAGACACAATCAAGAATCATGACTAAGCACGGGCAGCAGAAGAGCAGACGTCGCGTGGCATGCTCCGCATCCCTCCACTCGATCGCGATTGTTTACAGAGTCTGTTTGTTCGTGGCCGGCGCGCCCGAGGCGGTCGCTGGTGCGATGAGTCTGCAATGTGCAGCTTGAGTCTTAGTGCAGGTGTGGAGTACATGAGCTGTCACTAGATGTGACTTGCATGCAAGAAAGTGTCTGTGACGTGGACCGTGATGTGGGGTGCCATGTGTGATGCTGCAGCCGAGGAGCGGAGACGCACGAAGCGAGTATGCTGCTGGATGAAGCTTCATCGGTGCAATCTGAGACTCATATCTGGTAGCAAAATAGCCATGGGCACAACTGTGATCATAGTGTTGTCTTGTTTGTGATGGTGACGAAGGTTTAGGACATATGTATCGGGCAATAGGCATGTTTGTGATTGTGTTTCGCAACAATTAGAGAGTTCACGATCCATGGAGCGGGGGGTGCTATTCAGTTCAGTAGCTTCAAATCTAGTCCACCGATAGTTTACACGTCAACGCTTGTTTCGCCTAGCAAAACAACAAGATCGCTAAACATTATACCATTGCTCGACTTGATGTCGCTGAGATGAGTTGCTGATGTTGGTCTGCATTAGGCGCATGTACGATCTATCGATAAGTGATGTGTACTCTGCAAAGGGATAGCCTGCGCGATGCTGTGTGACAGGAGCTGACGCGGGGGAGCTGGAAGGAATAGGTAAACGGACAGCTGCGATACAGTAAGCGCCAGCGTGTCGGTCCACTCCAGCGCTTCGTGTCACCTCTGTGGGGCGCATGCAGTCTTCTGTGTTTAGATTCGGGCAACATCGCTGATTGCTGGTATCGATATGAGGGTGAAGCTGGCAGAGGCGGGCAAGGCTGAGCATCACCTGGTGGTGCTTCGCGAGCCAGCTGAGCGTTGGTTTTAGAGCTAAAGAAACAAAAGAAGAGAAGTGAGGGAGATTGATTGGTCGACACTAGGCAGCCGCATGCGTCGAAATCAAATGTTAGATTTCTTGTCCTGTCCAATTGGATGTATGAACGGCTAAATTGTCAGGGCTCGACGTATCACAAAAGAGATGAGCATCGAAAAGCAACGCGCGCGGGTGGTGCTGCAGCGTGCGCCACAATGGGCATGACCGTTGGGGCGGGAGAACAGATGGCTCGAACGACAACTGTCGCGCTGTGGTCCCGCGTTACTTGCTTTTGCCTTGCCGCCCGCAAAGAAAGGATCTCGAGTCCTGCTCGAGCTTGCCCCGCCGCAGAGGCTGTGTAACTATTGCTTTGGACGCGGAAGGAATGCGTATTGACGCTCGGGGTTGATATTTGGGTTATTGCAAGGCAGCCCTTTGCTTAGAGTCCTGGGGTTGAGCACTGCACCCACCTGGCCTGCAAACATGTGGCCAGCGTCATGTAAGGGTGTTCCGTAATTATCTTGCCGTGGGTGGACGGTTCAGGTCCGTCCCGTGGCGCGTGGCTCGATCATTTGTGCAGCTTAGGGAGCCACTGAAATTGCTGTTGGCAGACAACGACAAGCACGGATGCAAAACAAGTTCAAGAGAACGCGTCAAAGCGTCGACCTTCCTCTCCGAACGCGGACGATGACTTGCAGAGGAGATTGAAGCAATACCGGGTGTAAGGGAATGCTTTGACGGTGAATGGGCCATGATGGGCCTGTTGGCCGACTCTCAGAGAGTGCACCGGGACGATTAGGGCTCTGAAGATTCAGTGTTATGGTTGACATCGGGCGGTCCGAGGTCCTTCGGTCGGATAATAAAGTTGCAGTACCTGTTGTAGGAGTCGACCTCGATAGTGCTGCGTTTCTGGTGATTTCGCAAGAAGCCACGCAAGGAGCATCATGTCCATCATACTGGAACCGAGGACGCTGCGACGCCCGAATCTTGCTGTAAAGTCCGAGATGATTTGTATATGAACAGGGCTTCTTTACCTGTGCGCTGCCATGAGTGTCGTGACGGTGGGCTGGCAATCTATTCTGATGGTCTGTGACGAGGTCCTAACGCGGGAGAAACATTCTGGAAGATGAGTTGCATCTGTAGCGAGATCAATCCGACCCTTAATTTGAATGGTTCGTTCATCATCATGGAAGGCGCACAACGCTGACTGCACTGTTCTTTGCGCATGGACTTGCAAAATAGTATTTCGGCATCTCAGGGTCTCCAAAGGTCAGAGGGTGACAGCGGAGCGGGAGGCCCAACAGACGGCATTACGCGTGTCCAGCAAGAGACAGCTCGGCGAGCCTGGCGAGATGGACTTGCAAAACTCTGCTCGCCATGCGTGCGCATTCCATTTGGGGCACTATGTTGACAGTGTTCCTGGAGCAACTTTGCCGTACGGATGCCTGCTGCTCCTCACAGATAGAGTTGGCCCTTGAGCTGGCTATTGTTTCGTCGATCACTGAGTGGTAGCACGGCACATTAGTTCTCAACTCTCCGTTTGCCCTGCATGCTGCCTGAGCCAGAGTTCGGCCCACCATGACGATGATGATATCGTATCCTCAAGGGTTCTCAGTGATCAAACATCCCCATGATATTCTGAGGTTGGGCACGCCTTGATCTGGGATGCCCACGATGAGCGCATCGGCGCCGGTCTCAATGTCCCATGTCCCCACCACTGACTCAAGCCAAGGAAGATTTCACGCCGCTCTCCCACCATGGCTGTTCCGGGATGCCACGGGTGCGCTAGAAGCACGCTTTGACAGCGAAACCACGTTGACGGTGTCGACAAAGGCTCTTCGCCAATAGTTATGTGCGCTAGAGGTGATGGCCAATGGGGTATGGCTGCAGGATGCTCAGGAACCTGCCTCAAAACAGGTACTAGTGGCTGTCGGCGCAAGTCAGAGAACGGAAAAGGGGCCGCAGAAGTGACGAAACGTGGTTGCCCCAGCGAAATGACAGCCTGAAGACCATGCCTGAAGATCGTAACTCGCGAGGAGGTTGCGCAGCTCAGTCCTTGTTGTTGCGCGTAGACATGCAAGATGAGCCGCGTGCTGGCGGCCCCGTCCTGACTGGGGCAGGGCGCGCGATCTGCTGGCGGCGCGAATCGAGGGCTGGGGGTGAGGCTATGTTTCGTGCGGTGAGCAAGAGTCGTGGGCGTACATAAGACATGTGCGTGCTAATGCATATGCTGGTATGTATAATTTTGGCGGCATCGGCGACACGGAGCGTCACGTGTTGGCACATAAAGTCGAGAGAATTGAGCTGCACACGCAGGAGCCCAACCTATGAAGTGCGCAACAATATCGAAAAAGGGGGCGGGCCGCCGCGAAGCACCCAATGGCCGCTGCGCGCAGAGTCTAGCACGCCCGTGTACTGGTGTCGGACGCGTTCGATTTGGCAGTCCAACGCGCCTTGCCTGTTCGAGCGGCGAGTGAACCGAGCGCTCCTGCAACTCTGATCGCGCCTTCCCTTACACGCCCGAGCCCGTTGACAGTCAGCCCCCGTCTCAAGTCGGTCCTGCCCTCATTTCGCGCAACTCAATCTTGCTGGCCGCTACACCCTCGCCGTGCTCTGTCTTTGACTCCAAAACATCGCTTCGCCCTCGCCATGCTTCTGCACCTCACCGCTCACTCTGCTCTTACCGCTACCAATTCCGCTGCTTGTTTCGCTCGCTAGCCGGCGTGTCAACCCACTCCACCTGGGCCGCGAAGAACTGGCTGCCAACGCACGCATCTGCGACCGCCTTCACCACAGCAACAGACCGACTACTGGCCATGAGCCGGACCTTGCCTGACTGGGTTTCCTGATCAGCATAATTACGCCTCGCAACGCTCCCCGAGCGCCCCTTCCACCCTAATTTCCTACCTAGCCTAGCTCGGCGATTCGTGCAAAGGCCCATTTTCGCACCCCTCCTGTCTCTCATTAAAGAACCGGTCCATCAATCACAGAGACTTGCCGCTGCCGGTGCATTTCTGCTCGTGTTGTCACATCCCGTCCATCACGTCTGCACCGTGTTAGGCCGCTTCGTCTTCACCACCCCCGACTGGAATCACTGGACCCGGCCACCCTTTCTCAACCTCTACTCGTCGGCCAAATCCACTTCCCTCTAGCCCCGACGCTCGGATCAAGGCCACACCTCCCTGTCTGATCATAAAGCCATATACGCTATGGTCACGAAGTCATACCTCATCAAGCTCACTAGAACATCCTAACTTACGGAATACTACCCGCCTACCGTGGTCCCGGGCGTGCTCCACAGCCCTTTTCCAACCGTCGTCCCTCATTTCTTCGACATTCCCGCACCTGCATCAACCTGGACCCCTACGCCTGCTGCTATCCCACTTCAAACCCTTTGATACGCACCGGACTCCCCCTCCGCATACAGCAAAACTCGACGTCAGGCCAGAGGAACCATCAAAAGAAAGCAACAAAACGAACCCTGGAATGAGATGAACTAGACCTCTTAGACCGATCCAATCAACAATCACTCCAGGACGCCCCTTTGGTGAGCTCACCGGCTGTCTGTCCAGTGCTTCTGTCTAACCTCCAACAGTCTTGTGTCACACAGAATCGTTGAACGACTCACATCACACTCACAATGCACTCAGAATCACGGGAACTGCCCCATGGATGGGCTTCTCTTGAGGAGAGATATGAGGTGATGAAAGAGATAGGTGACGGTAGCTTCGGCAGCGTTGCTCTTGCACGCGTCCGCACTGCTGGTGCTCACATTGCCCGTCGCGGCACTCTGGTAAGTCACATTTTGCGGCAAGAGCTGTCATCGATGGCCAACTGACTTGTTACAGGTCGCGATCAAGACAATGAAGAAGACCTTCGACTCATTCTCAAGCTGTCTGGAACTGCGAGAAGTCATCTTCCTTCGGTCGCTTCCTCCTCATCCTCATTTGGTACCTGCATTAGACATCTTCCTAGACCCCTACAGCAGGAGACTTCACATCGCCATGGAGTACATGGACGGCAATCTGTACCAACTAATGAAGGCGAGAGACCACAAGCCTCTAGACGCCTCCAGCGTACAGAGCATCCTCTTCCAGATCCTTGCAGGTCTCGAGCACATCCACGCACGCGAGTTCTTTCATCGCGACATTAAGCCAGAGAACATCCTTGTCTCGACATCACAGCAGAACGACTCGTCACATCCTTTCCGTCGCTACTCGGCAATGATGACACCCCCGTCGACTCCTCCCGCGTACACTATCAAGATCGCCGACTTTGGCCTCGCACGCGAGACACACTCAAAGCTCCCCTACACAACATACGTGTCGACGCGATGGTATCGCGCACCTGAGGTCCTCCTTCGCGCCGGCGAGTACTCAGCTCCCGTTGATATCTGGGCCGTTGGTGCTATGGCTGTTGAGATCGCGACATTGAAGCCGCTCTTCCCTGGTGGTAATGAGGTCGATCAGGTGTGGAGGGTCTGCGAGATCATGGGCAGCCCCGGTGGCTGGATCAACAAGCACGGCCAGCCCGTCGGTGGTGGTGAATGGAAAGACGGCGTCAGACTCGCGCAGAAGCTGGGCTTCTCATTCCCGAAGATGGCTCCTCACTCGCTCGACACGATTCTCCAGACACCGCAGTGGCCTGCCAGCTTGGCCAAGTTTGTCACCTGGTGTCTGCTGTGGGACCCCAAGAACAGGCCCACATCCACTCAGGCTCTCGCTCACGACTACTTCCAAAACGCCGTCGACCCTCTGCGCCTGAAGTCGTCGTCTTCGCGTCTGTTGGGCCGCAAGCAGTCCGATCTCTCATGCAAAGACTCTCCGGACGCTTCCCCCAGCATCACATCGAAGACCTCGTCATGGCTGCGCAGATCACTGGTCGCTCGTGAAAGCGCCCCAGCTGTTCCCCAGCACATCACTCCAGTACAGCAAATGTCACCCCGCCCATTGCCGCAGCAAGCCAACACGAGCGACCCAAGTGGGTCAATTAAGCAGCGTCCCAACCCAGCTAAGCGGGCTACGTGGACAAACGGAGTGCCCAACAACGGCGCCCCCATCCCGATCCTACCCTCCATCAGGCCAGTGTCCCCTATCTCCGCAGAAGTCACAGCGCAAGCAAGCTTGCGTGCTGCCGAGAAGGAGGGAAAGGCCAAGATCGGACGCCAGTTGTCACTTGCGTCCCACGGAAACCACTATGCAGACGTGCATCGACAAGAAGCAGAGAGGGCATTGGAGGGCAAGTCAGGCCTGGCATCTCCAGCAAGCGGTCATAAGGAGGGCTTCTTCTCCCACCTCCGCAAGCGCGCTCGACGCCTTTCCGGACGTTACCCAACTCCTATGTCGCCCAACTCAGACGATGTTGAGGCTAACGCAGGTTGTGCTCCTTGGGCGGGCTCCGCTCGATCGTCCATAATTGTCGATCAGCCAGCCGCCGCAGCACCGTCGACGAATCCCGACTACTCGGAATTGGACAAGGCTCTCCAGCACGTGAGGTGCACAGTCGAGAACAATGCGGCCAAGCAGCGCGTCGCATCGAATCCCGTGCTTAAGAGGCACCACTCGGTGCCCCACGGCCCTGAGCCCCGCGTCACTGAGAACGGCATTGGTGGGCCCATCTCCAGCAGGACGAGGCGTGCGGTTCAAAGTAAATCGAACCCCTCGAATCCCCCCAACAAGTACGAAACCCCCAATGAAGAGGAAGAGCTTCTCAGTGAAGTTCTTGCTTCAGCCCACAAGGCTGCAAAGAAGCTGGACAATCAGCAGAGGGCACCACGCCACTCCCATTCCCACACCGAGCCTATGGCATCCTACCTGACTCCTTCACCATCTGCGAATCGCAACACTGCATTCAACCAGAACAACTACGCTACCCCTAGCAAGCCTATGGATATCAACAAACCTTACCCTACACAGAACGAGAACGTCTCGAAATGGCCCACACCGCCTGATGACTCAGACTGGGCAAGCAGCGTAGCAGCGAGTCTCATGGCAACGCAATCGCTATACCGGTAATGCTCCGGCTCGAAACCCTTTCGCTTCGTTCTCAACTCTTTCGATCGCATACTAAGTGTAATTTACGGCCTACATCTCCATCACCAGTATATGCTCGCCCCAATTACCGTTCACTCGGTTATAACCGCACGACATTGAGCCTCGGTCTCCCGTCTGGAACGGTGCAAATATGGTCACAAAAGCGGCGGCGTTTTCACGTCTCAGAACAGTCGTTACATCTCGCAATACTGCCTCATCTCACTAGCAGCGACAGTCATTCTGTACACCACCACATCTCTCCATATCGGATACTATACTTTGGCGGCATTTTCGTTTTCATCTGGCGAGGGCATATCGTACAGGCATGAGATCGTCGACGTTTCACTTTTGGTTAGGGTTAAGTCTGGGAATCCCCGACACCTGCTTCTGCACCCTGTTTCATCTGGGCAACATTTTCGTCCAAGATATCTCGCTAGACTGTTCAGCGCATTTTCCTCGTCAGCTTCATTTCGTTGTTCCTGGCGGATACCCCACTTGCATTTGGCGACTAGATCAACGTCGCCGTCCCCCGCAATCTTCACTGTTTTGGTTAGGATGGAAGTCACGGTGGATCTTGTTTTGGAATACTTGGTGCACGGGTGAGCTTGCGGTATTGTACATAGATAGCTAGTTGTGTTGAGCGATCAACTCCATTTCCTTGCTCACTATCTCCTTGCGTTTCGTGGCCACTATAGACGCCACTGTTATAGACTTGGTCGGCGCTCTCTACCTCTTCGCGACTATTCGCCCCGACAAAGTCAGGACGTTCCTTGTAATCACCTAATGTGGTCTCGCTCGACCAGACCCTTTTTCTTTGGCCGCTGGCTGGTCCTTGTACATGCTTGTAATTTTCTCGAAAGGCGAAGATGTCGAGGCAGGTAAAAATCGGGTTGATACCACTGCGCAGTCTTGTCGTCACTCGGCTGGACCGATCACCAGATCAATCTCCTATGTAGCATATCAATCAACTATCAATGTCCGCACCGCGGCACCCCTAAGACGTCTCTCCACGCGCAACTCTCTGTGCTGCACGTTGAACCCGCCACCGAGCCCCGAGAGTGTAGTGTACACGTAGTCGACGCGCCAGCGCCAGCCGCCAGCCGCCAGCGCAGCGCACGCAGAGCCGACCCCTCGCCACTACTGAGCCCCGCCCCGTACCGCATTCGCCCAAGGCCACAGCCTCTGCTCCACGTCGTCGCCGGCTTCTCCCACCGCCACGCCGAGCAAAAGACGTGTCCGCACTCACCGAGCGCCACGCATGCGGCGCATCGGCACGGACTGGGGTGTGCCTTGGATCGGTCTGCGTCCAGCAGGGCCCGCGAGGTGAGCGAGGCAGGCGTATCGTAGCCTCAGCGCCGACACCGAGCGTCAACGTGTCAAGGCCGGCGCCGGCGCCGGCGCGGGAAATCATGAGGCTCTAAATCAGGGCGTCCTGGCACGGTACCAATGCATGTGTATATGTGTGTGTGCGTGTAAGCTCGGATCTGCCCCGGGACTACCTACCTATGTGCCGCCGCTGCTCGATGGGGGGGGGACCGTGGCATAAAGTACGAACTTCACGTAGAATAGGACCGTGGACGGGGATTGCCTGGTCTGATGAGGCTTTGGGTTGGGCTTAAGCTTGGGCTTGGGCTTGGGCATGAGCTTTGGGGTTTGGGTTTTAGGTTTTGGGGATTGGGTGCGAGACTCGGTGATGACTCGTGAGGGAGAAGACCCTGATGGCGGACGCGTGTGCAGATTTGCAGACGGTGCAGGGCCGAATGTGTGCGCGGGCCATGCGGTGCTGGAGAAGATGCTCGATGCTCACACCGCGCCGATAAGATTGCGGCTCCGAGGTGTGTGCTTCGCCCTTTGGTGCTGCCGATTCCACTTGCACTTCTGCCCACCTGCACGCACCAGTCACGTCTCTAGGAATACTCACAGCATCGCTACGAGAGAATTGATGTATGTATGTATGCATGTATGTATGTATGTAGTATGTATGCATGTATGTATGTATGTAGTATGTATGCATTTATGTATGTATGTAGTATGCATGCATGTATGTATGTATGTATGTATGCATGTATGTATGCATGTATATATATCCAGCCTCGGAATCTCACAGGTGCAGCTAAGATCGCACAACGGGCAGCGGGCCGCTGCATGCATGCATGTGCATGCCGATCAGTTGTGCGATCAGAGACGGGCGTGGGTGACATGTCTTTGTCCCTTTGGGCGTAGGGTACCGGACTTCACGTTTGACAGGCTTTGAGCCTGTCCAGTCAGCTCTGGCACATTGGGGGCGAGCATGCCGAGTGCTGTGCTACCTACGCGGGGCGCTGAGCATTATTATCGGTGTCTGCGTGGGTGAGGGGCTGTTGCGGGGGGGGTCTTGCACGAGCGGGTGCTGGTGCGCCTCACAGTATCTATGCAGTCAATGGAAATCTTGGTATGCTCGCTGCTGCATCCGCGACATGTTGCTCAGTAGCCAAGTCCAATTCCCCAAGCCCCGGCGGAGGGTATCGGCAGAGCACGTGGATGACAGCAAACGTCAGTCGTTCGATTGGGCGAAGTCGAGCGAGGTGTGGCGGAAACAGACCAAAGGCCGCGGGCCAGGGTGTGAAATGCAACCTTATCGATAGGTGCGCGGTTACGTGACTGCGAAATAGTTGGGCTTCTCCGCGCTTCGGCGTGGATTACACATCAATTCTCAAGACGCATTCTGGGGCAGGCGTCGTTGTATTTTGTGTCTCTCACTGTGCCTCTAGACTGTACGCGCCCCGTCCGACTCTTCTGCTGCGCGCAGATTGAACCACTGCGCCGGCCGCATCCAGCAATCCCCCGCCACGCCTCCCCCGCCCTCTCGCAACCATGAGCGCAATCCTCTCCGCCGACGACCTCAACGACTTCATATCGCCCGGCGTCGCGTGCATAAAGCCAATCGAGACGCTGCCGGCGAAGCCAGCGGCCAGCTCGGTACGACGTCCGCTCCCAAAGGCTGGCGGCGCACACTGACGCGCGCAGAACCCGTACGAAGTCACCACCGAAGAGAAGGCGGCCGCCGCCGAGCCGCCGCCGCCTGCGCAGATATCGCTGACCGACTGCCTCGCGTGCTCGGGATGCGTCACGAGTGCTGAGGCGGTGCTGGTCCAGCTGCAGTCGCACAACGAGGTCCTGTCGACGCTGGACACGTACAAGTCGCTGGACACACCGTGGCTGGCCCCGGGCACGACGAACAGAGCGACGAACGGGCACACACATGTGGACGGCTGCAATGGCCATGATGCCGAGGGCAGGCTGTTTGTCGCGAGCGTGTCGCCCCAGGCGCGCGCGAGTCTGGCGGCCGTCTTCAATGTGAGCGCGCAAGAAGCCGGCAACATGATCACACAGCTCCTGAGCGGGCCGTCTGGCGTCGCGGCCGGCGGACACCAGGGGAGCGCCTTCACTTGGGTCATCGACACGGACGTCGTACGCGAGGCGTGTCTGGTCGCCGCCGCAGACGAAGTCGCCGCCGCCGCCGCCGCCGCCGCCGCCTCGCCCGCGACGTCCGACACAGGCGCAAAGCCCGGCAGCGAAGGCGCCATCGACTCCACGCCAAAGGGCCCCATCCTCACCTCGGCGTGTCCCGGCTGGATCTGCTACGCCGAGAAGACACACGCCTACGTCCTGCCGCATCTCTCGCGCCTCAAGTCTCCGCAGGCGCTGGCCGGCACCCTCGTCAAGTCGGTCCTCAGCCAGCGCTACAACGTGTCGCCCGCGCACATCTGGCACCTCGCCATCATGCCCTGCTTCGACAAGAAGCTCGAGGCCAGCCGCAGCGAGCTCGCCTCGTCCGCCTGGCTCCCCGCCCACGACCCCGCGGCCCCCGTCCGCGACGTCGACTGCGTCATCACCGCGCGCGAGCTGCTCTCGCTCGCCTCTGCCCGCAATATCTCCTTCTCGTCGCTGCCACGCACGCCCCTCGCCCACCGCACGCCCTTCCCCGACCCAACCCTCGACGCCTTCCTCTTCCCGCGCGCGGGCGCGCGGCGCAAGACCCAGCCCCGCGACGCCGGCTCTTCGGGCGGCTACCTCTACCACATCCTGCGCACCTACCAGACCGCCCACCCCGGGTCGACCATCTCGGTGAGCCGCGGCCGCAACGCCGACGTCGTCGAGTACTCGCTCACCCGCGGGCCGGAGACCATCATACGGATGGCGCGCTTCTACGGGTTCCGCAACATCCAGAACCTGGTCCGCCGCCTCAAGCCCGCGAGAGCGAGCCGCCTGCCCGGCGCCAAGACGGGCGCTGTGCGACGCCCGCCTGGAGCAAAGGCCGTCGAGACCAAGGACTATGCCTACGTCGAGGTCATGGCGTGTCCGGGCGGCTGCACCAACGGCGGCGGCCAGGTCAAGGTCACCGAGGTGGACGACATTAGGCGGCTGGAGAGTCGGCGCGTACAGCCCGAGGTTGAGCAGACGCCCGTCGTCCGGCCGGGCCCGGCGGAGCAGAAAGAATGGCTGGCGAGGGTCGATGAGGCGTACTTTTCTGCCTCGGACGCCGAAGACGTCGACGGAGACGCAGACGCAGACGTCACGCAGCACTCGGACGTTCATGTCGATGCAGACGTGGTCAACGGCATCGACAGGACGCACGTCAAGCGCGTCGTCGCCCATTGGTCGGAAATCACAGGCGTCCATGTCCAGCGCCTGCTGTACACGAGCTACAGGAAGGTCGAGAGCGACGTGGGCAAGCCGAAGAGTGACGTGGAGAGAGTCGCTGGCCTGGCCGTTACTGTTGGCGGGGGGTGGTAGTTGGAGGCACACGGGCATTAGGCGGCGTTTGGGAGTGTGCATTTGCACTCGTCCTTGGGAGTGGGCATTTGCACTCGTCCTTGAGAGTGGGCATTTGCACTCGTCCTTGGGAGCGGGCATTTACACTCGTCCTTGGGAGTGGGCATTTGCACTCGTCCTTGGGAGCGGGCATTTGCACTCGTCCTTGGGAGTGGGCATTTGCACTCGTCCTTGGGAGGACGCATCTAGAGTGTCTTGAATACGATAGTTTATACGTCTAGCCCGCGCGCATCTGGCTTGGCCTTGTGTTCCTGTAGGCCGTTGCTGCAGACACATGGTGTCGCTGGGGGTGAAGGCATCTGGCGACTGACACTTGCATAGGATAGAGTAGAGTCTGCGGCGTGGCAACCTACCAAACTCCAACCAGCCTCGCCCTGGCCTTGGAGGTAAGCACGCGGCACCTCCGAGGAATCAATCCAGCGCACACATGCCCCGAAAGACCAGGGCCTTACATCCGCCGACTGCGACTTTGGGATGCTTTCGACCACGCAGCTACTCTTGAAACTGTCGTGTCTCTCCTTCTGAGACGTCAAATCGCCACCACCCACATCTGCCACTCGAAGCCTCGGCGGATCCCGCTTCAAATGCGCTACAAGCGCAGTGCAATTGTTGTCCGCTTTCCCTGGCACAAGCCCCGGCGAGGCCATCGCAGTCGAGCCAGCCTTTTGCCAGCCTAGCCCTGCGAGGCTGCCGCTTGGTGAGTTCGACTACGCTTGGTGAGTTCGACTACGCTTGGTGAGTTCGACTACGCTTGGTGAGTTCGACTACGCTTGGTGAGTTCAACTACGCTTGGTTGGCTTTTTGTGGTCGTGGAGAGACCATGCCTGACTGGGTGGGAATGCAGATGCTGGGGAGTTTGGAGATTGTTGTATGAAACTGCGCTAGGTACTCTTCGAGTGGTCTTGGGTTGAGGTCCTTGATCGAGGAAGATTTCTAAGCCTTCAGCAGCTGCGGTAGTTGACTTGCTAGGTATTTCTCTCCAGAAGCCGGGAAACCCGAGATTCGAGCCTATGCCTAGCGTGTTCATCCCACAGCGCAACGAACCAGCCCTGGCTGTTTGTATGCACTTGGTCGCGAGGCCGGCATTAGGTGTGCGAAGCAGGCTTGACGAGGCGGTATTCGAACGAGCTGACTCTGCAATTCTGCTTTCTGGTCTGCCGTTGGGATGAATCAGAAGTCAAGACACATGTTCTGATTGGTCTGGTGTACTCTTCGAGACTCCTTCAACCCGCAGTGGGAGCGCGTTAGTCGAGTTGATGTAGACACACCGTGTTTAGGCACATCGACCGTCACTACCAATGCAGGCCACACTCCCATCCAAAGCGTCTCCGGCAACCCTCCGTCTCACAAAAGAGACGCCGGCCATGCTCGCCGCGTCGCCGCCCCTGCAGTGATGCCAGTACCCGCTGATCTCGACACCCGCCAGTCCAAGCAGGTCCCCTGCGCCATCAAGGACAACAAGCCTTATATCCCGAACAAGTTCCCAGCCGCGCTGGCTTGCACCAACAACATCGAAGTCGTCACCACCAAGACACTGAGCTACACATGGTCTAGGACGGCTACCAAGACCGTCCCCAGACCAACCGCAACCGTGAGTCCAAGCAGCCGCCCACACGCTCCGAACTGAACTAACGTGTACCAGACCACGAGCACACGTTCGCACACCATTACCACCGTCATCACACCTATCCGCGCCTCCACGACCGTCACAGAATTCATCACACTCACCTTGTCCACAACATCAACAACAACATCAACATCAACATCATCAGCATCATCAACAACATCAACAACATCAACAACATCAACAACAACATGACAAGCACAACAGCAACAATAACAACCCTAACCATCGCCGCCGTACCCACGGCGACAATCTACCCAGGCTGCAACCCCTCCAACTCCATCTCGACCCGCAACGGGAAGAGCATCGAGACCGTCGTCGACGCGGGCACCAACTAGGCGACGGAGCGGCGCTCCATGCCCTCGGCGCTGGAACGCTGCTACGCGTGCTTCGACCGCGCCAACTGCGTTTTACGCCGGCTCGTGTTCTTGTTTGTGGCGACGATGTGCCGCCTGGATACTTGTGTTGGGGAATTATGTTGCGCCTGATAGAGCTGGGGGGAGGGGTATACGCTGAGTGGTGAGAGTTGTGGATTGTTGAGGTGGGACCAGCGGAGGGAGTGGGGGCTGGGTTGTGAAAAAGGGAGAGGGGAGGGGGGGGATGTAGTAGTAGAATAGAGAAAAGGCACGGCTAAGCGAGGCGTTCGCAGATATCCAGAGCACGGCACATGTGCAATTGAGATGAATATACTTTTCAATTATGCAGGCTGTACTCTATGCCATGCGCCACCGTCGCCACCCATCCATCTAGAGGAGGTGTATATCCGGGTATTATACAGCCAGCAACGCGACTGCGCGCGCAAATCAAGTCGGAACAAACTATGTAAGCCCGTGCAACACCATGGCCAATGTACAGCAGCACCCCAACACCAGTCCCCCAAGCCGTGGAAAAGCGACCTGTGCAGTGACTGGGGCGCTCAGACGCCGTCCGTTCCTCCGCCCTAGGTATCTTGCTCAAACAAACGCCATCGCTGGAAGCGATTTGGAAAACAGACGTGAAGATATACTGCCCAGCCGCGCCATACGGCAGGGGGTGTTTTGAAGTTCTTTTAGGCCGTCGCGGAAGGGAGTAAAGAAACCAAGTCGAAGCATGGGGAATCGAGAGAGAAGCGAAAAAAAAACACGGCACTTTGCGGTCGGGCAACCTTCGACTGCTTACGCAGCCATCTCAGCAGGCTGCCTGCCACCACCGACAAGCTCCAGAATCTTCCCTGCGACGGCAGCAGGGTAGCCGCGAGAAAGACCCTCGTTTACGACCTGCATGGCACTCGCTCGGTCCTCAACAGCCATGTACGCACGCGTCATCGCCTCGTAGGTGCTCGGCTCACGCCTGGCCTCGGGCACAGACTCGTAAATTGCCTTGGCCTTGTCGATGTTCTGGGCCAGCGCCCAACCGTGGATGAGCGAGTTGGCGATGTACGGAGTCATCTCGACGCGGCGCGCGTGCATGTTTGCGAGCACGGCGTCGGTGGCTTCGATCTGGTGGTTCGCGACCATGGACTCGAAGAGTGCTTGGTAGAGACATGCTTGTGGGCGGATGCGGGCATCAGCGAGGACGGTCTCGAAAAGCTGGCGTGCGCCGTCCATGTCGTGTGCAACGCAGCCTTTGGCGTGGATCAAGGAGGAGTAGTGAACGGCCTCGGGCACGGCGCCGGCGGTGCGGACCTGCTCGAGCACGCGCTCGGCGGCTTCCATGTCGACTGGCTCCAGGGTGGCGTACGTGTCGATGAGGAGCTTGTAGGTATGTGTCGTCGGCTCGATGCGCTTGGAGCGCATGCGCTCGTAGTAGCCGAGGACCTTGCTGCGGTCGCGCTTGGTGGTGAGGAAGAACTGCATCATGCTGTGGTAGGGAGCAGGGCGCGGCTTGTAGTTGGGCATGCTCTCCATCTCTTCGAATAGCTCCTCGGCAAACTTCTCGTCACTGACGCGGCAGAGAGCGTTGACGATGGTGCCATATGTGACGGAGGTCGGGCGGATACCGAGGCTGCGCATCTCGGAGAAGTAGAAGAGACAGTCGTCGATGCGGCGGGCCTTCCCGAGCTTACCGATCAGGGCATTGTACAAGAATGAGGATGGCTCGACACCCTCAGACTTAGCACGGAGGAAGATCTTGACAGCCTCGGTGGCCTCATCGAAGGTCTTGGTAGACTCCTTAAGCGTAGTGATGTAAAGGCCGAAGGTGTTGGCAGTGGGCGCAGCACCCATGTCCAGCAGGTCCTGGTGGTAACGGGCAGCGAGGTCGCGCTGTCCGCAAGTAAGGCAAGCAGCAACCATAGCGTCAAGGATAGTAACCCAGCCGTAGCGCACGATGCGGTACTGAGGAAGAAGGGGAATATCCTGCTTCGCGAGATTGAGAATGTCGTGAGCCAGGCTGAGGCGGTCCTCCTTGGCAGCAGCGGTGATGAGCTTAGCGTATGTGAAGAACCTGGGGTGGCGACCAGCTCGGCGCATGTTCTTGAACTTCATCAAAGCCTCGTTCAGGTGAGACGCGGTGCGACCATGTGTCTTCTCGAGCAGCTCGGCGATGACGACCGAGCCCTTGTTGTCGGTAGACGCAGCATACGGGTCGTATTGGTCCTCAAAAGCGGGCACTCCAGGTGCACCTGGTCCAGGTGCAGGGTAAGCCGCAAACGGAGCAGGCGAGTACATCGACTCGGGTGCTGGGTGCTTGTAGCTGTACCATCGGTGCTGGAGGTCACCCCGGTCAAGAGCAGCGAGCACCTTCTCGACAAGACCTGACGTAGTCTTGTTGACAGGCGAGCCAACGGAGGTGATGACCTCGAGAAGATGGGCGAACCGCGCAGCATGGGCAGCGTCGACTTCCGCACTCTGGAGGATGATTCCAGACTGGACCTGCATCAGGAGCGTGACGTCGTCGAAGTTGAGTTGAGCGATAGCCTCAGGTCCCATTCCAGATAGTAAATGGTGAGCAACTGGGGTGACTAGGCCACCGTTCTCAATCATCGTCCACATCAGCTCCATGCTGGCCCGCGGCGGAAGGAAGATGCCACGCTTCATCATGAACTGACCCATAACCTCAATAGCCTCGTCGATATGCTCGACGATCTCCATCTTCGCCTGAGACCCTGACTGAGTGTCGCGGATGCGATCAAACATCTGACGACCCTGGCGAAGACCGCGCTCAGCCTGACCGCTTCCAATGAGAGCAACGCTGTGCATAGCAGTGGGCTCAATGAAGTCGGGCTTGGTAGGCGAGAGCTCGAGCATTCTCCAGAAGATCTCAGCAGCCTCAATGTTTCCATTGCGGGTGTGCATAGCGCCCATGGCCATCGCTGGTCGGGCAAGATCAGCCTCTGCAGGAAGAGCATCGAAGGCCTCAGTAGCAATGTCCATGACATTGCGGTCAGCTGCTTTGATGCAGATAGCAGCCATCGCGATGTGCTGTGCCTGAGGGCTTAGAGACTCGGTGGCATGGACGTAAGCCTGTTTGAACGAGCCGCTGTTCAGCCAAACGGGGAGAAGAGCCTTCAGACCGACAATGTCGCGAAGAGATGTAATGTCCTCAGCTTCGATGAGTGCGGCCTCAACCTTTCTCAAAAATTTCTGGCCACCCTCCATACGGTCACAAGTGGCGTAGGCCTTGATCAAGGCGGCGTACACATCCTTGTCCTTTCGGACGAGCTGGACGCTGCCGTTGTCGTTGGCCATGGCAAGAGCCTTGTACTCATCAAAGCACTCGACAGCACTTCTCAGATCACCAGACTTGCCGAAAGCGTGAATCATAGGAACGAACATGTCGCCAGCTGGCGTCACTTTACGCGACTCCATGTGCGAGTAGATTCGGACCATGTCCTCGACGCGTTCGCCCTCAGCACAGGCCGTGACAAGCAGACGGTACGTCCTTTCGGAGAACTTCTGGCCTGCCTCGACCTTGATGGCGGCGTCGAAGAGCTTGACCGCAACGCCGAGGGAGCTGTCTTCGGCGAGGATAGCGTAGTCGGTTTCATTCGACTGGAGCATGAACTTGCCCTCCTCCTCCAGTCCGCCGTAACGGAGGCGCTTCTCTTCGTAGACCTGGCTCATCGACACAACTTCCAGTGATCGTACGGAAAGAAGCTCAATGAGGGCTGTGTAGGTCGCCGTGTCTGGAGCAACACGGCGGCGAAGCATGTCCGAGTAGACATCAAGAGCCTTGGGAACGACCTGGTGCTTTGCGCGCGGGAGGTTGATCGCAGCGGAAAGGAGGTAGTTGTAGGCAGTGGTCGATGGCTTGACTCCATCGAGGAGCATAGACTCGAAGACAGCCGGGATTTCAGCATACTTGCGGTTCGCAGCGAGCTTCTCGAGATGTGCGGTGTACTCCTCAATCTCATCGAATGGGCTGGGGAGGAGCGACGACGGCGGGGTGTAGCTTAAGCTTGCCGAGTTGGCCGTGTCCGAAAGATTTGCGGGCGTTACTGTCCTCTCCTGGATGGGCGATAGCCGTGTCTCCGCCTCCCTGATGGCCTCGTTCACGGCCCTGATCTTTGCCGCCTCTTGCGCGATCGCCTCATCGACCTGTGCAAGCGCAATCTCCTCTGCCTGCTCATCGCCCACGGCCTTCTTGAAGTCTTCTACCTGGCTCGTGCTGTATGCGCGGTTGACGCCAGCACGGGCAGGATTGGGCTCAGATGCCTCCTCAGCCGCAGCCTCTGCGGCCTTCGCCTCTGCTTCCTTGGACGCATGCTTGGGATCGTATTCGATGAGCTTGCGGAACTGGTACTGCGACCACTCCTTGTCTTCGGTCTTCTGCGTCTTCTGCCACGCTGTGTAGTAGGCGGCGAGTCCGGAATCCTGGTGCTCGTGTGCGCGTGCGCTGTCAAGCGCCTTTATGGCGCTCGTGGTCGAGTTCGAGGCGAAAGCATACTGCTGCTTGTGGCCCTTGCGGAACCTGTCGTGCTGGAGTGTGGCAAGAGGGTTGTTTTGGGAGACACCGGCGACTACAGACTGGGCGTAACCGTGGGTGAAGCCTTTCGCAAGACTCGTACGCGCGAGGGAGAAGCTCTTAAAGACCATTTAGGAAATGGAGCAACCCTTCAGATGGGAAGGGCGAGACTGGTCGGAATCAGTACATGCAATTGAGATGGAATTCTTAATGGTGAGGGCGGGCAATTGAGACTCGAGTCCACTCGCGCAACATGCAGCAGTTTGGTAGCTAGGCAACAAGATATTGCTCGCATTCCTCGTGGCAACTCAAGTTCACAAATACCATCAGATAATACGTACTGGTATCCTCAAGATCGCCCGGCGATGTTGCAGGTTCATCTGACGCTGACCGCCAAACGAATGCGCTTCAAGGTGATTTTAAGGAGTGTGTGTTGGGTGGAGACCTACGTAAAGCTCAATTGGCTCTACTGCAGACCTGTGCCGTGATAGTCGACGACGTCGAAATAATTGGGTAGAATTGAAGTAATGAAAACGAAAGGCTCGCTGTGGCCAGAGGAAAGTAATATCGGCCACGAAGGCAAGTCGTTAGCGGGAGCCACTGCAAGAGTCGAAGATTCGAGCACTCAGATCGTACTCGTCATGGGAGGATGAGAAAGGCCGACGCGACAACGCTAGTCTCCCTAACTTTTCTCGTGCAGTAGTACGCTGTACCGCGTCCGGTCAAGCGGATTCTGTGGCTCAGCTTGAAGCACTCGAGCCGGGGAGACTTGGAGACATTCCGGGCGAATCAAAGAGCGTCCTTTGCATGTCGGTGGCGGCTGTCCTGCTGTCACCGAAGTGGGTGAGTCAGGCAGCCCGACGAGAACATAACGGCTGCACCCCGCCAATCCTTGCACGCAAGAGGAAAATAAGCAGAAACGAGGCACCTGATGCGCAGAATCCTTAACGCCGGGATCAGATTATGCAATCTACCAGGCAGCAAGATTCGAGCCGTTCATCGCATACCAAAGCACGTGATGATGTAGAATTACTGTCATGATGTTTACGACTCGACCGATGCAGATCGCAGCGCAGGGGTTGCTTGTCCAGCGGTGAAGACCTGAGGTCGTTCTGGCAGCTGGCTGCACCTCTGGCCTCGTAGTGACCCACAAAAGCGCGGTGAGAGAGCACTACCTACTCGCGTGCAACAGCACACTCCACACAGATGACCGACACCACCACCTGCGGCCCTCGTTCCTAGCACCGCTCCCCCTTGCACCGCCCTCACAACCCCCCGCGCCCCATTCCCCTTCCACATGAGTGCGCAAATGGCACCCGCGGAGGCGCCGTTGACCCCGACCGCCGTCTCTTGTCCGGCAAAGGTGCTAGTCGCCGGCGGTTACCTGGTGCTCGACCGCAACTACACTGGTCTTGTGTTTGGTCTCGATGCAAGAATCCATTGTATAGTCGAGCCGATCAAGTCGACGTCGGGCGTTTCCATCAGTGAGATTGTCGTGAAGAGCCCGCAGTTCCGTGATGCCATCTGGGAGTATGGATACCGCGCGAAGGAGCGGGATGGTGGCGTGAGCGTGCATACGTTGAGCGTGTAAGTACTTGATGTTTCTCGTGTGTTGTCGATTGCTTTTTTTGCTGCTTTGATGCTGGCCTTGAGGTCAGTCCTACACATTCGTTCCTGGTACGGCGATCATCTGTCTAGTCTGTCCAATCAGACCAATTTGAGGCACCATGGACAGGGGCATTTGCGCTTTGGTCAATGGCGTCTTGTGTCCGATGAATGTTCGAAGCATCGATGCTGTTGGCTTCGAGAGGCTCTTCACCTAACGGACTGCTCGAAGCCTGCTTGCAACTCATCCCCTCTGTCCGTGTTACTTTGCCTGTCCATTAGACGGAGAAGCTTTACCTGTATCTCTGTTCCATCACTGCAACACCAATCTGACCGTTCGTTCTGTCACTTGCTTTCTTCTACTCCATGCTTGGAATCAATGATAGACCCACACCAACTTACACCGTTGACAAACACTACAATCCTTCAGAGCATCATCACTGACCAACAACAGCGGCCACAACCAAGTCATCTCCCGCAACCCCTTCATCGAGACGGCGCTCACTTACGCCCTGACCTACATATGGACACTCACACCCACCCGCATCATCTCACCGGCCTCGATCCGGATCCTCGCCGACCAAGCATACTACTCCAACCCGGGCACCCGCAACTCCTCATCGCGCTTCCTCGACTTCAACGTATCCCTTAGCGAAGCGCACAAAACCGGCCTCGGCTCCTCCGCCGCTCTCGTCACCTCCTTCACCGCAGCAGTACTATCCTTCTACCTCCCCAAAACCATGTTCGACGTGACGACAGACCGAGGACTGACGATCCTGCACAACCTCGCGCAGGCGAGCCACTCGCACGCCCAGGGCAAGGTGGGTAGCGGCTTCGACATTGCCAGCGCCGTGTACGGGAGCTGTTTGTACAAGCGATTCTCGCCCTCGCTGCTATCCGCGTTGCCCGTGCCGGGCGCAGCGGGCTTCGGGGCGAAACTGCGAGACCTGGTCGAAGGCGAGTGGGACACGGAGATCGCGCGGAGCCTGATCAAGATGCCTGCGGGTCTGCGGCTGGTCATGTGCGACGTTGACTGCGGCTCGGAGACGCCCGGCATGGTGAAGCAGGTGTTGAAGTGGAGACAGGAGAACGCGACCGAGGCGGAGGGTATCTGGCAGCGCCTGCAGGGCGGGAACGAGGCGCTCGCGGCGGAACTTACGCGTTTGGCTGAGCAGGGCGCCGAGGAACCGGATGGCGCGGGCAAGTATGCGAAGCTGAGTGTCATCATCGAGGAGAACCGTGGAGCGATCAGGGATATGGGCGAGAAGAGCGGGGTCCCGATTGAGCCGCCGCAGCAGACGCAGTTGCTTGATTACTGCACTAAGATCGAGGGCGTGGTCGGGGGCGTTGTGCCGGGCGCGGGCGGATTTGATGCCGTTGTGTTGCTTGTTGAGAACAGTGAGGCTGTGATGCAGGAGCTGAAGAGGAAATTGAGTGAGTACCGACCTGAGGATACGGGCGCTGAGGGCCCGAAGATTGGGAGGGTGGGCACCGTGGACGTCAGGGAGGAGATGGTGGGTGTCAAGAGGGAGGAGTTGGGGCTGTACAAGGAGTGGACTATGTAAGCGTGGGGTGGGAAAGGGCCAGTAAAAGCACATGAGCGTTGTTGCTTGACTTTTAGTTGATTCAGTAGATGCACCTAATAACGTTGTCCGCTACTATACGCATCCCACTGTCGAGAAGTTCAAGCAACGAATGTACGCAATGGCTAGCACGAGTGGGAGGGCGTGGGTGAGACCATGGTATACGAGACATAGCATTGATCTCCACTGGATACATGACTTGGACTTGGTAGGCTGCACTTCAGGAGCACGAGCCAGTATCAACCCATTCGAAAGGCGACAAATACGCGTCGCATAGGACCCAGTGAAGCAAGATTGATGATGTGTGACATTGACACAATCGGCCGTCAGCGTGCCTTCCTGAGGGCGTAGGAAGCATTGTTTCCGACCTTCATTAGCGTGACACGACTTCGTGCTCAGTGTCATCGTTCTTGCTCAAATATGGTCGTAGTTTCGTTTGACGCCAATATGCACTTTGAGACTCAAGCTGGACACCGGGTATCGTATCGATTCAGTTCTCATACTTCGTCACCATCCATTCATTGTCTGAACTTTTTGATTCATATTGATCTTGACATGGACGCCCCCATTTCCGTTGAAGCTGCTCCGTCCATCCCTGACCCGCCACGTCACCTCCCTTGCCCCTGGTAGGTGGTGACTAAGGGTACATTGGTGTGTGGCTAGCTGGAAAAGCCCCGGCGATGCAATGCTTCGTGATAGACAAATGAAGAAAGGAAAACACCACCGCTCCACGCTTATGCCTTGACGGCGTACTTGCGCTGAGGGAAGTGGGTGTTCTTCTTCTTCTGCTTCTCGGTGACGAGCGACGACTCGTGCTTGGTGAGCCTTCGGCGGATGGCACGGGTCTGCTTGGATCGGAGGTCGAGGGGAAGGTACCTGCACGCTGTTAGAGGATGGCGTTGCGGAGGGATCGGCCGAAACGCACTTCTTGCCCTTGTAGAAGAGCCTCAGCTGGGCGCGCTGGTTGGCGTTGATGACGGTGAGGACCTTCGCGATACCCTTGCGGACGTCATGGATGCGGGTGAGCTTGGTGGACGAACCACCGGCAACCTTGGCAGTCCTGAGCTGGATCAACTCCCTGGTGCCTGTCAGCCTCCTATCGCGGTGTGTGCGATTGCGTGCGGCGCGACGTACGACTTGAGGTCGGCGAGCTGGGTCGCGAGCTCATCCTTGGACTTGTTCCAGAGCTGGGTGGTCTTCTGCGGCGGTTGTAAGTATGCGGTCGAGCGGTGCGCAGCGGGTGGGCGGGCGAGAGGGTGTACGTACGACCTTGGACTGAGACTGCGGAGGGACTGTTAGCAGAGGTTCGTCTTTCGTTTCTTTCGTCTTTCATGGATTCGACGTGCTGCGACGGCAAATTTGCGACTGCCGGGCAGAGCGATCAATTGCCCCCCACCACGCCGTTCCTCCTCTTTCCGCAATGCATGTGCCCAGCGTCGTCCAAAAATCGAGAGCGTCCACGTACCATTTTGACTGTTCCGTTAGTGTGACCGGGTGTTGTGGATGGAACTCTCGCGTGTCTTCAATGTTCAAAGGTTTGTGGGCGCTAGACGAGCGCTGCAATGGCCCTTGGCGAGCTTACCCATTCTGGGGCTAGCGCGGTCAGGGCCAGGCAGGTGCGACCGCGGCATGATGCCAGAACACCGTCTCGGAAGGCGCCCAGCATTATTGCAAGCATATCTATGCAAAATACTCGCGATCTGGGATTCTGGCCAATAAACCTGTGCCTGTAGATAATCTGCGGCTACGACATACAACAACTGCAGCCTCGACAGCCGGCAGCGCCTCCACACGCTTCCCGCGCCATGTCGTCCAGCGGCGGAGGATGGGCGCAACTGCGCCAGCAAGCGCGGGCTCTTGAGCAGCAGGTCAGAACCCGCAATAGCTTCGAGGCTCGCCCACCCGCATACTGACGCACGATGCAGACAGAGACTCAGTTCCACACATACTCACAGTTCGCCTCGGCGCCCAACATCCCCCAGAACCCCTCCGAAGACGAGCTGCGGACCGAGACGAATCTGCAAGAGCTGCTCGAGAAGCGGGAAGCACTGGTCGGCCAACTGTCGAGACTGCTGGACTCGGAAGCGTCTGCCTCGGCGGTCAAGTTGAACAACCTCGCCCGCCACCGCGAGATCCTGTCCGACCACCGCCGCGAGCTGTCCCGCATAAAGTCCGCCATCACCGATGCGCGCAACCGGGCAAACCTTCTCTCCAACGTCCGAGAGGACATCGACCAGTACCGCTCCGCGAACCCCGAGGCAGACTACATGCTGGACGAGCGGAGTCGCATTGACAACTCCCACAATGTCGCCGACTCGGTGCTCAGCCAAGCGTATGCGGTAAACGAGAACTTCAGGGTGCAGAGGGAGACGCTGGCGAGTGTCCAGAGGCGAATAGTAGGTGCTGCCAGCCAGGTGCCGGGCATCAACAGCTTAATGGCGAGGATCGGGTCGAAGAAGCGGAGGGACGGTATCATACTGGGGAGCTTCATCGCGTTCTGCTTCCTGATGCTACTATGGTTCTGGTAACCATGAGCTAGCATGATTTCATTGGCGTTCAAGCGGCGCGGATATCCATGTTCTTTGCGCGCACTCGCCAGGCGGGCCGCCTATATAATGACAGGCACAGCGCCTTATGATGTACAACTATGTTTACAGGTCTGTTGAGCATCTCCACCTACCTCACGCAGCCTTCCTCGTCTCCACTAACTTCCTGAACCCCTTGTTCATGTCCTCCATCTCAGTCCCCTCTGCATCCCCGCTCCCTGCCCACCTTATCCTACACTCTTCATCGACCACATACACATACCCTACCCTGCCATTCAGCAGCCCAATCGTCTCCCTGATCTTCTCACTAACCCCCTTCCTGACCACAAAATACCTCCCCCACTCCTCCTGGCTGCGCTTCGCCTTCAGCTGCCACTTGAACAGCGCAATAATCCACGCCTTCAGACTATTCTCCTCGATATTGATATCCACCATCTGCGCCCGTCCCTTGAACTCGCCAAGGATACGCTGCAGCTCCGGATTCTCCTTCTGCCCCGTAAAGCTCCGCGCCTGCGTCTCGCCCCACTGGCTCGAATACACATTCACCACGCTGACCCTGCCCTGCAGCACATCCGTCGTATCGCGCGCACTCCCCTCGAGTGTATCGCCGCGGAAATTCGGAAAATACAGCGCCGCGTCGGCCCGGAACATGCGCGGGTTCGCCATGAACGTCTTGCCCGACCGGTACTTGCGGATGTTCTTGAAGTCGCGGAAGTAGTTGGTGCCCCATTTCTCCACCAGGTCGGCGCGTTTGGCGAGGTTGCGCTGCGACATTGTCATGCCCGAGTAGTCTTTCTTAATGCGTATGTTTGCGGTGTTTTCGCCGCGTTGGGGAGGGTCGGGGAAGCCGATGGGTCGCCCGAGAGGCTTGGGGACGAAGACATCGTCGTCTTTGAGGGGTGGCGGCAGTGGTGGTGTTTGGGAGGTTGTGGGTGCGGGTGTGGCTTGCTTGGGTGCGATTTGTTTCGACGCGCGCGAGGTTGTGAGGGCTCGAGGGAATTGCTGGGCGATTGGGAGGAAGGCGGAGCGGGTTTCGCAGCGCAGGCATAGAGTTGATGGGGTGAGAAGAGCCCGCCGCAATGGCGCTGAAATCCTGGGCTGCAGCATTGTGATGTTTTTGTGCTTGCAATTAATTGCGACTTTGCGAATGGTGTGAGAGTGAGCTTGCGATTAGCGCTGGATGCCACGTGCGGACGTGCTTCCGCGTTCGGTCTTGGACGCGCTGCTGCCTCTCCATTACATCGACACAAGATTCGAAATGCTATCAACGTTTGTTTATTTTGGAATAACACTACTTTTGCAGGGCTCGCACCTTGATCTAGACTAATCAGCAGTGGCTACCAGGCAGACATTCCAGTATGACAGATCAGGATCTTGCGGCCAAACAAGCATACTTTGATGAACAGAGATTACTTGACATCTCAGATGATGAAACAAATTGCAATGGCGAAGTTTTCCATAGGATCGAGGCCGTCATGGCAGAATTGAAGCAACCGCATCCGCCAAAGCTCACCCAGCAACCTAGCAGCTTTTTAGGACCAACACCAAAAGAAGTGAAGGCCAACTTCGAAGCACATACCAAACGGCGGCGTGCAGTCATTCGAGATGAGGCTAGGAGGCTCGCTCGCTCAGCGACTGCTCCAGAAGCAGCGCTGACACGAAGCTTTTCGGTCACCAAGCCGCGAGCAAGACAGCTGTTGAATGCCGAAGGTGATGCCAACGGCAAGATGAAGTGCGTCGCATCCCTGCCCAATATGATTGGGCTCGATCAGATACCCTTCTACCAGCAAATGGGTGTAATCCCACGAGAACTCAAGAATGGAAAGAACGTCAAGCCGGCAGACAACATCAAACTCCTCCCAGAGTCCCAGCAGTTACTACGCGGCAAGATTGCCTACTTCTATCCCAATGACGATGTCAGCATGGTACGGCGGACTCGTATCCACAAGGTGATACAGCTTGGGGCAGCCTGGGTGAACAAGTGGCGAGACGATGTCACACACATTCTGGTCGACGATGTGAACCACACGTACACGCAATTGCTACGGCATCTTAATCGAGCAGGCTTTCCAGTGCGTCTCTTTCGAACGATGTTATCAATTTGCTAATACAACGCAGGAGAAGGTAGTGATAGCAAAATTCGACCCGTACGCTGTCTTCTCCTCATAGACGTACGAGTCGGCTGACAGAGAGCAGGTACATACCACAGTGCATACAATTTGGCAAACTCATGGATCCATCTGCTGCACGCTTCAGCGTCAAAGGTGCACTGCAACGAGGCCCAGCAAGTCAGATGCCAGACACATTGATGGCTGTGTCCGAGGCGTCAGGCGAGTCACGAACATCGCTCCAGATCAAGCCTATGAGGAAGCAGAGAGATGCTATACCGTCTCAGAAAACGGATTCCGTACCGACAGAGGGCACACCGAGCCAGGCTGAAAAGGTCGCAGAGAGCCCGCTGCAAGATCGGGTTGAAGACAGCTTCGTGATGCCTTCGTCGGAACCAGACGAGGTACTTCATGAGCATACAATCCCCGATGCATCGTTTGGAGATGAGCTTCTTCAGGCTATCCAAGAAATGAAAGCAATTGCGCACCTTCCTATCGACGACGACGAAGACGAAGGATCCCCAACTCCGAGCGTTGTTGGCGCAGAAGATGAGGGTTCGGGCACAGACGATGAGCCTCTAGATGAGCCCACCAGATCTCGCAAGAAGTCGTTTGCGAACGAGAAGTCAGTCTCCACCCGATCGTCGAAGAAAGGCTTCGACCAAAGTGGGTTCCAGTGTATGGACCCCAGCACTGGCGGCTACGCCTCTCCGAATCCCAACGCCCGCACCATTCAGATCCTCGAAGAGATGAGTAGGCATTACGATCAGATGCAAGACCAGTGGCGTACCTTGGCGTACCGCCGAGGCGTAACCATACTGAAGAAGCAGACCACAAAGATCACCACCGCAAGGCAGGCTGCAGCCCTGCCATTCATCGGCTCCCGGCTAGCAGAGAAAATTGAGGAGATCGTTCTCACCAATCGACTGCGCAAGCTCGACAACACAAAAGACAACCCACTCGACCAAGTCCTCCGTCTCTTCCTGGGTGTCTACGGTTGCGGACTCGTGCAAGCGAATAAATGGATCCAAGCCGGGCATCGCACGCTCGTCGATCTCCTTACAAAAGTCAAGCTCACCGACAGCCAGAAGATCGGCGTCGCACACTACGACGACTTCAACAGCCGCATTCCGCGCGCCGAAGTCGCTGCTCACGGGCATATTGTAATCAAAGCCCTGAAGAACATCGATACGAACTTTGAAGCAACAGTAATGGGTTCCTACCGCCGCGGCGCATCGGACTCGGGCGACATCGACATGCTCATCACGCACCCGACCGCCTCGCTCGCACAGCTCCGCAGCGTGGTATTCCACACCCTCATCCCTTCACTCTTCAAAGCCGAGTTTCTCAAAGCGAGTCTCGCGACAATGCGCAAGCACGACGCGAGCGGCACGAAGTGGCACGGCGCCAGCTGTCTCCCCGGCAGCGGGGTGTGGCGACGCGTGGATCTTCTGGTCGTGCCGGAGAGTGAGATGGGCGCTGCGCTCATTTATTTCACGGGCAACGACATCTTCAACAGGAGTGTGAGGCTCCTGGCACGCAAGAAGGGTATGCGGCTTAATCAGAGGGGACTGTACAAGGACGTCAGGCGCGGGCGCCGTGGAGAGAAGCTGAATGAGGGCGTGCTGGCAGAAGGCAGGAGTGAGAAGAAGATCTTTGAGATTCTGGGTGTACCGTGGAGGGAGCCTCACGAGAGGATCTGTTAATGGGTTGGGGTAGTGAGAGAAAGGCATGTCGGCAGACTGCCATCCTTGCTGCATCCTTGAGCTAAGCGAACAATTCCTCTAGCCTCGAATCGGGCAGAACGAGCACCCCATTTTCGATTACTGTTTAAAGCTGCTACAGGTGGGACAAGTTGCTATGTTGTCCAATCACCTGCGCAGTATTAGCGCCTTGCTGTGGGCGGACTCTCAAAGCCGCGCGCCCAGCTTCCCGAGTTGCATGGGAATCGTACACTGTTGCTTTGTAGCTGCTTCGTTTTCCTTGCCTCAAGGTCTCCAATGTTTTTGGGATGCTTCAAGCTCTTGCCTCTCCGTGCTTCTGCGCCCCTTTCCGTGCACGAAAATCATCCTACACATTCGAGCATCGGAGCTTCACATCTACTGCTTCTTTTTGAAGCCTTCATCGTTTGGGTTTCAAAAGCCGCTACCGAAGAATGCGACTCCTGGAGACGACTGACGGCCGCACGTACAACCTTACTGACGACTTCATTAACAAAGGTCAATATCCTCCATACGCTATACTCTCTCACACCTGGGTGGATGATCAGGAGGTAACTTTCGACCACATCATTGAAGACAAAAGAAGCAGGTACAGGCAGCTACGTACCGGTCTTCGATTACCGCCGCGTCTTGGTAAAAGCGGTTATGCAAAGCTCCGGTTCTGTGCAAGGCAAGCCAGACGTGATGGCTTACGATATTTCTGGGTGGACACATGCTGTATCGATAAAAAAGACCCCGAAGAACTGGACAGAGCGATTAATTCCATGTTCCAGTGGTATGAGCGCGCAACTAAGTGCTACGTCTATCTATCAGATGTATCATCAGCACAGCAAAACGGGGATAGCGAGTCTCCTACCTGGCGATCGGCTTTCGAAAGAAGCCGGTGGTTCACTCGAGGCTGGACACTTCAGGAGCTACTGGCTCCGACTGTGGTAGAATTTTTTTCGAAAGAAGGGCATTTCCTGGGCGATCGTCTTAACCTGAGACACATGATTCACGAGATCACTGACATTCCCCACAAAGCACTGTCAGGTGCACCATTGGAGGAGTTTGGCGTAGACGAACGCCTTTCTTGGGCAGTCGAGCGCCAGACCACCCGCGAAGAAGATGAGGTGTACGCTCTGCTTGGTTTGTTCAACGTCAAGCTACCTTTCATCTACACTGAAGGCTACGATAGCGCCCTCAGACGACTCCTCGACGAGATTGAGAGCTCCAATGCCGCCTCTGCGGGAAAAGATGGTCAAGAGGAACAGACACTGAAGTCCACCATACCTTTTCGGCGAGACAAGGACTTCGTTTTTCGTGAGAGCTCGCATAAACTACCTCTGCTGTTTGCAAAAACTCCAGCTTGTGTCGCCCTTGTTGGTCTTGGAGGTGTAGGGTAATCCATATGACTCGCAACCTGATCTATGTCAACGCTGACCAGAACAACAGAAAATCCCAGCTTGCCATCGAATTCGCCTATCAGGTGCTTGAAAAGTCTCCCAATACCTGGGTTTTCTGGGTACATGCTGAAACGGAGACAAGACTCCGAAATAGCTACCACGAGATTGCTGAAATGATCAAAATGGACGGCCGGGACGATCCAAAGGCGAACATCACTCAGCTCGTGAATGCTTGGTTGCGTAATGACGCAAAGGTACCATGGCTGATGATTGTTGATAGTGCCGATGACGCAAGCGTGTTCTTCGACAACGTCCCGGCATCTGATGCATCTCGCGAATCACCTGCATCGCCTGCATCAACGACGAAACTACCTCTTTCGTCAAATCCGCCATCATCGCACACTGGATCGATCCTTGTTACCTCTCGCAGTCACGATGTTGCCTGCATGCTTGCAGATTCGGAGGAACACATCATCGAGGTTGGACCAATGGATGACCATGACGCCCTCGATCTTCTTCGGAAAAAGTTCAACTCTACTATCAAGAGCGACGAAGCCACGACTTTGGTCAGACTTCTTGAAAATATGCCGCTCGCGCTTACTCAAGCAGCGGCGTTTATCAATCGGACTCCGCGCATGAGCATCTCGAGATATTTGAAGGCCATCGACAACAATCGAGCATATGTATTGAATGAGGGCAAAGTAGATACTCGCCGGGACCGTGGAGCATCAAACTCGATTACAACAACCTGGCAAATTTCTTTCGACTACATTCGTAGCCGGTCTCCTGGGGCTGCTCGTCTACTCTCTTTGATGAGTTTCTTCGACCGACAAGAGATACCGAGGTCGCTTCTTGAGGGACACTATACCGCAGAGCATCATCAGGGCCAGTCTAACTTTGAGAAAGACATCTACATGCTCAGAAGCTTCTGTCTTATCAAATCCAATACAGACAGCACGACTTTCGGAATGCATGGGCTTGTGCAATACGCGACACGAGAGTGGCTTGATCGGCATGGAGAGCTTTTGTATTGGAAGGAGCTCATCGTTACCTTGGTGGACAAGCACTATCCCGTGGGCCATCACGAGAATTCGACGTTGTGCAAAACGTTGCTCCCGCATGCGCAAGCCGCAATCAGCAACATTCCTCAGGAAGAAGATGCACTGGAGGCCTGGGCATCGCTGTGTTACAAGATGGCTTGGTACTTGGGAGAAAGAGGCAATTTCGACAAGGCCTACGAGCTCATTGTGGACTCTTACGATGTCCGAAGACTCTTGTGGGGAGAGGATGCTGCTTTTACGCTTGATACCCTCAATAGTCTAGCGCTCATCTTGCATCGATCAGGCCGATACGATGAGGCAAAAGAGAAACACCAAAAAGCTCTACAAGGACAGATCAAGACGCTGGGAGCTGAAAGCAAAGATGCACTCAATACAAAAGTCAATTTGGCAGGGCTGTACAATGATGAGTGTCAATGGACAGAAGCCGAAAAGCTCCTAGTCGAGGCACTGGAATCCTGCAAGACGGCTTTAGGGCCACATCATTCCCTGACACTGAACGCAACGACTTTGCTAGCCACCACGTACAGAGACCAAACACGGTGGGCAGAAGCTATAGAACTAGAGCTTCAGATGCTCGAAATTCGCGAGAAGCAGCTCGGGCCAGATCATCCACACACACTAACTGTGAAGAGCAATCTCGCTTTTACATACCGACAGCAAGGCCGCCTAGAAGAAGCGGAGCGACTACAGCTCCAGCTTCTCAACAGCTACTCCTCAAACCCCGGTCTAGAACTCGAGCTACTCACCATCAAAGGTCATCTAGCAAGGACCTACATTGACCAGGGACGCCTCTCCGAAGCCGAGGCCCTGCAGCTCCACGTCTTCCAAGCAACAAAGTCCCAACTCGGCCCCTCGCACTTCACCACCCTGACGCGCATGTCGCACCTCTCGAGCACATACTGGGCCCTCGCCCGGTACGACGACGCCCTAGACCTGGAATCCCAGACCCTGGCGTTCCGCGAGTCGAAGCTGGGACTCGACCACCTCTCTACACTCGACAGCAAGGCTATCCTCGCCATGACGTATCGCAGCCTAGGGCGACTCGATAGGGCTGAAGCACTCGGACTGGAGGTTTTGGAGGCGCATGAGAGGAAGTTGGGTGCGAGGCATCCGCTGACGCTAGAGAGTAGGGCTGGGGTTGCGTGCACGCTGGGGCGACAAGGGCGTTTTGGTGAGGCTGTGGATATGGAAGAGGACGTGGTAAGCGGAAGGGGTGCGATATTGGGGCTGGAGCATCTGGAGACGCTGGCTGGCATGAGGAATCTTGCTGGAGCGTATAAGTGGCAAGGGCGCACTGGGGACGCGGTTGAGCTGATTGAGAAGTGTTGCGAGGCGTATGCAAGAGTGGTGGGTGTACAGCATGAGAGTACCGTTGAGTGTAGAGAAACCTTGGACAGATGGCGGGCAGAAGCATGATATTTGAAAATGATGGCCCAGTAACGAAACGATGGTAAAGATATGGCGGCTTGCCGGGAAAGAGGCGATTTCGCCAGAACGCCGTGCTCATGCGTGAAAAGATGACAACAACAAGCGCTCCTCATGGTCGTCTACAACACTCCAGCTGCCCACTTCGTACCTTGAACGCACTAGTCCTTCCTGATAGGATGGAAGACCTCAAAGGTGCGTCTGTGCAGCCCTTGTCTCCTCTGCATCGCGGTGCCGGTTGTTCTCGTTTGCGACCTCCTTCAGCGTTTGTTCGCGTGTCTGCCTCTTCTGTGCGTCGAGCTTCTTCTGGAGGTCGCCAGTTGTGTTCTTGTTTGCGCGTGCCTGGATCGATTGATTAGCTTTGCGCCTCAACAATACATCTACGGCGCAATGCGTACTGCGCGATACCAGCTTCGTCCGACTCGGTGTAAACCCTCCTGCTGATCGTCTGAACATCGTTGGGCCGAGTCGTGCAAGCTGGCACCACGCAACATCACATCCACCACAGTCACATGTACGCCCGCATCAACGCCGTCCGCTTCTCCCCACCCTTTACACTCGCACGCACCTCTGCAGCGGCCGCAGCCGCACTCCTAGGATCGCTTGCCGCATTTCTCTCCCCCAGCGTCCGTGGTGGTCCGCCCACAGTGCGCTTCTGTGTCGACCCAGCGCTCACTTTCGCGTTTGCGCCCGCTGGAACCGAGGCTTTGGTCGCTGGCGCCGGCGCAGAGCCCAGCGTCCGCCCGGGGCCGTCGAAGCCGTCTTTGGACTGCTTGCCGCAGAGGTTGCCCATTGCTCGATGCGCGCGGTCGCAGATCAATTGTGGTTTGATGTGAAGGTGGAATGTGGAGAGCTGGGGCGAGAGCAGACGTCAGCCTCAAGTCGATAGTGGGGAGTGGCTGTGCATGCCGTGAGCCGGGGGAGGTGCCAAGGACCTGGTCCTTGGGGTCAAGGTGGGCGGAGGACTTGGGTTGAGGGAAACATTGCACAGGGACTCTGGATGTATTGCCGTATTGGTAGTATGTATGTCTGCGAACAGTTGTTTGGTGAAACTGTGTGATGTTTGACGCTGGCTGTTTGACAGGCGCTCGAGCTCGAACCTTGAGTCTTTGTGCCCCTCTGTCACGTGCGCAGGGTTTTTGTATGACAAGGCTTTCACAGGGACTCACTTCTGCCAGGATCACGGCGACCCGAGCTTCGACTGACCATGCACGTCAGTCCTCTAGGTAGGCCGGCGAACGAGCGACACATCGTTTTTTCGGGAGCGCAACAAGGGTTGAAGCCAATGGCAGCACGGCAGGATCGCTTACAAAGTGGATCACCATCACCACGCTATTCACTCTTCTGAGCACATGGCTCTTTTTTGCGCAAGAACAACTCTCCTGCTGCCGTCGAAGCACAGAAGAGCTCAACGAGCTCAACAGACGCTGTGCTCACTGGTGTGATCGCACAGGCCCCGCTACTTCTTCTGACCCTCATGCCCCTCTCTTTCCAGCGAACCGGCGCCGCGCATATTCACTTTTGAGTACCCGAATGTCCTCAATGTCACAAGTCTTGGCATGTGGAGGACTGAGATATCACCTTTGAATATCGACGACGTACGTCCCCGACAATCCTCCGCCCGTCATCATGGCCCCGACTAACGGTTCCCCAGACCCTCATCTTGACGAGGGCTTCTTTGATTCCATGTTCACGTCGCTAGCCGCCCCGCTCGCTGGATCAAAGCGAGATGCGGCCGTCCTGAGCGGTGATGACGCCCAAACCCAAAGCCAATCGCCATTCAAGGCGACAGGTACGGGCCCGAGGGAGTACCCAGCTGAACACGTCAATCCACAAGTTTTGTGCTGCAGTCACTGCCCGGAAGTGCGCCCGTCCAAACGCAGGGCTTCGTCGCACAAGGTTGGTGAGTTTCACAATTTGACAGCAGAGTCGCACCCACCGATTGGCACAGACCAGCAGTTTCCGGACGACTGCTTTGAAAAGTTCTGCCAGGAGTGCAACTTCGATGCTTCTTGTCCGCCGGACTGTGAGCTGGTGTGTCCTGGCGACGATGCCTGTGATGCTGTCTGCATGCCGGACTGCACGCCGGAGCATGCCTGCTTCGATCCTCACTGCTCTCAGAGCCCAAAGCAGTGCTCAGACGGCTGCGTAGATCCCGAGTGCACTAAACTGTCCTCCCCGGACCAACCGTGCTTCTGCCAGAAGTGCGAGGCTCCTCCTTGTCCTTTAGGGGACCCGAACAACGACTGCCACTTTGCACACTCAGCACCTACTGATGCTGGCACCATATACTGCTACGACAACGCACCCTGTCACTTCCAAGAACAGTATCCAAGCCATACTGGTCCGCTTGCAAGTTACGAGACCTACCCATGCTTCTCGTCAGCTCACACACATCTCAACGGAGACACTGCCTCGACACACGCCTCGACCGCGCCCACACCTCTGTTGTCGCCCAGCAACTACACCTCACTTGAGAGCGCTTTCACGAGCGAAGCCTCTCCAGCACCTGGGCATGCTGCCTTTGCCAACAATTGCTTCCTCAACATCAGCGGGGACCACTGCCATATCGATAACTCCTGTTGTCATGGACCGAGCAGAGCTTGTGGAGACCATCCTTCCGCGTCCCAGAACAATCTCGACCTGTGGAATAATTCTATCGCCCAAGGCAATGGGTTGTCCAATGGGTTCATGAGCTTTGGTATCCACAGTCAACCTACCTCGCCGGCCACCATGGGTGGCATGTCGAATGGCAACATGTTCAACAACCAGTTCGAAAACTCGATGATGGGCTTCAACAACGGTACCAGCAGTTGGATGCTCCCCGACTCGTCCTTCGACCATTTCTCCCACGGCATGGGCGCCAGCAAACTCGACTTCCTCGCTTCCGCCATCCAGCAAGAGATAATGAACCCCATGAACTCTCTCACTACCACGCCCTCCATCCTCGACACCCCAACACACACCAGCACACCCTCAGGCGACGCAAACTGTATCTGCAAATGGCAACATGCCCCTGGGCTGCTCTGCCTCGCCATCTTCCCCACCGCCTCAGCACTCCACAAACACATAAAAACCGCGCACGTCGACAACTGCGCGTCGTGCTTCTGCCAATGGGAGAACTGCGACGCCTCCAGTAAAGACTTCAAGCAGCGCTCCAAGCTCTCGCGGCACTTGCTGGGCCACGCAGGCTACCGGCCGTACGCGTGCAGCTACGCAGGGTGCGACAAGACATTCGCGACGAACCAAGCGAAGGACAATCACGAGCGGACGCATACGGGTGAACGACCGTATGTGTGCGATCGGTGCGGCTACACAACAACGACGCATACGCAGCTGCAGACGCACATCAGCGCGCTGCACGAGGGGAAGAAGCCGCACAAGTGTCGGTTTTGCGACTTTACATGCGCTGATAGCAGTAATCTGAGTAAACACGAACGCACGCATCAGGTATGTCCACTCAGCCCTCCTTTTCTTGCTGTTCCCTTCTCTCTCCCCTTCTCTGAGGACGGCTTGAATGAGTCGCTAACAAACTTTGCAGACGCTCCGCCCCTACCGCTGCCCCCACGCAAACTGCACATTCAAGCCCGACTGCCGCTGGGAGAATCTAAAACGACATCTGCGCCGGTCAGGACACTGCCCCGAGCTGCTCATCGAAGCGAGTGAAGAGTACAGAACATACCGCGAGAGCGTGAGACGCGAGATCGACGAGTGGCATAAGAGGAACGGGGACGAAGGAGGTGCGAAGATGAGTCGACGCAAGGGGCGAGGCTCCGTGGGGTCATGAGTCGACGGTTGCCAATTGCGGTTTGGAGGGGAAATGGACGATACCAGATGTACATATCATCATCAGCAGAACGAACATAACGAAGTATATGCACTTGGAAGCCATAACTCAACGTGGTCTTTGGTACACGATCCAGCTTGACCTTTGTCGATCCACAGTCCAAAGCTACGCTCCACAGATCATTCGTGCTCCCCTTTCCTTCAGACGATAGTGAGTGTTGACTACGAATCTCAACAATCTGAGCCCAACGTTTCGGTGCTGTGTACTTATCCCTCCATCCCCCTCGCGCGAGTGACTCCAGCGACCGCCTGGTGGCCCTGGCCGCCAACCTGGGCGCCACATTCTGGGCAGCGAGCAAGTTGCATGGGCATGCCGCACTCACCAATAGCGAACTATAGAGGTCAGCATATCGTCTTAGATACTCCTTGGAATTATTTACTGGGTGCCCATTTTCACAGTTGTACCAGTGTCCACTATGGCTGGCGATGCCGCCGCGGCCACTTACCATGGCACGCTTGATAGCCTCGATCTCCTCCTTGGTGACCTCGGCGTAGAAGTCTCGGCCGAGCAGCTGAAGGGATCGCTCGATACCTTCCTTAAGCTGGTCGCGACCCTGGAAGGCACTCTCGCACAACATCTCTGCTTCCTTGAGGAGGGCTTTGGCAGACTCGCGGTACTGGGCGGCCTTTGTAGTAACTGATGCACTTGACGCTGCAAGTAGGCGGGCAATATGAGCGTAGTACAGCGTGGTCTCGACTGCAAGCTTCGGTGCGTTGGCATTCTTGCAGAGCTTGATGAGCTGTTCACAGTCATCCAGGAAAGAACCACTTCGGTCGATTGGCGATCCACTCGGAAAGTCAATGGATCGAGATTTGAAACTTCGAAGGACTTCAAATTTGTCGTTCAGGATCAGCTGACGCACTTTGAGGTGATAGAGGCGACCTCCCAGCGTGATACGCTGGTCACGATCCGGCTTCTTGACTGGGTTGGTCGAGTCGAGACTCATGTCTGCCATCGTGTCGCTAAGGTCACTATACTTGCTAGTGACGTGCATTATGGCCTCGTAGAGCTTGTGAGATGGCTTATGGCGTTCGTCCATCTTCTGCAGGAAGTTGCGCGCACTCGTTTCGAGCTTGCTGGGCTTGACGTATCGGTCCGAGATCGTCTTTGCGACGTCTTGCGCAGACACCTTGAGCAGCTTTGGACGTGTATCTTCCAAGCTCTGCTCAATTCTCTGCAGCTGACTTGTAAGGTCCTGAAGCTCTTGCTGTCCACTTACGACGAAGCGTTTCGACATCTCATCGATGACTGCTCGGTTTACAAGTCTGTTGTAGCGCTGCGTGACGTACTGGCGAACAGGCTCTCGGCATGTCGGGCACTGAGGTATCGAGGGGGTCAACTGCTCGTTTTCTTTTAGGCCGGAGTAGGAACCTGATTTCGAATCGATATCGTACACGTCCTTCATCTCCATGATGCCATCAAGTGTCTCCACGGTGAAGAAGTGCCGGCCTTTGCAACCCAGAACGACGATAGGAGTGTCATTCAAGTCGATATCCCTGTAGGGTAACATAGTGACGAGATCCGGCTGCTCTTCTGCTCGCATACCGCACTGTTGGCAAATGTCGGTTGGACAGTCTTCGCCACAAAGTCCTGGACACTGATGTCCGCAGTCAAGCAACTTCGTGCACCGCATATCGCATGGCAGCCTGTTGCAAGATGCAGAGCATGGCATAGTACAACCGCCTTGGTGCTCACAAGACCAAACACATTGCTCGACACATGGTGCGCAGGACTCAAAACACTTTCGTTTGCAGCCAGAATGCTTGCATCGAACCTGTACGTGTCAGCGTTGAGATCTAATTTATTTCTTGTTAAAAGAAGGTGGACTCACCTCGCAAGGCTGCTGACACAGACCGCAGTCGCTTCCCCCATGGCAAGTCCGCCCACAGTTGTGGTTGCAGGTTCCGTGCTTCCGGCCACAGGTTTTAGTGCATTTGATATGTTCGACGTGACTCTGACCCACGAGATCCACTTGAACACAGCGACCGCAACTTCCTGGGCATGCATGACCGCACGGTAACACCTCTGAACAGGAGTACGGACACTTGAACTTCTCATGTTCGACATCAATTGAGCATTTGAGCTCGACAGCATGGTTGCATCCCGGCACTTCCTTGTGCACAAGCACATCACAGCGGATGCTGTCTCGATTGAGAGTCTGGTAGCACGGGACTTGGTCTTTGCTATGACCACATGGTAGTTGCACCTTGTCAATCGTGACCACACACGCGCCACAGTCTTCACCACATGTGACCTTCTGACAAGGATGCTCACACGGAGAGTGTCGTTTCTGACACGGCATCTCGCAATGCCAAGCAGCGTGCATGGCTTCTGAGTGACACCTTGCTTGGCAGCTGTGACCACAGTCGAGTCGGTCGGTGCATGCTTCTCGGCATCCGCCCTCAGGGCTGGCAGTAGCAAAGTCGTCCGGTTCGTGAACTTCGATGATTGTGTCGACGTGGCGCGGGCAGCATAGTGCAAGAGCTTGTCCGACCGAATCTTTGGCTCTAAGTATGCTAATAACCTTCTGCCACATGCCGACACTGCTGTATGTGTCGACGTTTCCGATCAGATACATGCCGTGCTGAGCTCGGCTGAGCAGAACATTGATGCGGTTGGAAGTCTTCAGAAAGCCGACGTTCCTCTCTTTGTTGCTGCGAACAAGGGAGACGATGATAATCTTAGCCTCCTCGCCCTGGAAGTTATCGACAGTCGCAACCTTGAGAAGCTCGCTCAACTGCTTCTTCTCCAATGGCTTGTGCCTATGGCCCCGAGTAATCGCAGGTGGATGTGGTATCGTGTCAGGACTAGTGGTACCAAAGCCATCCTTCTCCAAAGCCTCCTGGTCGCGCTCGTTCAGGATAACCTCGAAGTCGTTACGAAGAGCAGTGCGCAGCTTCTGAAGCTGTCCAGTGTATGGCGTGAGTACCGCAATCTCACTTTTGCCGTAAACGCCTTGTCGAATGATATGGCGAACGAGGGCATGCACCATGCCGATTTCCCACTCGTTCGACCTTGACTTGTTATGGTGTATCAGGCTCTCTTTCTGGTCCTCCAAGTGGTCGTGGTTGAGCCAATAAACGTTCCTGCGTACACCGACCACATCCGGTAAAGTAACGATCGAATGATGGTCGACTAACTTTGGATAGATTGTCTCGCGAACCAGTGTAGAGATATCAGGTCGCATACGCCGCTGAACTTCCAGTTGTGCTACAGGCATAAGAGGTCTTCCACGCTCACCGATCGACAAGCGCTCAAACTGGCTCCTGTCGAGGGAATACAATTCACCCTGCTTGCTCTCAAGAGAGAGATCCTGGAAGTTATTGATGGTTGGACGCAGTTGCTCATGGTCACCGATCTGGATGCAGTGCTCGACAGTCGGGAGCAACACAGTAAGCATGTGAGGCTCCATGACTTCCCCGGCCTCTTCGCAAATGACAACCTTCGAGCTGACGTGTTTCAGCACAGATATCCTCTTAGCCAGTCCAGACGTTGTCACACCGATCACGTCTGCACCAGACAGAACTCGTCGGTCTGCCTCGTCGTGGACCTTGCTCAGGGTCGTATAACACTCATCGGCATCATCGACAGTCCTAGAGAGATCTGCTAGCGCATCGACTCGGATTTCAGACAGCCAGCGTTCCAGTAGAACGCAGCGCTCAGCCACTTTCAAGGCTTGCACTCCTAGATTTGCCTTACGGAGGACGCTAGGGATGTCTGTAGCCGCGACTTCGAGCTCGGCGCCTGCAACTGACTTTGCAGGTTTCCATATATCGAAGGGATGTCGTCCTGCAACAGTGAATCCATCTCCATCAGTCTTCTGGAACTGGGTGTAGATCTGAGGATATTTCCGGGAGATGTGATGACTCAGGCCTTTCCAGTCCGCGTTCTTACTCGATGCGTGGAGTCGACCAATGATCTTATTGACTTCCTTTTCGTGTTCTTCGAGATTTTTGTACATCATCGCTGACTGGTATGCCTCAGCCTTTGTCTTACCTTCTGACTTTGTGATGTCACGAAGGTTACAATCAGCCAGGAGTTCCGATTTGCTCTGACCGCCAACGCGAATGATCTTTGTGATGCCGACCTTGACGAGATGCTCGAGAAACTGATCAAGAGCGTGATTGGTGTAACATCTACTCGTCTGTCAGTCGAATGCCATCAGTTTCTTGAAGAGTCGACCCGAGGCCGTTGTGAGACTTACACCACGATAATTGGGCCCAGGCTAGCTTTTCTCTTGACTGCCAGGAGTATCCTCATCACCTGCAGGCCAATGTATGATTTGCCGGTGCCAGGTGGACCTTGAATGAAAGCAAACTCGCGTGTCAGAGCAGCGACCAGCGCTCTGCATTGTCCATCGTCGAGTGCGGTCTTGGACGCAATTTCTGCGATCAAGGCAGTATCTGAGCAAGATGCGGTCGCCGAGATGTTGAAAGTGCTGTCTGAAACCTTTGCCTCTGCCCTCAAAATGGATGCTAGAGGGAATTTGAAGCTGGCCTCTCTTGCGTACACCGGTGGGGGAATGTCTTGAAAGATCTTTTGATGCGATGGGCCATCGTGCTGATCTGGGAGAAGCCATCGAGAGAATCTCAATCGACTCAAGCGCTGCATTTCTTGCAAGTTCTCAAGGACCGGCACGAAAGTTGCTGGCAGGACATTGGGAAACTCCAGAATGACACCGTGGACGTTGTCGCAACTTGCACTAATCAGCGTCTCAAGCGCAGAATGACTCTGCGTGGCCAATTTTGCGGTGATTGTGGCCATGAAATCTCTGTCTGCCAGACCGAACTTCTGGGCAGGATTTGTGCTCTTCTGAGTGACTGTGAAGAAGAGATGCTGCACAACGGATCCTTGGACGAAGATGTAAGAGAGAAGCGAGCCCTCTTCCAGTCTCCTGGAATCTTCCCACCAAGTGCGACGCTGCTCGGCCGACCGGTGGTGTGCGCCAGAAGGCTGGGGAAACGATATTTTTGCCTGAAGACCGCGACGAACCTCGAAACTGACGTAACTGATGCACGCATTAGGGTAGTGGTAGGCTCGCATATCTCCAAGGTGGGCTTTTGGTTTGGATAATGTAGCAGGATCATGAGTTGCTGCATGCAGGAGACCGGAGAGGGCTTTCTTCAGTTCCCCAAACACATCGTGGCGATAGAGACGGAAATTTGTATCGATGTGCCTCTCTACCTTGTTTGTTAGAAAGTGCGGCTGATCTGGATCGGTAGAGGGTAGAAAGTCCTTTGCATCGCTCATCAGCTCATCGCGAGTTGGAAACATGGTGATTTCGGAGATGTCCAGCTTATCATTATCGTGTCGGTCAGCCGGGATCACGATATCTCGTGGATACATGGACGCCGTGAAAGTGCGCGGTACGTCTTCTGTCAAGCCTTTGTCTGCGATCAGACCCTTCGCACGATCGATGAGTGCCCGGGTATCTGCAAGGCGTCGCTTGACTATGGTGGTCGTCACCGAAGGCTGGCTCGCGGGTACGGTCTCTGCCGCACACTCCATAGTAATGATAAACTTGTCCAGGTCATCATGTAGCCTCACTCGCCGGTTGCGGTACAGTAACTCGTACAAGGCCATAGCGAGCCAAGTGATTGTCTGTTCAAATGCCTTTTGGGAGACTGAAGCGCCATCAGTGTGATTCTGAACAGTCACCATCGTTTCGCAAAGATGCTGGAAGAATCCGATAGCTCGTGTGCCGTTGCCTCCGCCGATGAAACTGTAGATTCCGCTGACATATTCATCTACAGCAAGACAGTCGACCAGAGAAGGGTGTGTAATAACCTCGAGGAAGTTCTTCGATACTTCGACAAAGCCGGCCATATCGGTAGACTTAGCTCGTCGTTCGAGCAGCGCCTTGACATGTGCACGACCGTTACACCTGTCTTCGTCCTTGTCGAGGTCGCGAGGCAGCTGCTGCTTCCAATCACGATCGTCTTCTTCAAGAATGTCTATGGCACCTTGCCAGACACGCTCCATGGTGTAGATGTCAGATGGTGTGTACGACTGACCGAGATACCGCTTCCAGCTACCGTACTGAGTGCGTGCTTGCTTTTGTTCTTCGGTCTCCTCAAATCTCACGCGTCGCTGAGCGCCATTGTTGGCAGCACCAACTTCATGGGAGAAGCGGCAATTCGTGAGCTTGCAGTCACCATTCATGAAGTCGTGGCAAACGCCTGTTGCGTGGCCGCGCCGATCTCGAAAACCGTGGCTTTGACCGTGGCCTCTGCTGTTTCTTCGGACAGCGCCACCGCCTCGTCGACTCATGGAGGATGCTGTTTGGGTATCTTCACGTAGATATCAGTAGGTGGTTTTGTATGAACGACGATAGGCAAATATTGAGAGTTATGGAATTGTTCAAACTCTAGTCTCGTCGTTGGAACCGAAATGGAAGAGGAAGGAGGCGGAAGAGCGGCAGTGGAAAAGTGTTCGACAGGTTGTGCGGCACTGGTGAAGTGAAGACACCGTCCTAAGTAGACGGTGATAGCAGACGCGCACAAACAAATCTTGCGCTACCAGGTGACGCGTGCTAACGACTTTCACTTTCATCGTTCTGTCGCTGCAAAGACGCGTGTTTGCTTAGCCGCAGGTCTCAGCCTCGCATAGTCGTGTGCCGTCAAGAAGTTCTTTGAGGCCCATTTCTACATAGAGCGCCTGTTCATGACTCTCTGCCATCTTCCGCAAAGGTGCGCTCGATGGCAAAGCTGGAACTGCGTGACGTATTGTTCGTCCTGGTGACGAAGAGGCACAGACGTATCAGAGCAGGATCTGCATCCATAAAGCTGGGGCTCTAAAAGCCTGTAGCAGCGTCATGGTACTCAGCCTTGGATCTGAAAGTTAGCTGATGTGTGGACAAAGCTGATGTGAGCCCATCTCCTGCCTGCCAGATGTGAGGAGAGTGCCGAAACGACCACGATGAATGGAATGATGTAATTCAAACTAATCAGAGGCAGTAACGACACTGAACGATGGATGCAATAGAGTAAGAACACTAATGGCACACCATTCATTGGAGACGTGACCTCCACCCAGAATTATCCCTCCTCCTGCCAGACCTTTACCTGCGTCCCTATCATATATCCCCCGATATCACGCCTGCATCTACCCAGAAGCGCATCTAGATGAGCATCGCCACAGCACCGACCGCACCAGCAAGCGCGGCACCCTTTCGAGCCAACAACGCACCAGCGGCACCCGTGAACTCAGCAACCGGTGCAGACGTGCTCCTTGTGGCTGTGGTCACACCGGAAGCAGCAGAAGAAGTACTGACTACAACAGTGGATGGAGCAGCAAGAGCAGCAACGGTCTTGAGTAACTCGGGAGTGGTCGAGTAAGTTATCACGTCACCGAAGAAAGCAAGCGAGGCACTTGAAAGAGGGAGGCGAGAGACTGCAGATGCGCCAGCGAAGCCGACACGCGAAGCTGCTGGGGCAGAAGGCTGGAGGGAAGCGCGGTCGAACTCTCCGGGTGCGAGGACACTGAGGATCAGGTGAGCAACTGTGGTCATAGTGATGAGTATGACTTACTTGTCAATAACGTGTGCGATACCACTGTAGAGGATTGTGTTAGGGAAGACGATCTTTGCGTTATTGACGTATGCCGAACCATCAGGCAGGACCGTGAATGTGATGTTGGCACCCTGAAGGGACGGCACGGTGATATTGCCCAGAGAAGGCGAGAATATTACGTTGTTGGGTATAATGTGGTAAGCGAGGACATCTTGGAGTGTCTTCACGTCTGCAGACTCGAGTTCAGAGCCGATGTTAGTGAATGCATCGTTGGTAGGTACGAAGATGGTGTAGTCTGAAAGGTTGAGAGATACGAAGTCTGCTCCGGTCAATCCGAAGTCGATGTTCAAGTTGGCTTGTTCCAGCGCGGCGTTCAGGGCTGTGTAGCCTGCTCGGTAGGTGAACAGCTGTAGTGGAGCACCGAATGAGAGCACTGTGTCGATCTTATGGATTGTGATGCCTTCACCGAGCTTGATGTCCTATCTCTGTTGTCAGCGACTTGAAGAATGCTTATGAGAGTAGGAACCACATGCAGCTTGAGTAACAGTTGAAATAGTCTGCTCGCCGGAGAAAACACACACATCGTTCCCGTTCTTGACGAGACCATTGTATGCACCGCCAGTGAAGTTGGAGAAAGGCTGGCGATCATTGATGTACGAAATGTCGAGTAATGTCTGGGCGAATATGGGAACGTTGGTGATGACATTTGATGGGAAGACTCCCTTGAAGACGTGATTCGCGAGGAGCGCTCCAATGGCAATACTATCGTTCTTGAATTCGATGGTCTCACCTTCAGGAATGTTTCGTGGCACGTTAGCAAAAGCTTGGTTTGTTGGTGCGAAAATCGTGATGTTCGAAGATGCTGCAAGAGTGTCCGCAAGGCCGTCAATGAGGCCAACAAGCTCAAGCAGTGTGCTAAGATCAGACTGAGACTTGAGGAACGCAGCAATGTGGCTCTGGGCTAGGCAAGAGCCGGCCATAAAGATGGAAGACCAAAGTGACGGACGCATTTTGAAGCTGGAGTACTCGAAGGCGCAGCAGCGAAAGCGAGAATGGCTGTTACTGGAAGGTAGGATGACGGAGTGTTTGTTGCGAGGCTGTAGTGAGATGCTATAGATGAGGATGGTTGTTATGGCCTTTATACATGAACTCAACTCAAGCTCGTCGAATTTTCGCCGGTGAAGGATACGGTGCTGACCATTATGACGACTACACAAGAGGCATTAGTAGTGTTCGATTCCAGGATCTTAGCAGAGCCGAACGATCTGGTCTTTAGGCCACCGACACTTGTTGTCAATCGATGCGTCGTGAAGTCTGAAACCTAGTGTTGCCGAGAAACTGCACAGCCTTGCCTAGAGGTGCTACCGCGGTAGTCCAATCGTCGCGAGGCATTAGTGAGTAGAATATCAGCATAACAGATGATTGAGAAGGCCAAATACAGTTGGGTGTATTGGGATGCCCGACGGTCCATTGGCCTGTGCGTTACGTAGGCAGGCCAGTCATGTAGGGCCTCGTTGGAAGCGAGACGGTCAAAATTCACCGTACCCACCAGAATTGTAAGCCTGGCAATGACCGCCTTCCTAATCGAGCACCCCGAAGTCAATGTTGTCGCCGCAAGGTTTGCGTTCACGAGCATATACCTGCATGTATCTGCATGCGTATTCGCCGGTGGGTCATGAGCAAGAATAGCGAAACCTGATCAAGGAACTTGGTTACAAATTCGCATGCGCGACGATGGTTGAGTTGTGAGTGTGGTGTCGAGAGAGGGCGTTTGGACTCTCCGCTTGTCGGACTTGACAGCCTTACCAATCCTTGTCGAAGGATGCTGACATCCATCATCAGGCACGGAAGTGGAGACGGTGAAATGTTGCCGAACCCCTGTTCGCGATATTCACGATTTAGAACCGACCATGTCCCCGAGTTTAGAGTCACACCGGTGTACTATTGATCTGCGCAGCTTTAATTCATTGTCACGTCTCCTGCGATGGTCGCCTCGTATCGCTGCAAGATCGCGATGTAATCGTTGTACCACCGTCCCAACCATGACGTCGCATTGAACAAGACGGTGGTGTAGCAACTCATTGTAGGGTCCAGAACCTTCATTTCCGTTGTCAGGCGCTGCAGCTTTGCATCACACTCCTCAATACGACATTCACTTCTTGCCAGATACCGTCCATACGTGCTTGCTGGATCAGTCGAGACGATCAGCAGATTGACCAGCACAAAAAGAGAATAAAGTACGGATGGAGCGAAGCAGAACGTCGGAAGGCTGAACAACAGAGCGGGGTCCATATCTGCGACTGTGTCGATCGCGGCGTGGCAATGCTGGGCGAGGGTCTTGAGGGCATCCTGCAGAGGGACGATGACTGAAACAGGCTTCGGGTAGTCTTTGGCTACGATGCGATGTGGCAGAAACGGCGCTGTGAAGGATGCCATATTCGTCGGCGTGTGGAGGACAACTTCGTGAAGGTGGATCATCGCTACATGATACCACACTTTGAGCGTTTGTGACGATGTAAAACTGGTCGGTATTTGAGTTGCCCAGGCATCGATTTTGGCTTTCAGATGGGCGATGGTGGCGTGAGTGTTGTAGTCATTGCCCTCAATGAATATTGCTGACTGGCAAAGACACATCAGACTGGAAACCTCATCAATCAACCGCATGATGCGCACAATCTGGCAGAGGAGTATATCCGCTAAGTCTCCTCTGATCTCCATTTCCAAGAGGCATTCATCATGATGGGCATTCCATGGAACAGCAATCGGCCGGCGCAGACTGGTAGACGATGTTGAGAGTGCAACGAAACAAGCAAGCCATGTGCGCCGTGCCTCGAGTGAGTTGGGATCCTCATGTATGTCGAAATATGCCACAGGTGAGGGTACCAGGCCAGGACCAGCAATACCAAGGTCGATCGCCATGTCTGTGGCTAGTTGAATGAGCTGGTAGCAACTGCCCTGTTGGCCTTTCCGCGATGTCTTGCTCCAGAAGGCAGCTACTAGCAGCGCTTGCACCAACTCGATGGATCTTTGTCCGCGACCGATGATTTCGTTTCCAACGATGTACATCGTTTCTTTGACGAGCTCATCGTGTAATTCTGATTCAGTACCTTGCGTTTGCTGGGTAACAGTGTAGACAAGCACCGAGAGAAGCAAGACGGGAGATTTGGCGCGAAGGTCATCCAAGCTCATGGAAAGACGAACGACAGGCCATACAGCTCCTGCATGGCTGGCGAAGTGCCGGAGCAGGTCCTGTTGTTTGCTCGGTGGGATACGGTAGTCCAAGAACGACAAGAGGGCATCTTCATAGTGCTCATGTGAGCTTGCGGGGGATCGGCCGGGTGTAATACTTTTGCTTTGCTCTTGTAAGGCGATCTGGAGTTCTTGGATCTGCGCTTCAAGCTCTTGGATTTTGTCGCGTTGGAGTCGAGGTGCTGCAGGAACGCAGTGCAGGCTGTTTCGGCTGCACCGTTCGCATTTACCTCCAAGCGCCGTGCTAACATCGCACTTTATCTTGAGCCGGTGGCATTCCTCACAAGCACGGGCGCGCTTTCTTGTACTTTCTTTTCGTTCGAGAGACATAGGTATTGAATTTGGTCGTTCAGATTATTCTGCTTTGAGATTATGGTCTTGAGTGACACAGACATCTAGAGACTCTGGTGGTGACCATGGCCAAGCAGCAGGGTCGAGGCGCAGCAGCACCGGCAGTGGCACCTGCCTGAAGTGAGTGATAATAGACCTTTTGGGCGGAGAGCCGAGTCTTGACTCTTCGAGGTAGGGAGTAATCAACCCCACCATAACGCTCTCATCATTCGTCGTTTATCTGAATTCTGCACTCCGTCTGCTCTCACCTGCCTTCAAATTTGCCCCCCAGAAGACGCTGTAGCCTGCATTGTTCGAAGTTGCCCGGGTCCTGTGTGATGATCTCCAAGTACGGTATGACGTCAAGATCGAGGCGCCCTTTTGTAGACTACAACGAAGTCCTAATGCCCAGACGCACCGCCTGTTCCGCCCCGTATAACTAAAAACTAGAAATGTGATCTAGGGCAGTTCGAAACGTCTTTACTTGGCAGGCAAATCTGCATGCTCAGGCCCCCCATCGCAACGTTGTCGCCGGCGGAATATAGACTAGTCAATTTCTCCGTGTAGGTGAATGCAACATCACAATGCGTGGATGCTTCGAAAAATGTTCTAATAATTTGACGAACAAGAGTGCCACTGTGCAGTCAGTAGATATTGTTGCACGTTAGCATTTGGAAACATGTTAAAGTTATTGGAGACTTGAAAAAGCGGTGAGCTACATCTTGATCACGCTGTTGTGAGGACGTGCAAGTCAGGCCAAATGCTGACAAGCAACCTCTCGCCAAGTCAGAAGAGGGATCGGACGTGATGGGCAGTCTACGGGTCCGATAAGTTGTTCTCCCAGCCGGTGTACGGCTCTGTCACCTGTGCGTGTACCAGTTCAGCATACGGATCAGATATCGCTGTGTCTGAACCCCTAGCACATTATTAGCCTCTTAGGTAATGAAAGGGCCTCGAGAGCGGCCGCCAGGTAGATACATTCTCTTGTTCGGTCGCATCGCGTTCGACCATTTGAGTTGCCAATGCAGGTGCCGATGGTCTACCGTGATTGACGACATGTATCTAGGACATCTCGATAGAGGCGTGGTAGAATCCTCTCCAGCTGTATGGATGTGTTGGGGCCTGAGGCTTCGGGGGGTATCAGTTTATCAAAGTCGAACACAGACGCAGCCTCAACCTCAGCCTGCCATTAATTGGCTTCGAAACGCAGCCTCGGCCCTCGGTGGTGGTGTCTTAAGTGTGCAGCTCATTGACAGCCTCGTGTACTGCACAACCCGGCGGAGTCTGATGGCTTACCAGCGAAGATCACAGAAGCTGACGATTACCTGCACGGCTGACTTCCATATACCGGTGAAGTGATCACGGAAGAATTAAGACATCAGAAGTCTCAGAGCTATATTGCACGTCAGCTCGAATCTCCAAACACCGTCCCTGGCCCCAGCTACCATCTCTTCCTCCCGGAACTTGATTAACAATCCACCCATCGCCCCGACCGAAGATGACGATAGCACAAGGGGTGCTGCAAGAAATGCTGCGTAATGAATACAGCTCCTCTTCCCGACAGAATGCAAGAGCCTTCTGGGCCACTGGCTTCTCGGTGTTTATATGCTCTAACGGCTTGATATATATGGCGCTCCCTACTTATCTAGGATACTAGGGATTCAGAGATTCAAAGCAACATATGAAGGGGCTGGAAATACAGATAATAAACCTCGATATCAAACTCCGAGACCGCGACAAACTAACCGACTTCGTCAACGATACAGCAGAGAAGTTCACGTTGATCGCTGCGACAGCAGGCCATGACGAGCTAAAAATAATAGCCGTTCATTTTGGACTCGATGAGCAAATGATTGAAGTCAAGAGAACCTTGAAGACATGTGCTGACCCTGAGGCCTTCAGAACCCTGTTCAACAGGCCCGTTGACAGCGCAAAGATTATCGTGGATTACAACAACGGAGACTCGATGAGCATGCCGGACGTGGTTGTGATTGGAAGTACTGCAGCGGCAGTCGAAGTCGCAACAAACAGAGTAGGCGCCACTGGCCGACAACTGAGAACAAAGTGCGTAGTGGCAGGAGTTTTCTGAGCTCTTTGTTAATCCAGAGTTGACTGACCGAACCTCAGGTCCAAGGCGTAGCACTGGACCTGCTAACTAAATGTCGCTATCATGATATACTTCCACTCGTCCTCCTCCTGTGATAACGTATGCTTCTATTGTCGATCCGGTGTTTTTTTTCGGTCGAAGAGTGGACAAGGCTCTGCGGAGGTGATTTGTTGTGCACTCGCTTGCAGTTTCATTTTCGGATCATCTCAGTCCACTGGAAATAGTCACAGCCTGGTCCTCTGACAACCTCTTCGAACCTTCGCTCGCAGCTTCAGACTGCGGCACAGTTTGGTGTAGCGAAGTGAGTGTTCGAAGGTTGCATATTATGCAGCTTCGTTGTTGAGGACATGGGTGCGCTAAAAAGGGTTGTGTTATTTTTAGATGCATCAGCATGGGTGAAGGACGCCAAGTATGCCGTCAGCCCCAGCTCTTAGTCACATGATCTGCACCAACGTACCGTTCAGACACTTTTGGCACCGACTCTACAGCTTTTAGCCCCTGGTTGTGGTGTTTGGCCTGTGGGACTGGCATAGTTCAACCGTCTTTTGGAGGATTGAAATGTCCTGTCGTTGGCGAGGCACCTGAAAGCCCAAGAAAAATCGTGCCATGGCACTGCAAGCCTCGAGGCTCTGTCTCGGAGATTCATTGTGAGCCCTGAGTACCAACCCTTGCTCATTGCTGAGGCTTGAAGCAGCATGTGCACCGTGGAATTACAAAGGTATGGTTCCAGCTGAGTATAAGAGATGAACCATTAGTCGCTCAGAGAACACTATCAAATCATCAGCTTCAAATCAAATATCAGTCTTCTAGCCTCGTTATCACTAAAGGCTCAGCCCTCATATGTATCTTTATGTCTCATCAAAGATCTATCTCGGAAGCAGACTTCCACAAGCAGCGCCGGTCTTTGCTGCGGAAGAAGACCAGAGCGGGATGGGGAGTAGGTCTCTCAAGCGCCATGACTGCAAGTGGGCTGTACTATATGGCAGTACCTGCGGGTGTCGCCGCCTATGGTTACAAGAACTCTGGCGATACACTAGAGGATCTAGAACAGATTATGGCAGCGCGCGGCATCAAGCCACGTAGTCGAGATAGGCTTGCCAGCTTCCTGATCGGGACCACGGAGAAGCTCGCGATCTCTGCTGTGACCCTGGGACAGAGCGAAGCCGCTTGCCTGGACGGATACTTCGGGTTGAAAAACAACATTGATAATCTCGCCCATCTTAATACGGAAGTCTTGAGCCACGACGGCCTAAAAGGTGCCAATCTGCTGGTTAACATGCCAGTGGATTTCGTGCAGCATACGGTACACTATGAGTCCAGCAGTCATGACGTCTCCGACAACTTGGCGATGGCGGCTGCTGCGGGAGTCACGGAGTATGGCTTGAACAAGATGGGTGATGCTGGATCAAATGCGCGATGCAAAGTCGAGACGGGCCAAAGCCAGCATGCCATGTGGCAGGGAATGGGCGTGCGAAGATTTTGACTATGGGCCACGGTGACCTTTGGCTGTATCTATCTGAAGTTCGTACAGCGGTTCTGAAGTAGTTCTTGCATAGCTTCTTATTACTTTAAAATGTTAGCAGTCTTGTTTGGGGAAGCTTTCCTATTGACGCTGCATACCCTACCGTGCAAATGCACATTCTTTCCACAAGCGTCTAGCTTGGTTCGGAAATCCTGGGCTCCTGTCATTCCTGAAGTCTGAGCAAGAATGGGCAGGCTGACGACGCACGTAGTCGGTGCGTGACCTCCGCCCGACTCGAGCGGTGATTGATGTGAGATGGGATAGACCGTGGTCGGACGTTGAGAATCTTTGCTCAGACTGTGATTTGTGAGCTTCGATCGATGGTCATGGAAGAGCATATCATACCATCCAAGTAATCCGCGGCGATCAGCAGCTCCAGGCACAGCTCTGGTGGGATGTCCATATCAGAGACATCTTTGCTGTCTGCATACTTCTGATTGTAGTATAGGTACTCGCACACTTTCTCGAGTACAACACCGCTGTGAATCGTCAGGTACATGCATTCGACGGTCGAGTGCAGGTTCGCGTATCGGCGTGGGCAAAAGTAAGGGTGGCGTACTTGATCGTGGGGAAGTCCATACGGTTTCGTGTTGTCTCCTGAAAACCAGCTGAAAGCGTGTCAGCCTCTTATGAACAGCTTTGGAGTCCAAGCAACTTACACTCAGGGTTCAAGGCTCTCTTGATCGTGCCTGCGATGCACGCCGCCGATCGAAGGAGCTTAAACTCATAGCCGTCGTTCGACACAAGAGTGACGTACTCGCTGATCCTCTCGGCACTCATGGCAGTAACACTCGTGATTGCGAGCCAATACAAGCTCTATGTGTGGGATCTGCTCGTTGGTGGGTTTGATATTGCGCAAAAGAGAGAAGGGGTTCTTCGACCCTTATGCGAGCACGAAAACGAAAGCGCGCCATCACGTGTATACTAATTACGTCATGTCATTGGCCATAGCGAGCACCCGTCGGGCCATCGACCAGTTCAAACTTGAAACACTTCCTCACATAGGCACGATCTTGATTGAAGTTTTACTCTACGCATTTCGATTCGTGGTGTGGAATTCCCAACGCAAGAGATGGCATGGACCTGCCGCTTTGGGGCAGGAGTTGCCCCGCCGCACCCCGCGGGCACGAGAGTCAGACTTGACGTCGGAGCTTGCACGCGATAGCGAGGTTGGAGACGCGTTTGACGCCATTATGATATTCCTCAAATACCGGACCTTTTTGCGCAGCCGAGGGTAGCTTCTCGACAATTGATGAAAAGCAAAATGAGGTGGAACAAGGCTTCTTTGCTGGCATTGCCAGCCATTGCATCAGCACATGGCGCCCATCATCACCACCAGGAGGTCTTCTCGCAAGATCATCTCGATGAGCTTGAGCAGAAATGGGGGACTGACGTGAGTTCTTTCCTGTCTCGACATGAATAGCAGTTGACAAATACAAGTGGGGTTTCAGTGGCATCTCAACCTACGCCCATCTGCCTCACACACGCTGCTTGACCAACCCAGAGGCAGCATACGACATTGCCATCCTCGGTGCGCCGTTCGATACCGCGGTCTCCTATCGACCAGGAGCTCGATTTGGCCCCCGGGCAATTCGCTCTGGCTCAGCTCGCCAGACTTCCTTCCGCGGCTATAACGCACGAGCAGGCCTCAACCCGTTCACATCCTGGGCGAGCATTGTCGACTGCGGAGATATACCTATTACGCCTTTCGACAATGCTCTTGCTTTACGGCAGATGAGTGAGGCATACCTCGAGCTTGCAGGGAGAGGACCTACCCAGAGGAGCATCCAGAGCGGTGTTAAGTACCTCAGCAAGCCTAAAGTAATCACCTTAGGGGGCGACCACAGCGTTGCACTTCCTGCGCTGAGGGCTTTGAACAAGGCTTATGGCCACCCGATCACAGTTGTGCACTTCGATGCCCACTTGGACACATGGCATCCAGCCAAGTACCCTTCAGCTTGGATTGATTCTGAGGACCCAACTACACAGTCCTTCCTGAACCACGGCAGCATGTTCTGGCTTGCTTCGATTGAGGGTCTCGTTGCCAATGGCTCGAGTGTGCACGCCGGGCTCAGGACAAGGCTGTCTGGTGATGATGAGGCGGACTACGAAGAAGACACACAGCAGGGTTGGATGCGTATCTCGACCGATGACATTGATGACGTTGGAACCAAAGGCATCGTCGAATCCATCATGGAAAGGGTCGGTACTGAGACACCGGTCTACCTGAGCATCGACATTGATGTTATTGACCCCGGTCTGGCTCCTGCAACAGGTACACCAGAGCCCGGGGGTTGGTCGACCAGGGAGCTGATTAGGATCCTGCGAGGAATCGAGGGCTTGAACGTCGTTGGTGCAGACATTGTCGAGGTCAGCCCGGCGTATGATAGCTCCGCGGAGATCACCAGCATTGCCGCTGCGCAGATTGTTTACGAAGTACTGACAAGTATTGTGCGCAAGGGATTGACAGAGCAAGCCAGGATTGAAAGTGTAAAGAGCAGCGATAAGGACGAGTTGTGAAGTGTCGCGAACGGGTGATAGTGGTTGGTCATCTGGTGCAGAGGCGACTTCACAGCATGCATGCGGCGCTACTAAGCCAGGGAGGCACTTCCCTCATATAATGAACCTTTGTAGGCGCGTTTACATGTAGAATGTACGCCACGACGGATATACGAATAAACGAAGTCATGCGCAAACCGAATCACTTCCTTTTGCCAAGCGAAATTAGACCGACGTCATGACTGGCGCATCAATGGCAATAGGCCTCCGTAATAGGCCGGAAGACACCCGACTTGTACAATCGCAACTTGACTTCAACGATCACACATTGACCAAATAAACCGGAGCCATGGAGCACTACGCACCCCATCCTAGCTCTCAATTCGAAGGGTTCTACTCGAAATTCGACCTCGAAAGCGGTGCCCATATCGCACTCATCATATGCTCCGTACCTCAGGCCAAAACACGCCCACATATGGTGTCCTTCACATACTACCCCAAAAACGGGCATCCGATATTTCAGCGCGAAGAATTCGTCGAAACAATCGAACGCACTGTGACGGACCCCAAAACGCAGGCCTTCGAGCTCCGCGTTCCAGGAATGGGCTACATGGCCTGCCACGCCAACGGCACCACATCCTACCGACTCAACGCCCCAGAATGGTCCCTAGAAGCAGACAGTACCTCAATCACGCAGTGGCGAACAGACAAAAGCACACCCGAAGGCTGGATAATCCATCTTCCGCTGCCAATGCACTGGCACGTGCATAGCACCTGCTCCCCCTGCACGTTCAAGCTGGATCTCCCACCGCTTGGCGATGCGCATCCAGAATTTGATCGTAAGGGCAGAGGTTACATACACCAGGAAAAGAATTGGGCAAACAGTTTCCCGGACGCACATATGTGGGTGCAGGCCTTCAACCAGGAATCAATGACAGGTGTATGTCTCGCAGGTGGGAAGATCATGGGGCAGACGGCGTATCTTCTCGGGTACCGCAGTGACGATCTCTTTCTCGACTTCATCCCGCCATTCTCCGTCTCATACCTTAATATGCCATTCCTCAGTCCCTTCATGAGCGTGGATATCGACTGGGAGAGCAGAACGTTCTCCATCTCGGTGAGCGATTATGTGCATAAGTTAGAGTTGAAGGCGCAGGCGCCCAAGGAGCCGGGCTGGTTTGGGCTTGCAAGTCCGTTTCCGGATGGTCATAGACCAAACTTTTGTCGTGAGAGCTTCATTGCGACCATCGATGTTAGGGTATATGAGAGTGAGGGATGGATGCCGTGGCATGGGTGGAGGCAGATAAAGCAGGAGAAGTTTGCGAATGCGAGTTTGGAATTCGCGGGAGGTTACTACCCGGAAAGAGGAGAGTCAAAAAAAGAGTAGATACTGGCTATTGTGAGCTTTGTGAAGAAGGCTACTCCTGCAAGTGCCATACCATAGACAACCCAAGGAGTGTATTACGCGCCTCCACCTCCATGCATAAGCTTCTTGCCCTTTACATTCTTCTGCTCTTGTCCCAGACTGACCAGGAACGCCAAACAGCTCGTCGCAATAGCCAGTATGAACGCCGTCACAATCGCATTGTTGTACCCATGCAATACACCCGGCAACTGATCCAGGGGAACAAACTGCCTCAAGTTCGTCGCGCCGACCTGCGCCACAACCTGAGGATCGAAACTCGAATACTTCGGTACTTCCTTCGCGAGCGTGTTGACAAAGATATTCTGCGCAATACTAATACTCAATGCGCCACCGAGGCTATTGAAGAATAGCACGCAAGCGTTCGCCGTCGGCATGTCTTTCACACTGCTCACCACTTGCACAGCAATAAATGGGATCTGAACACCCGCGCCTGCCCCAATACCTGCGAGGATCTGGTATCCAATCCAGTGGCTGTTCGGCGAGGCGACCTTCAGTGTATAGAGCATGCCGGCGCCGATGGCGAAGACGCCCGAGCCGAACCACATGAAGGGCGCGTACCAGCCGACGACGGTTATTAGGGCGCCGACGACGATAGATGATACGGTTATACTGACAAGGTAGGCGATGGTGCGAATCCCAGATTCTTCGGCGGTTGTGCCCTTGATGGCTTGGAAGTAGAAGGGGAGGTAGAAAATGTGTCTGTGGCTGTTAGATGCTGCAATGGAAGAGGGTTGGAATGGCCTACGTATACAGCGCCATGGAGAGCAGAGCAGAGAAGACACAGCTTACTAAGATAGTCCGCTGTTTGAAGACCCGCACGGGGATAGTTGCTTTGTCGCCTTGGTAAAATTGTATCGCGATGAAGACTATGATGATGAGTCCGAAGCCAAGTAACGTTCCCCATACCCTCGACTTGCTCCATGGATATGTGAAGCCACCCCACTGCAAGGCAAGCAGCAGGCTTACAATTGCACAGATCAAGAACACAGCTCCAGCCATGTCGATGTGCTTGAGCCGCTCTTTGACAGGAAGATGGCTATACTCCCTCTCCGGGTTCTTGAAGAAGAAAAATACAACTACCAGCGACAGACCACCGAAAGGGAGGTTGATCCAGAAACACCTGTCTGCTTGTAAGCCAATTGACTAAGTTTGAACGGTTTGCAGCTACTTACCACCGCCAGGACAGCCTGTCTGTGAATGCACCACCCAGGATCGGTCCAACGACACTAGCAATGCCGAACATCGACGATAGGGCAGCAATATAGATAGCGCGTTTCCGCAGTGGTACTGAGAACCCGATGATAGTCATACCGCCCGAGTACAGCGCCGCGGCCCCAGCCCCAGCAATCGCGCGCCCGACGATGAACATTGGGGAGCTCGTTGCGGCAGCGCATATCACGCTGCCAACTTCGAAGATGATAAGGGCGATGAGATAGGTGTATTTGACGTCGAAGTATGTGTACACTTTTCCGAATGAGGGTTGCAGCGATGTGGTGGTGAGCAAGTAAGATGATCCGTACCAGCCGACATCTTCGAGGGAGTTAAATACGGAAGTGATCTTTGGGATAGCGGTGGCGATGATGGTATTGTCCAGGGCGATGACGAAGGTCGTGAGGCAAAGACCGAATGAGAGGGTCCAGAGTTTCAGACCTGAAAGGTACTTGGATTCGTCTTCCGGCTCATCGTCTTCTGTTGGCGCGCTTGTGATGTCTGTAGTTGCTGCGTCTTTCTCTTGTGCCTCATTCAGGGAAGTATTTTTCGCAGCTTTAGAGTCTCCAGGCATGCCATTGCTGTTTCTCGTCTCGCCAGCAAGCTCTTTTTCCTGAAGACCCTTGAGGTGACTTGCTCTATCGTCTTCGCTATTCTTCCCTTGTGTAACATGCACCTTCTCATCCGCAGTCCCGACAATTTCCTTCTCGTTCAACGCATCCTCCTTTCGAGCATTGCTGTCGTCTGTGGAGGCCCGCATGGTGCCACGAAGTGGAACGTTGTACCGGTACCTACCGGAAGTTGCCGCCGGCCCGCAGCCCCTGTGGATCTGACAGGTCCAGAAAAGCAACGCTCGAAGCGTAACAATTCTTCTCTGTCCAATTGCAACAATGTCGCAATTTTCGGGACTTTCCTCCTCTCTACGTCTTCGCTGGTGAGTTGTCTGGAGATCAAAGAATTGCGAGGGACGTGGCTGTTTGTATCTATTCATCCACCCGCCGCAGGTGGCCCCTCTCACCTCAACCGGCACACACCAAGACCGTATACAGTACGATGGTCCGTCAGCCAGCCCATATGCGATTCGCAAATGTATGTCGAGCCGAGCTGCAAGTTGCAAGCGAAGCGGAAGCTTGATTTGCCGGAGACGAAGAGCCAATGAGCCTCGGCTGATCTTACACCAGACGGCAGCCCCTACCGTCTGGACTTGCTCCGGGAAATGGTGGTTTCTCGACCGTTGGTGATCGGCCTGCCAAGCGGCCAATTCACTGCATATCAGATGGAGGCTGCTGACCGTGGAGCGTCACATCTAACCGGTCCAACTTTTCCTTTTACAGCGGATGGAACCCTTTTTGTATATTTCCAGGTGCCTTAGCACATTTCGAACACGATAACGTTAGTCCATCTCGTCGAAAGACTACGCTTATCCAAATGCATCACGGTGGCGGCTCGGTGAGTCGCCCCTAGCGCCCGCAAATAGTCTAAGAGAAACCGAAAGCGAGGCACGTGCTCTTCCATTTGACCATACGACCTTGTTTATTCGTTCAGGAGGACTCCTAGCTCCACTTCGATAGATATTTCTTCAGCTGGTCCAGCTTTCTCGGATGAACAAAGTGCCAAAGCCTTCGTACATCAGATCTGATACCCCTTGAACTGCCGTGTCTTCACGTTCCTCTCGAACATGATATCAAGCTCCTCATACGTGCGCCCCTTCATCTCGGGCACTCGCAAAAACCACCAGATCAGACATGGTATCGAGAGACCACCGAAGAAGAAACCAAGCTTGCCGCCTAAGTTTGCCTCATCTGGATTGATGAGGTACGGAATCGCAACAGTCATGATGATGCCAACCAGCGCTTGCACTGCCGTGGCCACTGCGATGGTCTTCGAGCGCACGCGTGTAGCGCTGACTTCGCAGAAGATCGCAAATGCAACAGGACCGACGCTCCAGTTATAAACAGAGTTCCAAACCAAGAGCCTACCGATGTCAGCAATCAGGATCGAGGACGTGTATTTAGACTCACATTGTGGACTTGGCCCATACGGCGCCTTGCGTTGGTACACAGTCCAGGATACCGACCAAAAACATGATGACAGTAAGCACAGTAAGACCAGCGCCGAACAGCACGCGCCTCCCGAATCTCTGCATCAGATACCATGAGAGTAGAACGCTCACCCAGCCGACGGCCATAAACCCAAGACCCCTATTGGCATCAGTATGTAGACTCATGTGGAGTTGGTGGCACTTACATGTTGAACGCCTGATCTGTGTCTAATCCAGCAAGGCTGAAGAAGTACGTCCCGTAATTGATAAGATATACTCCACACAGCACTTGTGTAGTGTACACTCCGATTGCAATTTCCGTCCGGCGCCAATTGACCTTGCGAAACACGTCGTAGTAGGTGCTTCCAGCCTCCATGTCCCTCTCCAGCATGTCTGTTTCCACGATCTGCGCCAGACTTGCTTTGACGTTGACTTTTGCGCTTGACAACCTTCTCAGCGCTTCTTCTGCGTCTTCGAGCCTGCCTTGTCTCACAAGCCACCACGGGCTGGAGTCTGTCAGTACTTCAAAACCCATCGCAGCCAGATTGAGAGTTTGCGTACCTTTCAGGTGCAAACCACATACCAGGAAAGATTACCAAGCACCAGAACCACTGTAGGGAGAAAGGAATCGAGTATGCCCAGTGACTGGTAATATGCTGCGTCGCAGCACAAACCCCATTCCCAAGCAACTGGCCCGTAACAAAGCACAAATTCACATAACTCGTGCTCACGCTGCGCATCGCCAGAGGACTAACCTCGGACGCATACGCTGGTGCGATAACCACGAACGCACCCAACACAAGACCTGCGAGCAGTTCGCCAGCTAATAGCACCGGCAGCGAACGCGCGAAAAATTGGATGAACACCAACCCTGTGACAGCGAATACACACACGTTGAATGTCCTCTTACGCCCGTACCACTCCATAGGATAACCTGCAGCCAGCGCGCCAACAACCTGTCCGATTGGATTGCCCATGCCGAGACCAGTCTGCCACGCAGCGGAGATAATGTAGCCATCTTCGAAGGCGTATCCAAACTGTTTCTGGAAGGCAGGCATGGCGTATAGATTTCCGAGGAGTTGCGGGTCAAATGCTGGTATGCGTTAGAATGCTTGCTACGTAGACGGGTTATGAGAGTCAGATGAAGTACCGAGCATGATCACCCCCAGACTGAAATACATCGACCACCCGATCGCCTTAGGGTACAACTTCACAGCTTCCCAGAACGTGAGCGCATGCTCGGCTTCAATGGCTTCACGGACTTCTTCTGCCGGAATCGACATTTTCCTGACCTCGATGGGCGCGTCTCCATTCTTTCCAATGGTAGCCATGGTGGAATAATCGCTGTGTGACGAAGCTGAAGCCTCGAGAAGAGCCGCACGCAAAGCTTGGGGAGCTTGGTGCGCGCTCGGCATATTATATATGCACGACTGCCTGTAAGGGCGTGATCGCCGTTATCGTTGTCAGGCGCACGGGGTACCCCTCACCCCATGTCACAGATAGCGGTGCGGGGCTGGCGTAACGGTAAATGTGCAGACCAGTGCGGACCTGGAAGTGTACCCGGATAACGAGTCCTGAAGGATTTAAACTTATATCGCTATCTGCGACTGTGCCGATGGATGAGGCTGTAGCGAAGATTGCTGCGGTGAGGGTGTTGGTGGCTTCGGGAGCTCTTGGACCGAGGTGTTGAGATGAAAGGGGCTAGAGGCAGCGCTATAACAGAGTATGCGAGGTTGATGTAAACTACTTTGAGCGCGACGATAAACAAGAACTAAGCTGTGCTGAAAGCAATGCGGAGACCTCCATACCCAACGCCGCGATCGCTAAAAATGCCTGAGGATTACAACCACTCCTGAAATTATACATTGAGCAGCTCAGGGCCTGCTTCCTCCATGCTCCCGTAATCCATGATCTCTGGTATTCGAGCACCATTTTAAGCCGTTTCTCACTGCTTTCGATTAGCGGATGATCACTTATTGATGCAGTGCCGAAGTACCTTCTTGCAGCCTGAACATCTGGTCTCCACCTTGACCGTAGCCATGATGATCCCCTCGTGCCCCCTTCCGCACTTCTGCTGGATCATTTGTCCCTTGGGACAGAACTTCTGGATGATGCATTCGGTATGACCGCACTTGTGGGAATAGGCGTGATAGTAGCACATCGTGGATACGTTGCGGCGAAATGAATGTGACTGACAATTCGACATGCAAGGGAACGAAAGCGAGACGATGTTGTTACTGGTGCAGATCGTTTTGTTGTTCAGTCACTATCTTGGCGGATAGACGCGAAGTAGTGACTTGTGAGTGTGGAGTGTGACAAAGTCAGGTGCCTGATGTGAGAATGAATGTGTTTGAGATGAGAAAAGATTGAAAGGAACTGAGTGAGATACTGGACGGGGAGCTTATTGATGGTGTAGTCACTTGAGAGTGTTATTTATACCTCTACGTTAGCTGTCAGTCGTACCGTAATGGCTGTGCGTTGCCTGAGTATGGACTGTTTGTTTGACTTGCATCCTGTAAAGCAAATTAGCCCAAACCGGGGCCGAGTGTGCGCAACTAGGGTTTTGGACAATCCACCAAGGCAACTGCTGGGTGCAACAATCGGGAGCCGGGTCGCAAACTGTGACCGAATGAGGCTGACGCGATGGTTACGCAGTATGCGTGTCAGAAAGAGAGACTATCAGCGACGAGAGGACTTCAGGCTTTGCTATTGGAAGTGGCCGTCTGCTAGACATGTGAAATCATTTTCAAGATTGTACACGCTGTGTCGAATCCTAATATAGCAAGTATTGACCATCGACGTGCTGGTGTTAACAATAAGGACCGTGCCGTTTGGGCTGGTCGAGTAGCACGACTGCCTGCTCACTCGGGTACCTGCGCCTTGAAATCCTCACGTGAATGATGGTGGTACTAGCCTTGCCAAGTCGTGAGTCGAGCAAGCTTTGGTAGCGGTTTGCTGCCTCTGCTGGGTCGTGTTCGTCGTGGATGTGCTGACACTTCCGTTGCTGGGACTGTCTTAGCGTCGGCACACTGCAGTAAAGGCACACAAATACCATCCTTGAGTAAATTGAATAGAATCTCGAGCGGAGTAAATTGTTTTGAATACCCGTGCCAGGCCTTCCCAATATAGCAAGGCAGAAATTGTATAGAAGTGGCCGGCTATGCTCGTCATGCGCTACCTCATGCGCTCACCTACCTGCTATCGAGAGTTAGATATTGACTCAGACATGCGAATTTTGCGATGACGCTATGGACATAGCGGCCAACCTCTCTTCGGATTGCTCGGTCATTTGATAGGTCTGCTGCCAGGACTTCGCTGGTCAGTGGTCAGTCGTCGGTATGACCTAGGCGCAGACTGACAGCTCGGCAGCTACCGGAGGCTCAAGTGGCTGTATGTGCTCTGCATCGAGACTTGTACGGTGGCGATGGCATGCCCAGTAGATCTCAAGGAGGCTGGGTTGGCGACGAACGGGATTGATCGAGTTCCCACTATGGCGTTGGCCAGCGTTTTCGTAAGTACTGGCCAATCACAACACACCCTCACCGCCATTCAGGCGCAACGAGGACTTGCAGATGACGAAACAACAGCTGAAGATTGTCAGTGTGAACGATCATCTTCTGATTCGGCCTTGAATGACGGGAGGGCAGGTACGAACAAGTGCAAACGAATTGGTTTGCTCCTTGATGTCACCGCCGCGCCCAGTGAGATTTGGCAGGTGCGGAGCTCCACTTTGTTGCGAAATCCAGGGTCTTAGGACTTTCGTTATGGCCAAGATCTGTCGTCTGAGTCCGAATCATCGTCAGCTGGGTTCCCAGTGGCCCGCCGTAGCGTTGGAGAGGGTTGAGCCTTGAGATGGCGACAGCTGCGACGTGTGCTGGCCGCCTGTGGCTGATAGTGGTGTCCGTCGAGCATCAAAGGACAGTGCTGAAGACGTTGGAAGGCGACACTCCATGATGCCATACTGCGATGTGCTGGCAGCCGTTTGCCATGATGTGAGGCGTGCTTGTTAGTGAGGCACACAGCCCTGCAAACACACGTTGGCGAGATGCTGGGGCGAAGCGACGACATCCCGCAGACGTCGTTCATCCCGGTGATGGCGATTCGACAGCTCTTGTCGTCCGTGCCAGCTGTCAAGATGCGAACTATAATCGGCATGGAGAAGATGCAGGAGAGTCGAGACAGGTGCAGTTAGCGGAGGATTTGGACAACGCATCGCTCGCCTCTCTGCATGTTGACGCAGAGCTGCACCTGCATACCCACAAGGCCGGTATCAATTTGCGGGCTAATACTAGCAGCGACATCCACCGTGTCCGCCTCGCCGTTTACTCGCTCTCCTACAGTCGTTGTCGTGGTGGTTGTCGCAGACACACCTACCGTTCGCTCCTTCGAACTCAAGTGGAAGCCACCCCGCACCTCTCGGTCCCTCACGCGAATCTGGAGTGTGTGCGGCCCGTCAATATCGACTCGGACCGCCCAAGACAATCGCATTGACCTCCGCTACACCGCCTGCGAGAGCTGTCGCAGCTTTAACAACGTCGCGTCACCTCGCGCGCGGGGAATCGGAGCTGGAGAAGAGTCGCGATGCGCTGTTCGCCGCCTTTATCTGATTTTCCAGCCACCCTGCATCCCCTTTCTCCTTGCCTGACGAAGTTCCTGCGTCGCCTCATCCAACCGACGCTGTAATTGGTCCACTTCTAATCCCAGTCATCGAATGAGAGAAGGGCTGTGGTCCTAAGCAACGATACCGTCTCGACTTGTCCATTTAAAGGTATCTAGATATATGCAGGCTGTGCCACGCCATGTGGACGGTTGGGCTCTCCAGAGTGCATTGCTGACAGCACTGCAGACGTATACCCAACATATTCTGACGTTCCTTCATCCATCTTGTACAATATCTCTGCCATTTCTCGCCACGACTTTGTCTCTATATTTGCACATGGTACCAACATCGTTCCATCATCATTGCCTAATATAGCAATTCTCCGAGTGGCGCCTATTCGAGTGGACCGGCTCATCAGCATCAATCTCCGGTTGCGCTCCTCACGGGAGCCGCAGTTCACTAGACATCGCCCTGCGCACGGCCACCTCGTCGGCTCTCGAAACATATCAATTGGCCAGCACTGGCTGCTAGGTTTCAAGTCTTCATCTCCTCGGCGATATCGTTACATAGTGTCATCGGTCAGCTCGGGCCGGGCTGCTCTGTGTCTGTTGTTGAGATACAGCGCAACGGTCCGGGTTGGCTGTTGTTCTGGGCGAGTGAGAGCAGTATCTGGGCATTGTCCATCTCGACGAGCATTGGCACACTTTGATCACCAAGTTCACTGCGACAAAAAAGGCATCATCGCCTGAACAGTCTACCTCGCCACCCCTTGCAATCGTAATCCCAGCCAAGCTTACAGTACACGACAATTGAGCGCACTAGAACATGGCATCTCTAGACTTCGACCAGAAATTCCTGGGGCGGGTAGCCAAGCAGACAGAGGACTCCAACCCATATTTGTCTGGCGCGCTCTACCAGATTCTAGGACTCTCGGTTCTGCTTTCGCGAAGACTGATTCGTGCTCGGAAGCTTCGTAAACTTGACACAAGCAGAGACACCCCTTCACTCGCGGCATATCAACACATCCTATGGATGTCTCGAGAAGGATTGTCTATCTTGGAGCTATACGTGCTCCCGTATGCTCAAGACAACCAACATGGGCCAGAGTGCAGAGTGCTGAGCGTGAAGTTACGCGCCAGCTTCTACCATATCTTCTGCCTGTTTCACAACCAGCCGCCAGTCACCATGACGAACATGGAATCAATAGAGTCAAAGACGGCCGGTGCACCGCTATCTCCACAATCTAGAAATGGTCACAGGACTGAGCAAGTGCTGTCGCCACCGACAAAGCGCAACGGCAAGCAACCCGCATTGCGCGAACCCATCGACTCAATCGTCTCGGAGACATCCTTTGTGACAAATCCGTATGCAGCAGGCGGACCAGTGGGAACACCATCTCCAGGACCACCACTCAATGCGCCCCCAGGTCTCAACCCAGTTCCAATACCTCAGCCATCCTCCTTTCTTTTGCCGCCGCTGAACTTCGTGCCGCTAGCGACTGGATACTTCACAACTGCGAACCAGTACGCCACATCGTTCCTGCCGGGATCGCATCCTCTTCGACTGTCGGTGGCTCTCGAACACAGCGCATTCCTTTGGGATTGCGTGCACGATCATGAAGGGTCACGACGCATCGCACGTCGCGCTATCAAGGATGTCTATCGTGCACAGGAAGCAATGGATGATAGCGAGTTCGAGGATGCTGCAGAGCTGGTTGGCGTCTTGGGGCGTATGATGAAGCGCAAGAGCTTCGAGACCACACCGCGAATGGGCGGTGTGGGTAGCCCTGAGCCTGTCGCACCGAGTGGTGCTCAAGGCTCCGCTGATCAAGGTAGAGGTGATATAGACCGCGGCATCCCCGTGACAGTCCCTCTACAATACTCTCGAAACCCCAGAAGGGCCGCCGATGGTCCTCCCATCACCGTATCTGCTCCGCAAAGCCCGCCGAAGGATCCTGTCCGCAGCCGAGCCAACAGCGCTTCATCTAAGCACAGACACACTGACAGTCATGAGAACACGCCTCGCTCGAACGCGAACCGATCATCGAGCGGGAGCCAAACAACACCACGTGCAAAGCATGTTAGCATGGAGAGCGGGGGCAGCATGACCCCAAGAGTACCGCAGGGCAAAGGTGGCCGTTCTCCCTCAACCCCATCGACCCTCCGCAGCGTTCATAAATATGATGGTAGCGGTGGCTCGCAAAAAGCGACGCGAGAGTTCATAACATCGCCAATAATATCAGAAAGTGCTGCTGTTACAGCTGCATACGAAGAAATGAGGGCTTCGTCAACCTCACGTCGATCACCACCGTTACGCCGATCCCCTCGATCATCTCCCAATCTCGATGCGCGTAATGGGGAACCGAGCCGACTCGTGGCGGCGGGTAAGGAAAAGGCAAGGAAGATGGATGTTCATTGGCTTCCTAACGGAGAAGCTGACATTCGATTCCTGCCACCTTCCGCGAATACCACTCCTGTGGACGCTCGCCCGCCGATACATGATGCCCTCCAAATGCTCTAGTCCTTGCGCTCTACACACAACTTTTATCGATCTCGACCATCCTCATCCATCCTGGGAATCGACCTTCAAGACCTCATTCTACACTGCTCGCACTGTATATTACTCCGTCATACATGTAAGACTTCTGCTCTAGCACCTGCCCTAGGCTATAAGCAGGTCAACATCTGCTTTGACAAGCAGTTACTGCCTCCACACTTGGAAGTTTACCGCGCACATGGATCTGTCATTTCTTACTTTTGAGATACCGCTCTGATGGTCAGTTTCAGGTGGCCGACTTTGCTTAGTAGAGTCTCGTGCATTACGGTTTAACGACTCAGGTAATGCACGATTAATGCAAAGTATCTACATCTCATCTCATTCTTACGACACCCGTATGTATCAAGTCCATCGCTGCCATATTCCCTTTCTGCAGCTGGGACGCAGTCAGAATACTCGCTCACCACTTGGCCTGACATTTGTCGGCCAGCGACAGAGAGTAGAGCGTCCTATCCACACCATTGTTCCCAGTGAGCATCTCTTGGGGCCCTTCGCAATATATCTGCGGGCGTCTTCTGAGGGTGGACATCAGGGCTCGTCTGAGTGCTAGTCTACCTTCTTCGCGACCACGGTCTTGGAAGGTAGTCGATGCCTTGTATGTGGCTGGTGAAGCTTGGTCCTCCTGGGTCGCGGAGATAATCGACATTTCTGGGGAGGAATGCGGTAGACCGTCACCGTAATCTACCGGAGAGGCAGTCGATGCATCCAGGGATGATATCGTTGGCTCGATGCCTTCTTTCACTGGTGAGACGATTGGTGTAGCGGGAGAAATGGAATATTGTCTTCCCGGAGAGGCGAATCCTTCTGGCGTGAAGGTAGAGACTGTGGGGTCGAGTCTCCGGCATGCAGGCATTGGACTGTGCCGGGAGGTAGTCACCGCGTTCTGCTGTCTCGGTGTTTGCTCCGCCATGTAGAAGGTCAATCCAGATAAACCAGCTGCGAAGCTACAAGAGACAATCTCTTCCTCGGGACAGTCCCATATTGCCCTAATCGACTCGTTGACGGGAGGTTCTGTGGGCTTTTCGAAGCCAAGCAAGGGGATGGAGGTCATGTGGACCTTGTCAAGTGCCTCCAGAGTGGCATGAGACTTGATCATGACGGAGGTGGGTATAGGAGATTCTTCGAAATCTATCATTTCGTTTTCCTCTTTGAGGAAGGCAAGGTCGTTGGGGATATACATGGTAATGCGCGAAAAGGTGAACCTCTGGCTTCGGATATTTCTGGTTTGAGTCGTGAACATTGAATAGCAAGGGTAGCTGACCTGAGAAGAGATATATATCATGGAGCGAATGATAGTTGCGCTTCATCTGTGGTTGTGCCATCTGAAAACTGTGGTTGAGGGGGGAGCCCCTGCCATTGAACCAGTGTACTTCAATAACAAGCGAATAATATCACGTTCGTCTCCAGGGTCAAAAATGCATGGGACGCGCTCTCACTTCACAAGAATGGAATATTTCTCACAGAGTCATTATGTAAGAACCTATCCTCTGAGCAATCCGGAAGACTATCCGCACAGTCTGTTGTCTCTTGCATCTTTGCCTGCTGGTCGTCCCTTGAACGCTCCAAGAAACGCTTCTCTCACCCCAGCATCCGCCATATCCTCGATCATGTCCAGTGCATTCCTTCCGCATATTGTGGTTCACAATGATATCGAAGCGCCATTCGCGAGTAATGTCTTCAACATCGCTAGGTCTTGGTGAAGGACGGCGTGGTGTATTGCGGTGAGCTTATCCTTGTCGGTATAGTCTATTCTTGCACTGTGGTCAATTAGGAGCTGAGCCATGGTAAAGCGTGTGCACGCTTGAAGCGAGGTCCAGCCTCCATCGTCAGTTGCCCCGATGGCAGCGCCTCGATGCATCAGAAGAGCCAAGATTTTGAGGTCGTCACTTTCTGCGTCGAGATGCATCGGCTTTCGACCGTCGCGTTCAGCAGCTGTTATGTCTGCGCCGTGCTCGATCAAGATCTCGGTAATGGTGGTATTATTTGTCGAGATTGCGACGTGAAGAGGTCGGACGAAGTCATTGCCTACTGCTTCCACGTATGCACCTGCCGCTAATAGGGCTCGAACGATCTTGGTCGAAGCTGGCTTGTAGCGTGTACCTACACAAGCCTGGGTACAGATTAACGAAATAGTCATCGGAAGTGTTGCTTCATCATGGCATACCAGAAACAATGGTGTAGCGCCCTTAAGGCTATCTCTTGCGTCGATGTTCGTGTCTCGACCCTAGCCACACGATCGAGAGCTAGAAGAACTCCCAGCGCCTCTAAATTTCCAACAGCTGCAGCGGCATGTAGCGGCCCCCCACCATCCTCGTAAGTCAGACTGATGTTGGCGCCTCTGTTCATGAGGGGATGTATCATCTTGGCCTGGTAGTCACAAGCCAGGATGAACGGTGTTCGTCCTTCTTTGTCCTGCGAGTTGATATTGGCTCCCTTATTCAGAAAGACGTCCAGGATGTCTTCCTGCCCGAATCGCACTACATGATGCATCAGGGTGCTATCATCGCCATTGCAGGCGTAGTTGACGTCATCAACCGAGATGAACATCATGAACGTAACTCTCGACCGAAGTTCAGGGTCCCATTCATCAGACTCCAAGACTCTCCAGAACGCGGTTTGGTTAGAGAATGTCCCTGCGAGAATGTTGAAATGCTGGCTATCGAGCAGCAGCCTCAGAATCGCTAGGCATGTTTCTGTGCAATACTGCATATTCAACAGCGCATCGAAAATCGCATTGTCGTGACGGCTAACAGTGACAATGCGACAAGTTGACGGTGAATGACCTGCGCCATGGTTGAGAAGAAGTTGCACAAGTTCAACGTGTTGATTGACGACTGCAGCGGCCAACAAGGGCGAGTCAGGGTCAGCACCATTTTGCATCAGTGTCTTTACCAGTCCACAGTCTGCGTCCGAGGTTACGATGAGCATCATGTTGAACAGTGCTCTTGGTTTGACAATATGACCGCCGGAGTCGAGGACCAAGTTCACCCAAGCGTATTTTTTGGGAAGTCCGGAATTCGGTAACTACTAGTTGTGCATGCATGGAATATGCACCCTTCATTAACGATTCTCATTGTCTCAAGTCTTTTTGTTGATGCAATTTCCGAGGAAACGCTGTCGAGCGGATAGTCAGGGCCGCCGATGGCTTTGAGGATCAGCTGTACAACACTCGTGTGACCGTTGAACATTGCGACCTTAATCATGTTGTCTCCTTTGGCATATCGGGCATTCGGATTCGCACCTGCGGCTACTGATGTTTTAATGATCTCGAAATGGCCTTTTGCAACTGCTTCATGAGCTGGAGTGCTCTGCTGTGCGTCCGCCCTGCTGACGTCAGCACCCTTCGCGAGCAGATACTCCACAATATGAGTATGTCCAAGCTCATAGGCGCTCATGAGGGCGGCTAGCTACGTTAGACCATGCTGTCGCAAAACCTCTGGCCACCGCGAGTCCATACTCACTCGGTCCGGTCCCGGTAGGGTCGTCGACAGAGAAGCCTTCATCGATACACAGCTTGACGATATCCTGATAGCCCCCGCAAGACGCAAAATTCAAGGCGTTGCCTCCAGATTCGCTCTTCTTCGATGGGTCGGCCCCCTGAGCCAGAAGTAGTTGTACGACAGTCAGATGCCCAGTGCCAGCAGCTACGTGCAAAGCTGTAATTATGTGCTCCTGCGCAGGTGGCTTCGATATCGATACCTCTAGAGGGTAGATAATCCATTGCGTCCACCATGCCAGCCGCTGTAGCCCAGTGCAGTGCATTCATGTTCGATGGTCCACCGATAGTGTTGATATTAGCACCGTGGTCGACGAGAAGTCGGAGAAGCCGAGGTCTACCGGTATGTTCTTGGCTTTGAACAGTAGAACAGCGGAGGTTTGCCCCGCGCACGATGCTGTGGATTGGCTCCTTTCAGCAATATAATCCTAGTCATTACGAAGTTTGAGTCTTTGATGGCCGTGACGAGCAGCGTGAGTCCATCGCAACGTTCGCATTCGATATCCGTACCTGCGTCAAGTGTTGCTTCGAGTAATTCGGCGTCCTGGCGGGCGAGCCTCTGGAACGCCATATCGGCCAAGTCAAGCTGATCGAAATCCTGGAAGGACCTCGTTCCAGAGTTGGAGCTGAAGTTGAAGACCTGACCTGGTGGGATCAACAGGTGCCATGATTCTGCTGGACTTGTATCTCGGAATTTGAGGTCGCTGGTCTGCAGGGTCGAAACTCATCTACGGTGTTGAGAGCATGCGTCGAGCGTCACCGAACTGGTAGCTGAAAGTGTGCCGTCTCATTGTGCGCCATGTTTGATCAAAAGTCTTGGCGGTGGCTTGCTGGCTGGTTGGAACATTCGGAAAGGACACGCTGAAAAGACATGTTATGTTGCATTGTGCGTTCAAGGCACGAAGTTGAAATTTGGTGCGAGCCAGGCAGCAGCAGACATCAGAATCCTGAGTGCAGCAGCACGTGAGCTGTGTTCTGCTGCGTCTCGCATTGGGCAGAAGTAAGCGTAAGCACAAGGGACATTCTGACATTCTGTCCGAAAGAGTCCTACAATGTTTCGCTTGACCCCTCCATCATCGTCATCACGGGCCACGGCCCAAGCAAAGTGGGGCACATGTGGCACATGCAAACCCAACATGCGCGGCGCAGCCTTGTTCAATGCGGTTGACTCGGGAGCTAGAGTGATCGCACACCTTCTACTTCGCCTCGCGTGAACCCCGAGGTTTCAGAAGAGTGCATGAGAGACGTGGCTGCAGAAGTTGGATGTGGGCCACTCCTTCCTTACTGGCTGTGGCGTAGCGTAATCACACCTTTGGAACTTAGCAGCTGACGGCGCGATAGGTCCCGCTCAAGATCTTACTACTACTACTCTGCTCTTCCACTCCACTCCACTTCCAGCAATTCGCAACAATGGCTGGTTCTACCAAGTATCTGTTGCTCGTCGCAATTGCGATCCTTGTCCTGCTCCCTGCAAGGGCAGACGCATTTGGCGCCGGAAATATCGCGTCTATCTCCAAGATTGAAGGGAAGAACTGGCGACATGGCGATATCGAAGACATGCTCGCGACAGTCGCGTGCATAAAAGGCCACAAATGGAAGTCCATGATGATCAAGGTAAGCTTGGCGAACGGTCGTCGAGTCAAGACTGTGACTGACGCATTACAGCGTGTGTACTTTGGCAACTGGCTAAGAGACTATTCACAAGTATGAGATCCCAGCACAGGGCAAGAACTCCTGAACTCGTATACTGAACTTCGCAGGCTGTTGACACTGCAACTCTGAGCAAGGTTCAAGTAAGTCAACGAAAACGGCAGTGCCGCATATCCGTCGACTGACGAGTGCCAAGGGCGAGACTATCCGCGTGCTTGTGTGGATCCTTTCGTTCATGTCCTTTGGCTACGCTACTGGAGAGTTCGAAGTGACTGCTGAACGTCTGGGAACATACAGACCCGAGGAGCATATTGACAATCCCAAGGACTATGCCGACAACGAGGATGCCCGGAAGTACGACCCACGACTTCGAGGCCCAGTTTCCGACGCTGAGCTTGCTGTTGATCCCAACACGGGAATGAAGAACTACATTGCTAACGAGCAGGGTCCTTGGGCAACTTCGGCTGGCTACGTGAGATACTCTTTGTCCAGAGCAATCCATTTTGGGCGGATGTACACCCATGGTCCCTCAGGCGAACGTGGTAGAGAAGAGGATCTTTGCGAGGCCCTTCGATGCCTGGGCCAGGCTCTGCACTGTCTCGAAGACTACGGTGCACATACCAACTACACCGAACTTGTTCTAATCGAGCTTGGTTACCACAATGTCTTCGCCCACGTTGGTACCCAAGCTGGCATCGACCTCCGTGGCAAGCATGTCTTCCCGTTAGTCACTGGTACCTTTGGTGGAGTGGACTTCTTCCACTCAGTGCTCGGAGAGGCGACAGACCATATCAGCTCCGCCGAGATTGATGAGATGGACACTACCCTGTCAGATGCTCTGACAAGCAACACCAAGGGCAGTGGCTCTGGTCCCCTTGGCGGGCTTACAGATGTTCTGTCCAAAGTGCCCGGTACCAGTGGTCTCATCCAGGAAGCACAAGCTCTGCAAGCTTCGTCTGATGCTCAATCTTCGGCTAACTCTGGCCACGGCTACCGCTCTGGAGGTTACGACAGCTTTGGTTCGCGGGCGGGTGGGCAAGATCAATTCGGAGCGGCACCACCTACATTTGACGCCCCACCTGGCTCTGTTGGAGGTCCACCAGGACCGAACATCCCAGGAACAAACACTGATCCAGCCACTGTCATCCCGAAGATCTATCCTATTCTGGTCTTCAGGGACAAGGTAGTACGCAGCATCTCCCAGCTCGTCTCTAAGATTCCTGGACTCGAGAAGCTGATCGAGACCATCACCGAGCGTGTTACTCTGTTCGTGCTCTCTCTTCTCGCACCATTCGTTCTTCCTGTCATCAAGACCGCATCTGCGCAGCTGAAGACAGGATCCTCGGCTGTGCTCGAGTCCTCAGCTAAACACCAGTTCGATGTTTGGAACAACCCTACATCCACAGACCCCACGCACTCCATGCTCTCTAAGGACCACTTCTCCAATATCCTGAACGAGCCAGCCGGCCAAGTTGCAGTCCAGATCCTCCAATACGTGGTCCCCCGTGTTATGTACGCGTTCGATCACCCGGACATCCCTGTCGACCAGGTTCTGAACGACTGCGTGAGCGTCTTCCACCATCCTGCGCTGCGCGACTCGCGCTCCGAAGTACACAACAACATGTTCAAGGTTGTCAAAGACTGGGCACACAACTACCACGGCAAAGACCTAAACGACTTGCTGAGCTCCGAGTCTGTGAAGGCAGGCAGGAACCACAAAGCCGGCGATGACCACGGCGGCCACGGTGCAGCAGGGCTCCAGCAATTCTCGGGTCACGGCGGCCACTCCCACGGCGCAGGAAGCAGCTATAACTTCAACACCAGCCACCAGCAGTCTTCGTCATCCTCTGGTGGAGGTCTGCTTAGTAGCCTGACCTCCTCGCTGCCCGGCGGCCTCGGTAACGCATTCTCCAGCTTCGGCAAGCGCGACGGTCCAGAGGGCGACTTCTCAAACCCAGCTGCTGGCTCTGCATATCAGCCCAGCCCCTCCCCTCAGCCGCCGCAGTGGGGTGCTTTTCAGCCGTACCAATCGAACTACGACGGCAGCCAGCCGTATCAGGCGCCTGCTGAGCATGCGAATGCGCAGCCTGTGGGCGGATATGGTTGGGGCGAGGCGCAGTTCGCTAGTGGGCAGGTGCATGAGCCGAGTTATAGCGTGCCGACCGGATATCAGCAAGGTTACGAGAACCATCAGAATCCGGCGCATCAGGGTGGGTATCAGTATGATCAGGGTCAGAACCAGGGTCAGGGTGGTGGAAGGCAGTGGGGTGCTGGGGGTGGGAACTCGGCGTGGTGATCTCGATGCTTCGCCAGGCGCATAGGCAGGCACTCCGACTGCAATGTGAGTCGGTCGGTCTTCCACCAGTCAGATCACGAGTAATGCGGATACGTTTCCCTAACCATTGTGATTGTCGCAATGTAGCGGAGATCTTAAATTCTTCTCTTTACTTCGTAGCACATCCTCGCCTGACCTTTAATTGTAATTACACATGTCGCTCTCAATACAAGAGCCCAAAAGTTTCGGGTATATGCCAAAACGCCAGCGGGTGATGCGGACGTGCCTTTTGTAATGGGCGGTGTTGATACATTATCGATACATCGTTTACGGCGGACTCGAGTCTCGTCAATTGACCATTGAACGCTTACTCGTTGATCTTGGCAAGGAGCCTGTGTTCGTCAGTCCTCTGCTCACAATCCATCGGTATCCTGATCTGCCTCTGCAAACCAACCCCGGATGACTTACTCGTGGTCCCTGAATAAGCTGTACTCCTCCTCGCCGACCTTGATGGGGCTGCCGCCGAACTGAGGGATCAGCACCTTGTCGCCGGGCTGCACGCTGACGGCTACGCGGTTGCCAGACTTGTCGAACGCGCCGGGGCCGACAGCGAGGACCTTGGCCTCGTTCAGCTCCTTGACGGCGGTCTCGGGCAGAAAGATGCCGGTTGCGGTCTTGGCCTCGGGCTTCATGCGCTGGACGAGGACGCGGTCGAGAAGGGGAGCGAGGGAGCGGATGGACTTGAGGGCAGACTGGGGAAGCGTCAGCAGTGTGTTTATCGAGGTATACAATGGATGGGGAGATTGATGCTGGGCGCATTGGAGAACGTCATAGACTTAATGCGTGGGAGATGGCATACCATGGTGAGTAGAAGATGGGATGAAAGACGGGGTATCTCGAGAAGTGAATGTTGTGCTTGAGGTGAAGGTTGGAGATGCTGAAGTCGGACGCTAACGGGCTGGAGCTCTAGAAATTTCGAGTGGCCCGTGCCGCTCAGCCCAGTCGACCTCGGATCAGACGCGTCGAACTTCGTGCATTACCAGATCCAGCCAATCCAACTTCGACATTTCGTCACTTGTTTGTATTTTTGTAATTGTACGTTCCTTAATGCCACGACGTTTATGTGGAGAAGCAATGTCATCAGGTTGAGGAACTGCTCCTCTGCTGCGGCATGGCGCAACACCAGGTGGTACAGCTCGCAGACAAGCCTGCCGATCACGAACAATGAGTTCGAGGCCGCTCTCCAGCGTACTGGCTGGGACAGATTTCATTTCGAGCACGGTCGTCGAAAGCTAGGTACGTCAGCTCTTTCCATGCAAACACTCAGGTCACTAACACATTCAGGCATGGCCATCAGTGGTGGCGTTGATTCCATGGCACTTGCTGCATTGTATGCAGAGCTCATTGCTGTCCGAAATTACCCGGGTCTAGCGCACGCGTTCATTGTGGATCATAAAGTGCGCCCGGGGAGCACCGAAGAGGCAGAGTGGGTGGCTCAGCAGTGTCGCTCAAAGTGTAGGCAACGACATTGCACCTCAGCTATATGGGTCAGGCTAATACGTTGTAGTTGGCATGGAAGCCTCCGTCCTGCCTCTCTCCTGGCCCGCCGACTTCGATCCCCTCGACCACAAGGGGTTCGAAACAGCCGCACGCACTCTACGGTATCAAGCCCTCGGTCGAGCCTGCCATAACGCGAACGTGTATAGATTGATGGTCGCCCACCACGCCGACGATCAGGCCGAGACAGTCTTGATGCGCCTTGCTAATGGCCGGCTGCGCCTTGGTCTGCAGGCAATGCAACCTATTGAATGGATCCCCGAATGTCATGGCCTGCATGGAATATCGCATAGTGGAGTGACGCACGGCAAGTTCAACAACCCAGACTTGGAGCATTTGCCATTTCCGATTGAAAACGGTGGGGTGAAGATTCTGAGGCCTCTGCTCAACTTCTCTAAAGCGCGGCTACTCGCAACGTGCAAACACCACGATATTGCTTGGGCGGAAGATAAGACGAATCATTTGCAGACATACACGTCGCGCAACGCGATTCGTCATGTGTTGAAAAACCATGAGCTACCTGCTGCGCTCAGTGTCCAGTCACTTGTGGATGTGTCCAACCACATGCAGCAACGCGTCGCTACGCATAAAGAGGAAGCAGAATGGCTGTTCCTTGAATGCAAAATTCAGCTGAACATCCAAACAGGCTCGCTACACATCCAGTTCCCTTCGTTTCGCCGACTTCTCTTCGGCCTTCTGTTGACCAAAAAGCCAACTTATGAGCTTACCCAGTCCGACCTGATCAACGCCAGGGATACTGCAACGCTCCTTCTTGCACGAGTTGGTCAATTGATTTCGCCGAGGGAAGATCCACCATTGGCCGAACTCGCAGCCAGCGTTAAAAACATCTGGCCTGAGTTCAAAGAACTGGAAGAGGCTGATCTCGCCCAGACCGGTACGCCCGAAAGCAACTTCAGCTACTGTGTCTTTGGTATATGGTGGCGTAAGTGGAACGGATCTATAGGCGCTATCGAGGAAAAGGACAAGAGACGTCAGGACAACATGAACTGGTTCCTTACACGTCAACCTTTGGATAACCGTCGCGGGGCCTGGGAAGGTTTTGTCTACCCCCCTTCCCATGTCGTCCCACTGATACAAAACGCCTCGTCTGCATCGACTAGCAGAGTGGGCAACGAGTACCAGCTCTTCGATAACCGCTGGTGGATCTGCATCAAGAACAATTCCACTGAAGAGCTAAGACTTCGCTTCTTTTCAAAAGACGACTACGCTCGCTTGCGTGCGAGAGATACAGAGCGTGAAGCTGCCAGTGTTGCCTTCACTGCCTTGTCCATGCTTACGACCGCTGACCTTCGTATCAACAACCTGCCCGCGATATTTCGCGTCAATGCTGAAACGAAGAAGGAATTCCTCGTTGGTTTCCCGACGCTCAACGTTAACGTAGGAAACTATGGCTTTCACAAAGACGTCTGCACGTGGCGCGTGCACTACAAGAAGATCGACTTGGGTCCCAAAGATATTGCTGCGATTATCGTTCCGCGCGTCACGCGGGAGCAGATTGAAGACAAGATGGGCAAGTACTCAAGGTTCGTGGCTCCAAGACGCGCCTTCAAACAGAAGAGTGAGCGCGAGGATAGAAGGCAGAATTGGCTGGAGAAGAAGCGCCAGGCGGAAGCACGGTCTAGGGAGCGAAAGCAAGAGGCAGGCATTCCCCTGGTGCCGGTCGCCGAGTTCAAACGGCGCGGTAAGTCGGGGAAGGAAGAAGTCGGCGGATATAAGATCAAGTGGGAGAATCTTGGTGATAGGCTTTGAAGTCCTACAATGCACAAATACCCGTCGCGAAACAAGCCAATCTACACTTTCCAACCGCCACACGTTAGTGGCCATCAAGAGATTCGCACTAGCACATACTGAAGTTATTTCATCTGGTTTAACAGACCCTTCATCGCATTATCACATTCTGTTCGACGTATATTCATAGTTGCGGTACCGCGGTTGAGGTGTGCGCCGTTGGAAAGTCCACCGAGCTGACCGAGGTGGCGCTCCAACAATATTTCTCTGCCGCAGCCACGAAGACTTTTTCATACCACGCTCATTTTGCATTTCTTCGATACGATGGTTCATTTTCTGCTCAATTCATAAACTATGAGTTCTGTGAGATGTGAGAGATGTACTTGACAGTTATATAATATTGTCCACCGAACGGACAGTGGACAAGCCGTTCGAGCCCGGTTTGGTGTTCAATTTGGTATAATTAATAATTACTCAGCCTCATTTCCATCACAACATCCAAAGGCACTTTGGGTAAGCAATCACCACACAAAGAAGAACCATAAACAGCCGCTAACAGTACAATAGCGGAGTGGTTAACGCGTTGGCCTGCTACGGATCTTATCATCCAAGTCAGCCAATTCCTTCGGGAGCGTGTGTTCGAATCACACAGGTGTCGCTTATAGATTTTTTTTCCTCAAGTGAGGTCGTGCCAGAGCGGCGATAGCCGTGCTCAGCGGCTGTCTTCAGTCCGCCATCTCTATTAGCAATTGTTTGTTGTACTTCTTTGTGTGCTGATGCGCGCATGTGCTCCGCACAGGCTTGGGTGCGACTTACGCAACATTAGTCAAGATATATCTGAGGCTATCAAGTCTTTCGGTGGCTAGAAAATTATATCGGATTATAATCATCGCCAGCAACCCTCGTAGACACAGAATATTCCCCCCTAGAATGAAACGCTTTCTTTGGCTAAGAAGCAGATCATGATCACATGGATTGTCTTAACAAGTTCATGTATGGACACAGCTAAAGTCCAGACCTCAGCCAATGACCTTGTGCTTCCGCCGGTATCACGGTCGAAGCGTCCGACGGTGAGAATAAGGCGGAGAGCGAACTGGATACTGGAGATAGTGATGATGATGGCGATTTTCATCATGCTACCCTTCGTTCAAATATCCTACGGAATAGGCATGTCTATACGTTCCAGCACGTCCCTGCAATAAAACACAAGGACTCGAACGACATCCCCGTTTCCTCTCCACAGTTGGCGAATGTCTGCTAGGACGGAACCGCAAAGATCCCCTATCGATGTGGATGCCCTAAGTCGAGTCTCAAAACCAACGGCCTTGTGATCATGGGCACACGGATACCATACGTGCATGATGGTATCGACGAGCTCGTGGATACGGACACGACGAACTCCATCCGCGATATGCAACTCCCATCCGCTGGTGTCATACTTCAGCCTGGTACCAGCGCGAAGACTTGTTACATGTAACATGCCCACAGCGCCTTGACAGAGCTTTCGTAATTCGCACGCTTACATGCGGCATTGCCACAACTTCGGAATTGAGAACGACCGCAATGGAATCAGCAACGCACGAAGCAAAATGCTGTGCCTGGCGCTGGATGAAGGCACTTTTCCGCCCGATCTGGTTCCCGAAGAAAACGCAACAAGCCGTTCACACAGTCGTACACACGAGCGCCTCATGCATTCCATGCATTGAGACTGTACTATGCCTATAATCGAAGGTCAAGGGATTAAGCGTAGAGTGAGTTGGTTGAGGGAAGCGACGAGACGAAGGCGCCGGTTTCGTTGGCATTGCTGCATGAGGCGTGAAAAAAAGGTCGGAGACGATCAGAACATCGTGGGGCATTCTTATTAGTAAGATTGCAGGTCTCCTCCAAGCTGCGGGTCGTAGGTCGAGTATCGTGATCGTGTATTCATGCCTACAACCGAGCCCTTTCAGGTTTCAGGGGGCATATAGCTCATCCCAGTGTCCATACCGCCACCCATATCCCACCAGTTCTCGTGCCAATTGCGGCCAATGAAATCGTTCTCAATTGCCCGCACGAATCCCAGTAAATCCGGATCGCCGTCCAAGGTCATTGGAAAGTCCGGGAATGTGTCGAAGGCCGACGGATCGAGATCAGGTATAACCGTATTCAGATTGTCGGGCTACTGCTGGGCGTTGATCATATCTGCAGGTTGCCCATCTGCACTGAGCGGTGTCTTTCTTCGGCCGTCTTGTAACTTACCGTCCGCGATACTTTTTTGAGTGTTTTGATGGTCTTGTCTTGAGTATATGCAAGAGTACATGTCGATGGCCGGTGGCTACCTTCGCGACGAGCAGGCAACGGATCAATGCTCATACTGCCAGCTCGACAGCACCAACCAGTTCCTCCAGCGTATCAATGCCCATTGGGATACGCGATGGCGCGACTTTGGTCTGCTCTGGATGTATGTTGCCTTCAACGTCGCCGGTGCGATGGTCCTGTACTGGTTTTTCCGCGTGCCCAAGGGCAAGAAGGCCAGAAACTGAGCTCAATCAGGGTCCTCGGAGATGCAGGAGGTACGCAATTGTGGCGCACATGTTCCCTTTTTGTCGATTGTGACAGACATAATACTAGGACGGTGATATACTTTTTAGATTTCCTTGGCTTGGTGATTCGGTGTGTAGTTTAATGGTGATAGCCACAGGATGGCGAGAATTGGTTTCTTGATGCTTGTGATGTCACTTCCTCGGTTACATGACGGAGAACCCATCACTAGAATGCGATCATCGAGAATGCATTGCCATCATGCCACAAGCCAATGGGAGTGAGCCCGGAGCGGTTCATCGAACCACAACCACAGCGCCAATCTGCAGTGCAGATCGCGATAGAACTTCATGTGTACTTACCTCTCTTATCAGCATCTGCATCAAGTGCTCGTCTCTTCTTGCCTTGATATGAGACGTCTCTCACATCTGCACAATTTCAATTATATTCGAGGCACGATACCACACTTTCACGATCATGGGCGCAGCATTGGCAATGCTTGACAAAGGTTCGCCCCCAACCCACGCCAATCACAGGACTAACATGTACACAGGTTCCTCATATCCATGGACATAGGCATTATGTTAATCGTTATGAACATCCTTCCTAGCAGTTCAATGGCCTAGGTACTATTAGCACAATAATGTTCGTCTTTAACCTCGTCCTCTTCACCACTCTCTTACTCCTTGCCATTATGCGCCTTATCACGTTCCTGCGCCACGTCAAATCCAAGATCCTCAATCAAGTTGAGGAGATCTCGTATCAAGGTGCTCCTGCCATTGCATACCTTATGCTCTTCGCACAGGTCGCGCTGATGTGCTCAACAGCCTAGGACTTACAGCTCACAATCCTTGCGTACATGCTGTGGTGGATGGGGCTGTTGTGGTACGTGGTGCGTGGTGCGTGGTGCTGTGCAGTACGTGTGTAATTGTGCTGGCGAAGAGGAGCATAACAGACAATTAGTTGCTATCACTGGCTATATTCTTTCCTCTGATCGCTATTGCGACGCTCAGTACTACAGGCGGAATTTTAACCAGGTACTTAGTATTGCTATTCTAATTATTGTTGCGAGCTGTATGGTGATCGGCTACGCATCTGCTGCTGTATTATGCGATTAATGCGCACCGATTGCTGGCTGTTGGACCGCCAATGAAGGCTAAGCTGCCGAGTCTTTGTGTACCTAACGATCGGGCCGTTGGGACAGTTTGCTACGGTCATTCAGCTGCTGAGCACGACTACGAGTACCAGGGGTTCGTTTGGGAGCGACAACTGCGGTACTTAGCTCACAGCGAGCTCAGTGAGCAGCGTATCTGCTGACAGTGAGTTGACTGCACTGATGGTACCTACTTGGATCTTGGTGGAGCATAATCTTTCCAATGGGTGAGCTGAAGACCCGCATCGATGGTTTAGAGTGCTGACTGATCTGTGTACAGGCGTCTATACCGCCGGACTGATCAACCTTTCCATTGCTCTCAACTCTAATGCATTCCGCAGAGTTGCGGCAGCGCTCCTGACCTTCATAGTCATACTTTACCTCATGAACTGGTGCTTCACTATCTAGATATTGGCCACTGGAGTGGCGTTGTATTCCTTAGCACAGAGAGGAGGAAGACGAAGAGGCGAAGAAGAAGGCAAAGAAAGAGCACGAAAGACTATGCGGCTTGAGCCCAAGTAGGCGGGAGCAGCATGAGCAAGATGAAGTCCAGCAGAATGAGCAAAAAGCTCGAAGAGCTTCTGGTTCCCTTGGCAGCTCACACTTGCACATACTAAACTCTAATCAACCAGATCTTGCCATTCATGGTTCACAAGCCGAAAGACTCGTGATTGGGGATACAGGCAACGAACAGACCTTCCATCTGGGAGCCTTACCATCGCCAGCAGTCTTGAACAGCCATGTTGTTCTAGCGGCAGTAACGCGTTGCAGCATCGTGGAACACGTTCGGCTGGAGTTGCACAGCGCAGTCCAGATGGCCTAGACCTAAAAGTTAACAGAGGCACAGTTTCTATCCTGGCAAATTCAAAATCTTCGCAGCATCAACCACATTGATGATTGTTCACGCCGAGTGCTGTGCGCAAGTGACGATCGCCGTGGAAGATTGAACAAAGTTTGTTTCAGGGACCAGTGCGCCTGGGCCCTAGGCAGCGGCCGGGACGGCAACAGGGATGGAAGGCGCCGTTGCTGTGTAACGATGTTGAACCGGCAGATCAACAAATGCTGAGACCGACCTCACCGCTAACAGCCCTGTGAAACATCTCACAGGGACACAGGCACACATAGCCCTTTGTCGACCGCTCGCATGGCTGCTGTGCGCGTGTAGTAAGGTGAGGAGGTTCTCAGGCGCATCCCTGAGCAGCTCTATGCAAGGCATCATGCGACCTCGTCCCTCCAGGAGCGGCAGCACTCGCGGCAATGCAAGGCCGGCAAACTCAGAGCTGTACCAGGGCACGGCATATACCGACCACTGCTGGTGTGTTTGATGAAAGGTGAAGCCTGAGAGGTGAAGCCTGCGGGGTCTCTGAGCGTGTCTCAACACGCTCCGAGCAGACTTCATGCAGTATCAGCGACCACACTGCATAGCAACCACGGGGTTGCGCGGCAAAAAGGCGCGTCTCAAGTTGGCAGGTGCTTTATTGGATGCAGGCAGCGTTGTCTTGCTTGCTGCCGTGTGGTCTGTGTAACATTCGCATCAGCAAGGACATCTGCTCGCTCCCGACGCGAGGTCGCACGAGTCCCAACGATTGTAACTTCAACCTCCATCATCGTTGACAGCTGTTCATCATCCTGCACGAAGAGCCGCAATTGAGGCAGCTGCATCAGCCAACTGGCAACGTGAGACGAGTCCGAGGCTTCCGGAGAGATTGTTTTGGCTGGGCCTCATTTCGGCGCGCATGGGTGTATCCAATCAGGCCTCCGCAGGCATATCGCCCTAGTACCTGCACGAATCGCTAGTGGGTCGCAGCCGTGCAGCACTCTCTTCGTGGACTGCTCCCCCATGTTGTTCTCTCCCTTCAAGGCTCACGCCCGTCGCAGCTACCCACTCAATACGCTCTTTCTGTGTTGCGACAGAGCCCGGCACTTTCCCCTTCGTAGATCTCGAGAACCTCAATTCTCGCGATCTCCAGTTTAATAGTCTACTTTGCATACACGTTAGCCCCAATACGCCCTATTCTGGCCTCGGATGGAGTTGTGAATCTGCGCGCCTAATATCGATCGTACCTCGTCACCGTCAACACCTCACCACTGCCCCGCGACCCCGGATCTACCTCGCGCCGTCAATCGGGCGGACGCGCGACAGCTGCTCGTCATGTCTCCCAGCCACCACGACCACGCTCGATCACGTATACCGCCTCATGTGCCTCGTCGACCGAAGCAATCGCGCACCGTGTCCGGCGCCGTCACTCTTCTCGCCCTCGCCGCCTCTGTGCCTGGGACAATGGCCCAGGCGAACTGCGTTTCGCTGCAGGGTTCTTCGACATGTCCGGCTTTCAGTGCGGCATCGATCAGCACAAACTTGACAGGCGACTTGTATGTTGGGTCGGAATGGATTCGGATGGACCTCCAACTGACGTAACGTAGTTCCTTCTTGTCCTTCGTGTCAAACGTACAGTCGTTCGATAGCCAGTTGCGGTCGTACATCTCAACTACCTACACACAACGACAGTGAGTTCTTACTCCTCGAAACTTCAATCCACCCCCTCGTGCATTAGTACTGATGGCTGTGCAGATATCAGAATATTCTAGGATGCTCGAGTCTTGATCTCAGTAACACCACCGACCTGTACGCGCGCTACACGACCACCGTACTCTGTAACGCTATAGTACAGAGTTCCAAAGAGCCATGTGGTCTGAGTGACGCTGCTTCGACACCACTCTGTGCGAGTGCTTGCGTACGGATTGCCTTCTCCCATCGTTCGTAGTATCGAAAGCTGACAACTTGTAGGCGGACTTCGCGATCAGTGAGCAGGAGGTAGTGTCCACCCCCGAGCTATGTGGAACTCCCGGTAGCAACGCAATCTCACAAATTCGAGCCGACTTCACACGCTGCTCATTACCGGCCAATTCACTCAGTGGAAGCTGTATTGATGCAGCGCGCAATGAGGCTTCTGAATGCGGCTACAGCTCGAATTTGCAAGGCTTGTGCTCTTACTGCGCTGACAGCACGGTCAACTCGACCAGCTCATGCTGTGTGAACTCCGGGGTCGAGCGACGTTGTGTGGGCGTCGAACTACCGACGACGGTGTCGATGTCGCCGCTGTTCCCCAGCAGCACTTCGTCATCATCGCCTACTGCCTCGAACGGAGCGGCTGCAAGTGGATCTGGTACTGGTATCTCTGGAGGTGCTATCGCTGGCATTGTCATTGGTGCAGTCGTAGGAGCTCTGTTGATCCTTGCAGCCATCGTCTTCGTCTGCATGCGCCTGCGCAAGAGGAGGGACAGCCAGGCTGGCAGCATCCTGAACACGCCCTCTCCATCACGACACTCTGCGAAAGCACCTCCCATGAGCTATGGAGGCGATGGTCAGCTCCCGCCCGCGATTGTACCTGGTGCTCGTGTGCAACGCATGTCTGCATTGGAAGACTCGGCACCGTCAAACCGCCACAGCGACAGAGATCTGGCTATGACGGCGTTCGGCAGCTCTCCGAGTGTCTACGATTCGCCAGATTCAAGACACCACCACTTCGCTGGCGCCGCTGCTTTTCCAAAACGTCAAGGATCTCTCTCCAGTCGCTCGGCCCTCGAGTCAAATTCCAACTCACCCCTGTCGGGATCGGATGGACGAAACTTTTCGAGCCCCGATGGTGTTGCCTCTGGCCAGTCGGAACAATTGCAGTTCTTCAAAGACTACTATTCGCAGGATGACATTCACCCCAACGACACTGTTGCCACTCTTTGGGCCTACCAACCACGCGCCGGCGATGAGTTCGAGCTTGAGCGAGGAGACATGCTCAAGGTTGTCGGCATCTGGGACGATGGTTGGGCGACCGGAGTCAGGCTATCCGAGTCAGCTGAACAGTGGGAGGCAAGAAAGTCTGAACAGCGCGACTCAGGGGTCAGTAACGGCAGCCAACGTTCGCACGCCGAGATCGACAGCGACATCAAAGCCTTTCCTCTGGTCTGCGTATGCTTGCCTCAGCACTGGCGCAAGACCATAGAAGGAGACAGCACAGATAGTGGACATGGACCTGGAGGTGACAGATGATCCTCCAGCACCAGTCCCATCGCGCGCCCTGCAGTCTGTTAACCTTTGTCTAGTCCCGTCGTCCTTTTCTACAACCATGCCATTCTTCTCGCCTCCACCCGACGTCTCTACACCGACATATCGGTTTGGCTACGATGGACCCCGGTCAGCTGTATTGTCGACTCCGGCGGCCTACCACAAGCCATCGAAAGCCGGTAAGAATACCTCGATACCGCGGCCCTCATACGTGCGGATGTCAGGCACAAAGTGTTCGGGTTCGAGCACGCTCGTTGACACTTCTCCGGCGAAAACATAATACAATGGCCCCACATGCCCAAAATGGACACGCTCTCCAAGTTTTACACGCGACGTTTGATACCCGTTACGGAGGTTTTGCACACGCACAACACCGCACCATTCATGACTTGACGGCCGAAGGCTAGTGTCTAATACGCTCCTTTGCTACGCTTCCCCTCGTGGGATCCACCACACCGCACCAACGACCAATACAGCCCATGTTACCGGGCTGATTGACGCTTTTGTTCTATACCCTGCTGCGCTTTGTTCGCGGTCGACTTGTTTTCTCTTGTTGTACACCTGGGTGGCGGAAGGGCAGCACTGTAGATGATGTCATGCTGCGCCTTGTCGAATAATGGACAATGATATGTTATAGGAGTTGGATAGGTGTGCAGGGGTGGCTGGGGGTTGCGAGGTATAGGTAGTTGTGAGAATGCATATTGGATATGTCAGCTTCTACGGTCTACATGAATGAGGCACGTCGACGGCAACGAAGCGTCGCTTGCAGATGATGTGGCAAGCTCTTCTATGGTGATGTGGTAAGCTCTTCTATGGTGATGTGGTAAGCTCTTCTA